TCAATCGATCCACCTCCTCCTGCTGGCACCGAGCAGGAACATTCCGGATCATCATCCTGAGTCAGAAACCCCATAGCCCCCACACGCACAATCAAGAAACATTCCGGATCATCATCCTGACTCAGAAACCCCATAGCCCCGACAAGCACGATCAAGAGACACTCTTTGAAAGGCTACAGGGGCAAAGCGTGCTCACGCAAGCAACGAATCATAACGAATCTACCTTCCAGTGAGTGTGCAAGTCTGCAAAGTGAGCCAAGTCTCTTGGTGACACCTTGCCAAAAGCAGCTGCTTGGGTGAAGGCCGTACTCATCCATCCAACAAGAAGAAAGGCCTGCACCACCGGAAGCTCTAAGGCTGTGAGTCGGGTCTCCCTGCGCCAAGTTGGATCTTTGCACAGTTTGGGAATCCGAACTTTCGAAGCTGACGTGCGTCCAACGTAAGCCACAAAAGGCGGGGCAAAGTGAGTGCTGTCCCCATCACCGAGTAGTCATTCCTGCTTATCGGTTTCCATGGGATTCGGATGTAGTGCGTCAAGCTGCACCTGGCTCTAGCTCTAGAACCGACGGGGCGTGCCTTTTCGTGGCAGAGTTGGATGAGGCAACAAAGGACGCAACAGATCTGGCTAAGCTAGTTCCCGGCTTGACTGGCAAAGAAGTCCCGCCTTGATCAAGCTGACGCAAGTCCAAGTTCACCTTCACTGGCTCCTGGTGGATGGCGGTGATCTAAAGCTTGCATGACGTGATTGGCGACATAAAGAGAAACAACACGAGCCACTCCTTCAAGTCGCTCTCAATCGTCTCCTCATTCGGCCAAAACTTGGAGGGAGGAAGCAGCACACTCATATGGCTGGCAGCGATCGCGATACAGGCCATGTGTCGCCTCAAGGATGGCTCCACACTCGAGCCCAAACAAGGCACGGCGCCGGTCACTTCTTCACTCATCCTCCCGAAACAAAGCCCTTGGCTCCCCGGCTGTCATGCACAATTGGATGCTCTGTAAACTGGTTAGCCGATTCAATCATGCGATGGTAGGGTCACGTGATTTTCCTCAGGAAGACGACAACTTGTCTGTCGCGTCTTGTCTGTTGCAGCTCATCTGTTGCAGCTCGTCTGGGCTCGCACAGAGCAGGCCGGGGGAATCCGTTTAGCAACAGGGCCAAGGCGTCTTCAATAAACTTCCTGGCCGATTGAAAATAGTTGTCTTGCCAAAGTGTTGAAAGCTTCCCCGAGACCTTGCTAGCCACTCTCATTCGCTTGGGAAAATGCCAGCTTGCTCTGGTGTCACTTCTTGACATGGCACCAGCAAGCTTGTAACAGCTAGCGCTCCGACGCGCCACGAAAGGTCCTTGGTGAAAGGTCCTAGGCGGACCTGTGGCGTGGCAAGGGTCGAAAACGCGCCGCAAGAACTCGCAAAACTTCCCATGCCCCAAATGAAATGGCGCCCCGCGCAGGACTTCAACAAAAACAAATATGAACCTCTAAGTCTAAGGACAACAACGCCATGGTGGCCATTTGGGCGGTGGCATGACACGTCGCCAGGGACAGGAAAGCGCCAAACTCTGCTGGCGATATGAAGAAAATTCACGGGGTCAGAGCTGCCCGGGTGTTTGGGTCAGTGAGATGCCTAAGCTTCCGCTTAAAAAGTAAAAAAGGACTTGATGAGTGTACCCCTGGGCGTTCCCTTCTTGGATCTGGGCCTGCTGATGACCCAGTCTTACCCAACCATGGTGTTTCTCTCTCTCTCTCTCTCCCTCTCTCTCTCCCTCTCTCTCTATCTCGTTGTCTTTTTGCCAATCTGGCTTTCCCAGGGTGCCCAATGGAGTCGTTAAGGTCAGACAAGTTCGAGAGATGCTGTTCGGCATCATGATGGCAACAAACCCCACTGGCGGCTCAGTCTGATCAACATCAGCTAGAGATCTGAAACAAGCTGCCGAGGCAATTAGAACTCTCGCGAGCTGTCCCAAAGTGAACCTTGCATCGTTATGTTCCTTCAACACAAAGCGTAACACATCATGCTTTCTGTCCAGAAGTTGAACCGCCTTCGCTCGTTTTCAAAGGCAGTGCAAGGGTGCCATATGGGAGAGCTCGGGGTTACTAGCTTCTGCGCAGCTCAGGTCTGTGACTCTCCTACTCTATCAAGCCTCTGCTATGCTCACAAGCTCATGCTCTTCACCTCGAGATTGGCGGGATGGATCTTGAGCGGCCTGTTGCTCTGTCGCGTGGGGACCCTGGCCTGCCACAAGAAATAAGCAAGGAGCTGCATTGTCGCTGGACTATCCACCTCCACAAAAGCGTAGCCTTTGCATTTGCAGCTTGAAGACCTCGGCATCCGCGTTTCGAAGTTGGGAGTGATCACCTGGATCAATCGATCCACCTCCTCCTGCTGGCACCGAGCAGGAACATTCCGGATCATCATCCTGAGTCAGAAACCCCATAGCCCCCACACGCACAATCAAGAAACATTCCGGATCATCATCCTGACTCAGAAACCCCATAGCCCCAACAAGCACGATCAAGAGACACTCTTTGAAAGGCTACAGGGGCAAAGCGTGCTCACGCAAGCAACGAATCATAACGAATCTACCTTCCAGTGAGCGTGCAAGTCTGCAAAGTGAGCCAAGTCTCTTGGTGACACCTTGCCAAAAGCAGCTGCTTGGGTGAAGGCCGTACTCATCCATCCAACAAGAAGAAAGGCCTGCATCACCGGAAGCTCTAAGGATGTGAGTCAGGTCTCCCTGCGCTAAGTTGGATCTTTGCACAGTTTGGGAATCCGAACTTTCGAAGCTGACGTGCCTCCAACGTAAGCCACAAAAGGCGGGGCAAAGTGAGTGCTGTCCCCATCACCGAGTAGTCATTCCTGCTTATCGGTTTCCATGGGATTCGGATGTAGTGCGTCAAGCTGCACATGGCTCTAGCTCTAGAACCGACGGGGCGTGCCTTTTCGTGGCAGAGTTGGATGAGGCAACAAAGGACGCAACAGATCTGGCTAAGCTAGTTCCCGGCTTGACTGGCAAAGAAATCCCGCCTTGATCAAGCTGACGCAAGTCCAAGTTCACCTTCACTGGCTCCTGGTGGGCGGCTGAGAGCTCAAAACGCGCACAACTTGGTCTACCGCAACTCGCATAAAATGCCCGCCGGGCCCGGACCGGCAAATTGCACCGAGGGAGTGGCGACGGTAAAAAACGACACGATCACAAGCGGACTCGTGGGGCCCTTGCCCGAAGCCCCTCCTTCAAGTCCCAGCTCTCAATCGTCTGCTCACTCGCCCAGAACTTGGAGGAAGGAAGTGGCACGCTCGCATGGCTGACAGGAGGCATCGTGATATAGGCCATGACGTGTCGCAACTTCGTCAACACCTATCGCTCCAGGCTCGAGCCTCACAAACGTGGCACCCCGGGTACTTGTCCACTCATCCTCCCAGAGTGAGGCAAAACGAAGACCTCAGTTTGCCCTCAGCATATCCTCAGTTCCATAGCCACACTCAAACACACTTGGCTCAAAGTGTTTTATCTCCCCGGCTCCTTTGTCATGCTGCGCAATTGGATGCTCCGCAAGCTGGTTAGCTGAGATCATTGAATCATGCGATGCATTGGCGAGGAAAGGCAAAGGCTTCAGGGTCACGTCTTTTTCTCAGGAAAACAACTCGTCGGTTGCGTCTTGTCTGTTGCAGCTCGCCTGGTCTCGCAAACAGCATGCCTGGGGGATCCGTTTAGCAACAGGGTTAAGACTTCTCCGCTAAACTCTCTGCCGCTTTCTCTGCCGACCCCCGTGGAATAGAAACAGCTCAAACTCTCTGGCCGGCCCGTTGAAAGTAGTCTTCCCAATGGGACATGTTGAAAGCTTGGATTCAAGCCCCAGACGTTGCCGACGCTCATTCGATCGGAAACTGCCGACTCTCATTCGATCGGAAACTGCCAACTTGACCCTCCAACTTTAAGACCTTGTTCGTGTTCTTTGAAGGTGGGAAACTGTCAGGTAGCGATACCCGCCACGCAAGGTCCTTCATGGACGCACGGACCTGTGATGTGGCAAGACGCCTGCCTAGACGAAGTGAAACGCAAGAAAGAAACCTGGTGAGGCCGCAAGAATTCGAAAGCCTTCCGACGTCCCAAATGAAGTGAGCCCGCGCAGAACTTCAACAAAACCCAGGATGCACCTCTAAGTGTTGAAATGACAACAACCACATGTCCTGCGTTTCAGGCGGTGACATGTCACCCACAAGGGATTCGGAAACATACGGGACAACAGTCCCAAGGCCTGCTCAGCACCGAAATATCATGAACGATCTGTCGAGAAGCAATCTGAACATGCCCAATCAAGCTTGGGGACCCTGGTAGAGTCTGGTAGAGAGTCAAACAACAGGTTGTTGGCTTGGCAAAGCAGGGTCCCCATCAAACGACGTCAGAGCTGCCCAGGTGTTTGTGCCAGGGAGATGCCCAAGTCTTGGCTTCAAGAAAAATAATCCTGGATGTGTGGATGTGCGTATGGTGTGTACCAGTCACTGTGTTCCGCTTCCCTCTGCCCCATGTAGAAACTCATCATACGTGTGGCCATGGTTATCACTATTCTTGCCAGCGGCTTGCAATCCGATCAATCCAGAACACTACGAATGAACCGTACATGTGCCATCTCGCTTGGGTAGCAACCTGCAACATACCGTTCCCTTCTTCGATCTGGGCTTGCTGATGACCCAGTCTTAACCAACCTATCCTATGTGTCATGATGTGGGTTTCTTTTACCAATCCGTCTTTCCCATGGTGCCCAATAAAGTCATTGAAGTCAACCAAGTTCGAGAGATGCTGTCCGGCATCACGATGGCAACAAACCCTGGCAGGCGCTGATCAATGCCAGGTAGAGATCCGAAACAGGCTGCGGAGGCAATTGGAACTCCCACGAGCTGTCCCAAAGTGAACCTTGCATCGCTATGTTCCTTCAACACAAAGCGTAACACATCATGCTTTCTGTCCAGAAGTTGAACCGCCTTCGCTCGTTTTCAAAGGCAGTGCAAGGGTGCCATATGGGAGAGCTCGGGGTTACTAGCTTCTGCGCAGCTCAGGTCTGTGACTCTCCTACTCTATCAAGCCTCTGCTATGCTCACAAGCTCATGCTCTTCACCTCGAGATTGGCGGGATGGATCTTGAGCGGCCTGTTGCTCTGTCGCGTGGGGACCCTGGCCTGCCACAAGAAATAAGCAAGGAGCTGCATTGTCGCTGGACTATCCACCTCCACAAAAGCGTAGCCTTTGCATTTGCAGCTTGAAGACCTCGGCATCCGCGTTTCGAAGTTGGGAGTGATCACCTGGATCAATCGATCCACCTCCTCCTGCTGGCACCGAGCAGGAACATTCCGGATCATCATCCTGAGTCAGAAACCCCATAGCCCCCAAATGCACAATCAAGAAACATTCCGGATCATCATCCTGACTCAGAAACCCCATAGCCCCAACAAGCACGATCAAGAGACACTCTTTGAAAGGCTGCAGGGGCAAAGCGTGCTCACGCAAGCAACGAATCATAACGAATCTACCTTCCAGTGAGCGTGCAAGTCTGCAAAGTGAGCCAAGTCTCTTGGTGACACCTTGCCAAAAGCAGCTGCTTGGGTGAAGGCCGTACTCATCCATCCAACAAGAAGAAAGGCCTGCACCACCGGAGGCTCTAAGGCTGTGAGTCGGGTCTCCCTGCGCCAAGTTGGATCTTTGCACAGTTTGGGAAGCCGAACTTTCGAAGCTGACGTGCGTCCAACGTAAGCCACAAAAGGCGGGGCAAAGTGAGTGCTGTCCCCATCACCGAGTAGTTACGAAAGATGTTGACCTCGGATTCATAAACAGGTTCTATTCATAGGGGGTCCCCTCCAAAAGTGATGAATGCCTAGTAAAAGCGGACACCCCTATTTGCCAACCAGGGGTTTAATCTAGGGTTCCCATTCGAGATGCCTGCTTATCGCTTTGGAGATTCACATGTCAGTCTAGGACGCAAGACAAGCACTCTGCGAGCCGCTCACACGCGAAGACTTGTGGCAATGGATTCGGCACATGGGTCAGAGGCTTGGCAATGGCTGTTCCTCGGCTTCTTAGGTTCGGTTGACGTTCCGGTTTAGCGTCTTTTACTTCAAAACACCAAATCCAAGCGTCATGGATCAACTCCATTTCAACACCACTTCTCCCATAGCAAAGCTGGGGAAAAATCGTTCCGCCTTGTTGCACGACAGTGGTTCTGCACATAGTTCTAGACCTAAAGGGGCGTGCCTTTCCGTGGCAAAAAGGCGCAGTTAGTTTCTTGCAGACTTGGATGAGCCAACAAAGGACGCAACAGATCTGGCTGCGCTAGTTCACCCAGCTTGACTGGCGCAGAAATCCCACCTTGATCAAGATGAAGCAAGTCCGAGTTCACCTTCACTGGCTCCTGGTGGACGGCTGAGAGCTAACAAAGCGCACAATTTGGTCTACCGCCTACCGCAACTCGAAAATGCCAACCGGGCCCGGACCAGCAAATTGCACGGAGGGATTGGCAACTCGGGCCCTTGCCCGAAGCCTTTTCCTTCGAGTCCCAGCTCTGAGTCGTCTGCTCAGTCGCCCAGAACTTGGAGGAAGGAAGCGGCACACTCGCATGGCCGGGAGGCATCGTGATATAGGCCATGACGTGTCGCAACTTCGTCAAGGATGCCTATCGCTCCAGGCTTGAGCCTCACAAACGTGGCATGGCACCAGGCACTTGTCCATCCACTCATCCTGCCAGACTGAGGCAAAAAGTCACGCTTCAGATTCATGTGCCGAATGTGTCTTCGGTTAAGCGAGATCTCATGGTACTTGAAACACAGGAAGTGTCTCATTCCACTGCACAGCAGATCCCCTGCTAAAAGAAACCAACTGTTAGTGGGTTTTTCATGGAAGCCCAACCACCAACCAACTAAAACCACTAAAAACCTCAGGAACCAAACGACTCCCTGGTTCGCAACCGTCCGGCATTCGGTTGGGACCGCGCCTTTCCATGTAGATGGCGTAGAATTGGAGCACCACCTCTCCGAGATCCACCACATTGTCCAGGATGGCCTGCGGCCACGCCCTCGAGAACTGAAGCTCGGAACTTCGACCAGGTGCCTGTGCAAGCAGAAGAAAGACCGAGAAAAAAGAAGAAAAAAAACGTTCAGGTCTCAGCCAAATCTTGGCCTGAACCCACCACTTCTGCGGCATCGGGGAGCTTTGCAGCAGCTTCAGTCAAATTGGCTGTGTGTTGAACGAAACAGGGCCTGAATCCGACGACCCACAGGCTGGATCCTCCCAACATGAAACCCGACAAAGTGACAACCATGGATGGAACCTTGCGTCCAGCAAGAGCGGATGGCAAGGTGGAGACCTGGACAAAACCGCCATTTATTGGACTTGATGCCAGTCATGCCGAGTCCTCCGTGAACATGTTCTCTGGCACCTGATCAGTCCGAAGTGCCATGTGGTACTGAACGTGTCCAATGCCCAGATGTGCATTTGCAAACCTGAGAAAAACGCGCCAAGAGTGTAGGATACCTCTTGACACCCGAAACAGTGTTCCTGGTGTCAAACGGTATGTCCAAATGGCATTCTTGAGACTCTGTCCAACGAGGGCCACCTTAGCCTTCACGAAGCATCTGGAAACTGAAGGCCCAAGATTCGCACGCAGACCTTCGGGCCCATTTCTCAAGAGGCCAAATGAAGGCCTTTCCAGGCCCCAACTCGAATCGCATGAGAAACTAAAATGAGGCGTCCGCATCCATCTTGGGGTCGTTGTGCTTCCTTGCGCGAAAAGCGGCAAACCAAGCAGCACTGCTGGTTGCCTTCAAAAGCCAACATGAAACCAATAAATTTGAGCGTCCTTTCTTAAGGGAACCCCCGACCCCCCCCAAAAAAAGTGGTGGTGTTCCTTGCGGTGTTCCTAAAACCAACCAAATATGATTTCTCCCGCTAAAAACATGGAGACAGAGCCATTTGGAGACCTCACCAACGGAATCTCGGAGCACCTCTATCGCTTTGTTTAAGCCCATGGGATCTCGCAACAATCGATGCCATGTACCAAACGGCCCCTAGTCCTTTCAAGTGAATGTGGCGCAAAAGATAACTCAGGTGTTGTTTATGTTGGATCCGGAAAAGAAAAAGAAACTATTTTGGAAAGAGCCCAGCAACTCAATCATTGCCCATGCACGCCCGCGGCAACATGGCCCATCAGCCCGTGTCTGCGACAGCCTTCTTTGCCAAGAAAAAACGCGACTGAGGCCTGCACACATCCGTATCTTGCACAACGTAGGGGCATCTATACAAGCCAAAATCACACCAAGCACCTGAGGTTCCTTGGTTTGAGGCACACCCAATGATCGCCAAAATGATGCTCCACAAATTTGGAGGCATCATTTTGTTCGCGGCGACCCCCCGACTCAACTCAGTCACCAACAGCTGGTAGGTTTCGACAGCTTTCGATCCGCCCCTATGGCTCAAGCGTCGAAAAACACCGCCCATGGTGTGACATGCCTTTCCAGCCGCAGATGCAAAGCGCTTGCTGCGTGCTGTTGGAATGAGATCTCAAGTCATCCGCGTGAATGTTTGTAGAACGAAACAATATTCATTCATCCGTTCTGTCGTTTTCTTTGGGGCAACTGAAGCTTCGGGAGCACTTGCTAATTCGCCATCAGAGCTGTGGGCAGCGTGAGGTTCATGGGCAAGAGGAAGTCCGCCAGTGTTCGCATGGCTGAAATTGGGCAAAGAACGGGGCTCTCTATTTTTCCCTTAAAACATCATCCCCGCTGAGGGATACTCACCTTTCATGGGCCAAAACGGCGATGTGTCAAACCCGCCAAAAAAGGAAACATAGGGAGGCCTGAGGAATGACGAGAGAAACCTATCAACATCTGCCAGCAACTCCATGTCGAAAATGGGTTGTGTGAAAAGCGGCACAAAAGAAATCCCCTTTCCCACTCAAGAAGGACGTGAGTATTTGAGGTCATTGAAATATACCTTCTAACCCCTAACATAATTCCCTATTCCCTACTGGTTGACCACAAGCTGTAGAAACTCTAATCACTCAGGCCCGTGTTGAACCCTTCCCGGTTCCCGATTTGCTCAGACCTATGAGAATTTGGACATGTGTCAAAACAAGCTCAGACTACTTTGCAAACTGGCACAGAGGGCGACCGTTTCTCATCAACCCTCAAATGGCCATGGGTTACAATCCCGTACCCCCAGTGAACATCCCAATCTCAACTAAAATAGAGCAAAATGGGTGGTGAATTCACCTACCCCAAAATGGTACCATTGGCTTCGACCCACAGCCAAATGGTTTCAACCAAGTGCCAGAAAGCGCACCCCAGCCCGCTCCTCAGCAACTCCTCGACTTTCTGGCCATCAGCGATTTCAGACTTCAAGCCCTGCCTGAGGCAAATTGGGAAAGCCCTTCCTTTTTTCCCAACTGAGAGGCCTCTTGGGTTTTACCCCACCCTCCACCCTTCTCCAAGCCCTCCAAGCCCTCCAACCCTCCAAGCCCTCGTCATATCCACCGATAACCCTCTCTCCCTTCCTGAGAAAAATGCGACGAGGACAAACTGGTCTTTCCAATGTCTATTTTGCGTACATAAACTGGTCAAACACAGGAGATCTCTTCCTTCCATTTCCTCAAAGTGCCAGCAACAAATCGAGTCGGTCATCCTGGCGCCCCTTCGACCCCCACGCAAAAGCAACCTAATGGAGATGTGGAGTATCATTCTGTGGAGTATCATTCTGGGCTCATGATTTTACCATTCTCAAAGAAATCCCGTAGGTAGGATAAAGGGAGCCAACCCCAGTTTCTGACTTTGATATCCCCTAGAAATGTTCAAAATGATGACCCCTGTCATTTTTTAAAGTATCATGTTGGATTTGTTTAAGTATCATTTTGGGGGGTAACCTGCAAATGGAGACGTGGAGTATCATTTTTCACTTTGAATTGGGGGGATGCAAGAAATGGAAAGGTTCCTTTTGGTTCCCTCGAAATTGAGGCTTGATGTTGACCCCGGATGAATCAACCAACCTATTTATTAATAGGATGTGCCCCTCGAAAACGTGTCTGATTCCAACCGCATTTCACCCAGGGACACCCCCCTACTGTGGATGGACGAAATCCTGCACCACTTTGGACGACAACAACAACAACAACAACAACAACAACAACAACAACAACAACAACAACAACAACAACAACGACACGACAACGACAACGACAACGACAACGACAACGACAACGACAACGACAACGACAACGACAACGACAACGACAACGACAACGACAACGACAACGACAACGACAACGACAACGACAACGACGACAACGACAACGACAACGACAACGACAACGACAACGACAACGACAACGACAACGACAACGACAACGACAACGACAACGACAACGACACACAACAACACATGCACAACAACAACAACAACAACAACAACAACAACAACAACAACAACAACAACAACAACAACAACAACAACAACAACAACAACAACAACAACAACAACAACAACAACAACAACAACAACAACAACAACAACAACAACAACAACAACAACAACAACAACAACAACAACAACAACAACAACAACAACAACAACAAACAACAACAACAACAACAACAACAACAACAACAACAACAACAACAACAACAACAACAACAACAACAACAACAACAACAACAACAACAACAACAACAACAACAACAACAACAACAACAACAACAACAACAACAACAACAACAACAACAACAACAACAACAACAACAACAACAACAACAAACAACAACAACAACAACAACAACAACAACAACAACAACAACAACAACAACAACAACAACAACAACAACAACAACAACAACAACAACAACAACAACAACAACAACAACAACAACAACAACAACAACAACAACAACAACAACAACAACAACAACAACAACAACAACAACAACAACAACAACAACAACAACAAAACATCGCTTGCTGTTATTTACAGGGTGCGCTGCAGGATTGCGTCCATCTGTATTAATATTATGGGGGTTGATTCTTCCGTACATTAAAAGCCTAGGTTTTCCAGTAGACAGGTTAGAATAAGGGTACCCTTCTTTCTGTAGTCTATTTTAGTAGGGGAACCCTCCCCCAAAAAAGAAACAGTCAGAAGGGCACTACTGGGGGACCTAGAAGGACACCGGAAGCTGAGCAGCCCGGCTTCTCCAGCTCGGCATTCCACGCAGCCTCGCCACTTGGATGGTACGGGTCCTCGGTTCAAACCGCCTTCGCTTGGGATGAAGTGAGCTGGACCTGGCAGAGTCTTGGAAGAGGTGAGTCCCAACCCGGTAGCATAGTCTTAAAACGGGAAAACTCGAATAGATTCACGGTCGCAAACCAGCACGCCATCAGCTCACGGGAGAGGGATTCCGGGGAACCTCTCATGTGTGTTTGACGAAACAGAGAAACGTGTGGTCTCAAAGACCCGCTCAAAGCTCAAAGCGTGCTTCGTCACGCACCGAGGTCTGCGTGCCACTGGCCATGTCTCAGGAGCAAGGAGATGGCGTCATGGTTGAGTTTACTAGATTTCTGAAGTCAAACCAACATGGGTGTCTTATAGACAAATAAAACAGATAATAAAAGAACACCTAAATATGTATGTACGTATATATATATATATATATAATAATAATATAAATAATAATAATAATAATAATAATAATAATAATAATAATAATAATAATAATAATAATAATAATAATAATAATAATAATAATAATAATAATAAATAATTAATAATCATAATAATAATAATACATAATGATAAATAATAGTAATAATAATAATAATAATAATAAATAATAATAATAATAATAATAATAATAATAATAATAATAATAATAATAATAATAATAATAATAATAATAATAATAATAATAATATGTATACAAAAAGCCGGGGCCACGCAAAAACTATGCAGCCTTTCGTCGCTTTTTTACAATCATCCAAAAGTGGGTGTGCCATCTTTACTGCCCCCAACATAAAGCTTGAAGTCTGTCAAGCCAACAGGTAGGCGGTATGACGCTATATAACGCTCATGTCGCACCATGCCCGTTTTCTCGCCGACTGGTTGCACCACTTTGGATGCAATGCTATCTCTGCCCAGGCGCAACCCAGGCGCTGCCCATGTTGGGCAGCTTTTTGATTTGGGATGGCCCCTCTTTCGGGAACAACTGGGATAGCTTCAACAACCTCGTGCATGGCTTTTGGCCATAGTTCTCTCGGGGCCTGGTCCGCTTGCACCGACCGGCCCGGGCATTCCTTTCAAGAGTTGAATGCTGTCATTCCTATGCTCCCCGCTCAGAAGCAAGAAAAAGGCGAGGAAGCTTTCGCAAGTCAGACCTCGAGGCCCATGCAACCAGCAGGCGCGGGTCCTTGAAGTCATTTGTCATGGGAACAACATGGCTCAGCGGAACCTTTTGACCTCTTGGGGAAGTCCAATCACCAGAATGCAGTTCAAGGATGTTCGTCCACACCAAAGTTGGGGTTTGCAGGCACACCGACCGGCTTGGAAAAGCTTTGAGTGGATATGCCCCCGCGCTTGTCCTTTTTGCGTGACCACACTCTTGCGATGGAAAAGGGCGGGGCTATCGGTGACAGGTTTCTATATAGAGGAGACGCCGTGAAATCCGTGAAATGGATTGATGCTATTTGGAACAGAGCCATGGTGAAGCCTTGAGTACGTCTTCAAAGGTCTGGTGTTAAACTATCTCAGATGCCCAGTGGCTGGGGAAAAAAGCGCATCCTTTTGTTGGTTGGTTGTTTAAAGGGAACCCTTCCCAAAAAAAAATGAAAAAAAAACCAACCCCGTGGAAACTGGGCTATTGAAGCATCCCCATTGACTTGTTGACTGCATGAACCCGAGGAAGCAAGCTCCAATGCCCCAGCTCACACCCCGCGTCTTGGCCCCGAACCTGAGACCTGGACGTTGGGGGTATGCGCCCCTGAAAATGGATGCCCTTACCCGCACACCCCTATGGGTGTGTCTGTTTTGAGGGGTCCCAAAACGGTGTTCCTCTTGGTGTTCCAGAAAAAAACACCCCAAAAAGGCGCCCTCGAAGAAAGACGAGCCGCCCATGGCTCAGGGAAAGCCGCGGCCCGATGCCGCACCAAATCTCGAGATTCGATCCACGGAAATTCACGTGGGAGAAATGCACCAAACAACCCACAAGTTTTGTTGCTTCATGTTTAAGGAAAGCTTGATTCACTAAGGGTGCGGATGTATTTTGTTTCTATTTTTCTTTTTTTGGGGGGGGGATTTCTTTTTTTGTTTTTTGTCCGGGCCAGTAAAATGTCGTACTTTGACACTAGTCCGTCAACATCCCCAGCATCGTTTTCAACATCCCCCGCATGTCCGACCAACATCCCTAGCATCACCAACAAATCGTGGGCAACAAAATCTAAAAAGTAGCTAGCAGGTTGACGGGGTCAAACAAATAATGATTCAAATAGGAAGGCGTTTCAATCCCTGTTTTAAAAAAGAAAAACAAGTAGCGGGGGGGTTGGGGGGGGCGGGCCCCCCCATGATGTTCGCAGAAGTGATGAATCGACTGGGGGTGCAATTAAATCTCTGCAAAAAGTCTAAAAAGCAGCGGTCGGGTTGGGGGCAGCCCCCCCTCATGATGTTCGAAGAAGTGATGATTCAAATAGGGGTGCAATTTGGTCTCTGTAGAAAACCTAAAACGTAGCGGGGGGGTTGGGGGGGGGGCGGCAGCCCCCCCCATGATGTTCGAAGAAGTGATGATTCAAGTAGGGGTGCAATGATTCAACAAAGGGTGCGATAGAATTTAAAAGGCAGCGGGAGGGTTGGCTGGGTGGCTTCCCCTATAATGTTCGAAGAAGTGCAGACATACAGACATACATGGATTACTCGCGAAATTGGATGCTCGAAAAAGTGATGATTCAAATAGGGGTGCAATTAAATCTCTGCAAAGTAGGGGCGGGGGGGGGGGGGTTGGGGGGCAGGCGGCAGCCCCCCCCATGATGTTCGAAGAAGTGATGATTCAAGTAGGGGTGGGGGAGGGGAAGCCCGCCCATGATGTTCAAAGAAGTGATGGTTCAAACAGGGAGGAGCTGGTCATGCTGATGATGCGGGAAGCCAAATCCAAAAACTAATGAAAGGGTGCAAAAGCAAAAAGCCCTGGGAGGAACTGGGAAAGCAAAGGATGCGAAAAGCCAAAGCCAAAAAGCAACCAAAAGCCGCATAAACCGCAAGAAGCCGAAAAGCCACGAAGCCGAGAAGCCAAAAAGCCAAGAAGACAAGAATCCAAAAGCGGAAGAAAAAAAGGAAAAAAAAACTAATGTCCTTACAGTCCGAAAGAGGATACCCCCAGCTCCCTGTTGGCTCCCTTCCAACCAACAGCTAGTACCAAAAGAATATGTTGTCCAGTCATGAGCGTGCTCAATTGAAATCGGGGATACATGATGGATGCCTGTAAGGACATCAGATTGGGGAGACCCCTTCTTTTGTGGCCGCTTTTTTGGAAAGCCAAAGAAACCAACTCCTTGGTCCCTTTGGAGACATACCCGTTCCACCAACCAGGTTTGTAGAAAACTAATTGGACTAAGCCAGAATTCGTCGGTCAGCTTTCTTGCACAGGGATGAGTGGACGCCCGTTTCGTGACCCGTCCTTCATAGGCCTCGCAGATCTTCTCAAGCAGAGAGTTCAAGTCTGCAAGCACCTCCCCATTGACCAGCACGTACGGGACACCTCGCGTGATTCAACAAAAAAAAGAAGAGAGGCACCGTTTGCAGAGGAATCGCAATCAAGGCGATTCCATCAGAGCATTTCGTTGCGCTACGTCTTGACAAGGGGACGACCTGCCTGCACCTTGGGAGAACTGACTAGACCTCGAAGCGGGATTTGACTTTTCAAGGCCCATGCCGCACGCCAGAGTCGTCTGTGTCCAGTTGAGCATGTCGCTCATCCTAACCCAGTGAACTCGAATCAAGGCGTGAAACGGGTCGTAGCTTGAAGGCTGGCCGTTTCACGTGGAGCACCACTTTCCGAGAAAAGCAGGTGCTTGGAGATCCTGCCTCTGCTACCGAAACTGCGAAATATGCCACGTCAAAGCCGCATCAAATCAGCTGAGTTGTTCAGTGACCCTGGAAAAAAAAGGCAACCTGTTTGGGGAAGACCATTTTTAGTGGGGCAACCAACAAAAAGAAAAGGAAAAAGGGTGCCACTGAACAACTGAGTCAGAGATGCCCAAACTGTTGATAGGCGTTGCAAATCAGGACCAATGGCAGTAAATGCGAAATGGCGAAGGGGATACGTTGATGCGGGGGGGTGATGGTTGAAGCGCAGCTCGCTTAGGTTTCCCTTGGAAAAGGGCCAAGAAATCTGCATCCAAGGGGGAAGAAATCCGAGTCCCATCGCCGAGCCTCACTTCGGATGCATATGAATAAACAGAGGTCCCCTTTCAGTGAGAAACTGTCGGTGTTGGGGAGGTTTCTGCTTGGGTGAAATCCAAAGATTGACAAGGCTCGTGTAACTGGAACTGAGATCAAGCCACCCTGCCTTATAGTCGCACTCAAGGGAAGGATGTGTCTCTCCTTCCATATGAATAAATATGCACATATTTATTCATGTGTATATATATGCACATAATATATTCATACACACAATGCCCAATTTCCAGACAGAGACCTCCAGGGAGAAAAAAAAAAACGGACGGTTTTCTATTGGGCACCCCGAAATGGAAGTAGAACACGCCCTCTTTTTTGCGGGGGTGTTCCCTCTGAAAGTGGTCTAACTCACAACTACAAGGGGACACCAGATCAAAATCAACCAAAGGTTGAATTTTTAATCCGGGGCTTAGACATCTTTCAGCCTAGGGAATCCAAAGGGATCCCAATGTTCGGACACACAAATCTAGCCGAACTCTACTCCACAACCACAAAAAGGACACCCACAGAAAAGATACCTTCACAGGTGTTGAGTCTCAACTGTTAAGGTCTGACCTACTGGATCCAAGCCACAATGCTTGATCAGTTTTTACATCTGGGTCATGATGTGTTCCAAGCTAGATGCCTACTATACATAGGGATAAACGGGGTCAGATTGACGCTGAACAGAGTGTGTTGAATATAGGGTCTTAGCTCGCAGCATAGGTCAAGGGTTTTTGGGCCAGCTCGGACAGAAGGGAAACCCGCCACAAAAAGGTTGACCCCGTTGGGGACAGCAGGGTGGCATCTTGCGGATTGTCTTTGATTTGCTCCAATCAGAGAACACGTGGCCCATCCCCTTTTCTACCTCAGCGTTTGCCCCTGCCCCCCACCAAAAAAATACGTTTGAATTTGATTCTGGTCCATGATGTTTGGCAACCCCAATTTGCTGTGGGGAATTCCGCTGGCCCTTCCCAGATTTCCCGCGCCTGGATGCGGGGGGGTCATCTTGGCCATGGCTGCCAGCGCCCCATCGCCGTTGGATGTGCACCACTGCTGCAGCGACGCGGAGAACCCGCAGCGCACGGCGACCTCGCAACTTTCCGCTGAGGCGCAAGACGTCCGCTGAAACTGCAAGCCCCGAAGCTGAAGGCACCCCGAAGAACCCTGAGACCGAATAGTCGGGTAAGTGGCGGATTCGAATGCTCTAACACATGATTGACGCATGGCAGCTGATCGAAATTCCTGCTTCCGGAAAATGCATTCCTTGCAAAAAAACAAAAAAACACAAACTGTTCGCAACTCCATTGCCGCAGCTTGTGCTGTGGCTCTCGAGCCCTGCCGCAGTTGCGCTTGCAAACGCAGCCACCTACCAGGCCAATCACTGGTCTTGGCGGGATTGCAAGTGCGCTACATGGGGCAGGAATGAAGTTTTTCGCTGGGTCCAACATGGTGCGCCGTGCCACAGCTTCGTAGGTGTTTGCCGGTCTTTTGCGGATGTTTCGCGCAACTTGCTCCAAAATGGCCCAGTCTGCACAATTCCGAGCACAGGCAGGAACCCTCTGATGCGCATAAAGGTGCTTGCACATCTCCCCTTCTACAAGGGAGTGGGGTCTGCAAACACGTAAGCATACAAGCATGCACTCCACTTTGCGGTTCTTTCGCGGCTACAAAATACTGCAGTGTTCGGTCAAGCTGTCATGCTAGTCACAGACTGAAAAATTGACGAAAGATTGCTGGGGAGCAACAGGCCTCGCATGCGTATGTGCAAAGAGGGGATGCATCCTTCTTGTCGTCTGCCCCATATAAAATGCAGAGAGGAACCAAAGCCCTTGTTTTTGCATGTTCTTCAGTTGAGAGCTCAAATTGTTGGGCACGAAAACCCCGAGGTCAACATTGGCTTACATGTATTCTATCAACAAAGTCATGCGCTTCTCTACCTTTGACATATGGGCTATGGGCGAAAACCCCATGTTCCTTGCAACCCGAACGGACATGGGTTGAGATTGCATTCCGCTAGCCAAAAATGGATTTTCCTTTCGGAACCACTCCAACCATTTGGGCGCCGATAACAAGACTCCCCAAGTGCCAGGCCGGGGGGCTGCTGTGACATGGTCGCTGGACTGGCCGTTCCTCAGCTCGCCCTTGTAGAAGGCCTCTTCGATGCACCGGGAGACCATCCAGGAGCCTCAGGACTTGGTCGGGAAACCAGGCCGCGAAGCTTGGCGTGGCTGGCTCCGCCGTTTTTTCCCACTCGGAAAATTGCATGGACTCCAAAGAAGGAACGTGTGGGGGTGGCTCAAAAAAAAGAGCCAGGCCAAACCGCTGGTTTTAGTCTTTGCTTCGATTTGCCCAGGTGCCACGTCCACGTGTTTTCTTGAGCCGCATGGGACGCGCTGAAAATCTGTGTCTGGCGCCACTCGTGGGCAATGAAGCAATCCTTGGCCTAGTTTGTTGACCTCCCAAAAAAGGAACCCGGATCCATTTAGAAACCCCGGAGAAAAGGGGCGGTCGTTTTTTTGCTAAGGACAGGACAGTTGAAGGGGCCAACCATGGTTTCCACTCCCATACTATATGCCCATACTCCTACTTTTGCAGGTTCAGAGCAGGGGCTGAGGGAAGGATCTTAATGAATGCGCCGTTACCTATGCACTCTAAGGGGACTTTGCCTGGGTCAGACGAGCGTTGAAACCGGGTTGATGAGAGCCAGCGCTTGATCACTCATAGGCCCGAGCTTGAGGCTGCCTTTCTTGAATTCCGTCGTGGTGGGGCAGGTGCCTTTAGCCATGGCAGTGCTCATATGATATGTGCCATGGTCCAAACACCTTGCACTGCATCGCCAATTGGGTCGTGGTTCCCCTAATTTCGGAACTATTATGACGGTCATTTTGGATCCTTACCACCAGCTGACCATCCCTGTTAACCCTCAAGCAAAGTGGTCTTTTGACCATGGCACATATGTCCAAAGCAATTTCTCACTTTACGCCCCGGCGGGCAGGTGAGGGGGGCAACCCCATTTACTTGCAACATTGAACAACTCACTTGATAGCCAACCCGCGGGATTTGGTGGGACATCCTAGCGTGACGTTAAGCCCCGAACTACAGAAATGAGATTCAGCCCTTCCGCACCATGTCTGCAAAGACCGAACTAACGCGGAAAGTACTCCAACACAAGTGATGAACGCCCACCCCGGCCAAGTTCTTGTTGGGGACATCCTTCGCAAACAGCCCTGCTAATGTCAAGTGAGTTGCAACTCCTAAATTCCAAGGTTGTTTTTTGAAGGGCAGGGGAGCGTGGCAGTGCACTTTTTGCTATATTTGATCTGCTTGCGCAAGTCTATATTTGCTGCTTGCACTTGCTTTGCTTATGTTGAGCTCTTGTTGAATATATTGCATTTAAATTTTACCTGATTTGCAAAGAAAGCCATGTTGGAAAGGAAACCCTGCGTGAAAATTGAATTGATATAGAATAATTAGTGTGATATGCAAATTCGCTTCGAAATTGAGCAGAATCTGATAAAGACATTGGGCTCAATAAGGAAATACTATTCCGATTCCTAAATGAAACTCTATCTTAAATTTGGAATTTATACAGAAATCCTTGCCAAATAGAACTTTACAATTCACTTAGAGCGTGGATAGCATTTGACAAGGCAAGAATCCAAACATAATTGCCTTTCTATGATAGAGAAATTCGAGTGAGTCCATATCAAATTAGACTTTACAGAACGTCCTTTCCAATAGAAACCGTGTACAGCATTAATATTATCGAAAATCCATTCCAAACTGAAGTGTTATCTATATTTTCCTTTCCATAAAAACAATCCTCTGGATCAAATGATCAGCCAAGCCGAAGACCAAAAACAAAAACAAAAACTAGAGAAAACCAAAAAGCAAAGCCGGAAAAAAAATATCCCAACACTCTTGGCACAGTGACAGGCCACTTCTAGAAAGAGTGTCTGAGGATTGTGTTTGCCTTGGTTGCTTTGTTTTCTGGTTTTGGGGTGTGTTTTTTGTTGTCTGCTTGTTGTTATTGTTGTTGGTTCTATTGTTGTTGCTTGGTTTTGTTTTGGTTCTCTCAAGGTATTGTTCTGTCTGTTTTGGAAACACGGGAATGCATCAGAACAGCAGGAAAGACGAATATTGACACACATACCTCAAAACAACACACAAATCTCAAACGCGGAAATCACACAGGTCCCCCAAAAAGAAAACAGGGGGTTCCCTTTTCCCCTTTTTTTTGTGGTGGGGGAGGCCGAGGCGCTGGATGGCTCCTTCACCGTGGCGCAGGCCTACCCGAAAATCCCCGTGGGCCGAGGTACGGGTGCCCCGTTTGCGTCACGAGTCGACGCGTCCACGAAATCCGGACATCGGCGCCAAATGAAACCCGTGGAGTTGAAACCATGGTTCGTTGGTTACAGGGGAAGCATCAGAAACCAGTGCTTCTTCCGTGGAATCAGAAAGCAGGGTTTCTGAACCGTGGCGCGAAATGGGGCTCGGAACCACGGCATGGAACAAGTTGGAAACCCTGCAAACTCAACCATGGCTTGTGCTTGGTTTAGGTGGGTGCCAACTGCCTGTTCGAAACCCAGCAAGATTCATGCGTGCCAATTGTTGATCTCGTTTTTGCAGAGTCATGCCGTTGCTGCCCAGGAAAATGTTTTTGTGGTTTCGCCTTTCCGAAACAGTAAAGAAACCTGGTGCCAAACAAACTCCATGTTTGCGAACTCAAAAGAGAAATAGCAAAGCTTTGCTTCACTCCCACAGTTGGACTTCATGTTGACTCCGGATGAATACACCCGTCCTAGGAGGGTGTTCCCTCCAAGTGATGAACTTCTGATTCAGGGGTTTGTTGATCCGGGCCACACTGATCTCATTTTCACACATGACTCAACACGGGCCAACAACTGCTTTCGCACCCCACTTTTTTCTGAGAACCGTCGCCTACCTCGACTCGAAAGGCAACCCATTTCATTAGCAGTCGGGTGAAGGGCAGTTTCCCAGCCAGGGTCAGACCCTCGGGGTCAGATCTCGAAAAGCAAGCTGGCTTCCCCCCCGCCACACAGCACTCCTTCACCGTTGCGGGCAATTCGTCACTTCAACCAACCAGGGCCTCGGGCCTTGGCGCAAAACTGGCCTTGGGGAAGCTTCCACTGTCTACATACAAGTCGCCAACTCAACCGCCGATGTTTCTTGCCCGGCTGTCTTTGACACCATTAGTTTACCAACAAAGTCACACCCCTTTAAGTGGTAGTGTAAAGGCAAACAACCCCAATTTTTGACATTGAAGACACGTACCAGCACCCTTTGTCCCATGTCCACAATCCCAAGTGTCCAAAGAGCAGCTGGGACAAACAGTCGAAGCCTGACCCTTACACGCTCCTTTTCGGTTTTTCCTGAAAAGCTCGCCGGCGCACCCAACCCAACTTTCGGCCTCCAGGCGGTTGGCGAAGCATTCCGCGGCACCGTGCTGGCAGTGTAGCGGCCCGGGGCTGTAACAGTCCGGAGCCCCTGAGAGCAAGGGGTTGATCAAAAGGTCCGGTAAACATGGGGTGACCAGGGAAACCGCCAAAGATCCGATGTTCACACGGGAAAAGTGTCCCATGGTCACTTGGGGCCGAAGGGAAGAGGGATCAACTCTCGAGGCTCGGAAACTGGAGAGACGCGCTCAAAAAGTGGTCAGCGGTCGCCTTCCAAAAGGAAGCCAACCCAAAAAACGGCCAAGTTACCATCAAACGTGGGAAGACTTCGGATCTGCTCGAAAAAAAGTAGCTCTGCACATATAGCTGGCTTGCTGTGTTCCCCCAGCTTTCGCACACAAGCCCCGTCTTTGTCTCAAAAGCCATCGGATCGATCCCAACCCCAAAGCCATCGGATCCAAATGCGGGAGGGTCGAAGAGGGGAAGGGGGCTGAGGGTATCTTTCGACCGACTCAAACGCATCCCAAACTCATCAATAGACAGGCCTGCGGCAACGGGGGCAACAAAGGCATTGCTCTTTGGGTTTCATGGTGTTGGCTTTTCGGTTTCTGGTTTGCGGTTGGGTCTTTTGAAACTTCTGGCAGTCGCTCGGTCCCTTGAGTTGCGCAAAATCTCGAGTTGCAGGCGTCCCCTGGATTTCCAACAAAAAATAGTTGAAGTTTACTGGAGGCTACAACAAGTTTGACTCTTTTGGAGGTGCACGGAAATTCAGGGACCCCCCCCCCCAAACCCGCTTTGAGATGTCGGACCGCGCCCCCGAAAGATTACTTTTTAAAACCCACACAAATGCTACACAAGGGTTCCGTGACCAGCCACACAAACCAAACACTGCAACGCAAAAGCTCCAACAACGCCCAGAACGGGCTTTTCTACGAACATAAGGCTGGCGCTTTAGAAACATCTCAGCAAAACGTTCATGTAAAAAAGAAGAAGAAGAAGAAGAAGAAAAAATGCCACTTTTCGGGGAGAGGTCTTCATCAGCCAGTGCCCCACAACCGGAGCTTGAGGCTGAAGCAAACCCCGCCGTTTCTTTCCACGCCTGCGCCGCCAAGGCCGCAACGCTTGAAGTAGCAGTCCCGCACCTGCGGAGGCGCGAAAAGCCACGCGACTGGGGGACCGAAGGGGTGTTCTGCAGTGGGGTCGTTCTCTGATCAGAAACTCCTCCAGAAACCAATTGGTGGGTTTTTTGAGGGAGTCCTGTATTTTTACGCGTAAGTTACCACCCCTCAGGGCATTGGCCCCTCTTTCTGATCTGCTAAAGGTTTGAATAACTGTGGGTTACATTGAAACAGAACTACCGAACCGACTAAGGGGATGGCTGGGAACCAGCAAGTTAAATTTGGGGACCTTGAGAGGGGTGGTTGCTTCCCTTTGAAACACTAAAAAAGGGGGCCTACAGGGCTACTTTGAGACAGACACGAATGAAGAGAAAACCCGACCTCTTCTTGGAATATTGGGTAAGACTGCTTTAGTACGTGACAAAGGCATCACAGCAAAGTAGCCAAAGCCTCCTTTCTTGCAACTCTGTGAGGCGATGAGGCTTTCGGCATGTCTGTCTGTATGCAAGATCAGGGAAGGTAGGGTAGGGTAGTGTAATATCATGCCATGCCATGTAGTGCAGTGTAGTGTCGTCGTATGGTGTGGCATGGTATGTATACAGACCTGCGCTTGCATGGATATACACATATGCATGTATTTGGCATGATCCAAGCCTATCGAGTGGGTCATGATGGTGACTCCCTTACAAAAAGGAACCTCAAAATGTCTGTCTGAATCGCTTTCTAGGTGGTGACCATCCTTAGCAACCCAGAAAAATGATTTCTTGCGGCCATAGCACATGTTGCCAACAGTTTACGCATGCGCGTCCTAAGGATCCGGACAAAACAGCTTGACAAAGGAACCCAGCGCGTCTTCACGCGTGCCTTTGTTCTAGGAGTGACACCCTTAAGACCGCCAGCAGGAGTTCAAATACCACCCACCCGCGAAAGTTCAGAAAAGCGGGCTGCCCTCAGATCCCCTGCTGAAAGTCTTTACCTTTTGGTGGGTTCAGCGAAAACCCCCCCATGGAACCGAACGGCTGGAAACCGCAATGAGGGCCCGATTGAACTTCAAGGTTGGCCACAGCCTTTCGGCAGATGGTCCGAATCCTCCGAACGCGGAGATGCGAATGAAATACTCACTTCCGATCGAGTCGAGAAAAAGTCTGAGCTTCTTGTTTACCGCTAAAATGGTCGTACCAAAAGGTATACAGTCTAGGAACTGAGAATATGACGCCTTGCCGTTCGCTTCTAAGAGGTTCCAAAGTTCCAACGAACGGATGGGATTGTACCAGGCCAAATCGAAAGTCTTAGACAGTTTGCGTTTTCGACTTTCACCGCCTGGCGGCTATAGCGGCAAGTGGAGGAACTGCTGCAGCCTGGCATGGCGCAAGCAAGAGGAATCCATCCCTCAGTGCTTCGGTCCGGCAGGACTTCCGTCTGTTCTTGTGGCTCGTCGAGATTCACACAGAAGTCAACCAGCCGTCCAAAGATTCGGATGGACGACCCGTAATCCCAAAAAAAACTAAGCATGCCTCCATGCCAAGTCCCCTTAAGAGATCCCTCACGAGTTCTGCATTCCCTCAGTTGTTCAGTGACCTGGAAAAAAAGGGAACCCTTTTTGGGGAAGACCTTTTTTAGTGGGGCAGCCACGAAAAAAATGGAAAAAGGCTGCCACTGAACAACTGAGTTCCTTTTGCCCTCCGTCCGACTCATTGGCCGCCGGTGGCATGGCCGCCTGGAGGCGCAGGAACGCCACCACACTCCTTGGTGATGTAGTAGGCGTTGCCGAAGGGCGTCCACTCCAGGCCTCTCTCTCCCGGAAAAAACTCCGTGGGCGTCCCTGGAAAACACTCACACCAAAAAGGACACGCCCAGCCTCGAACAAGATCATTGGCAAAAAAAATATCCTCACATCCGTCCTGGGTGACCTGTCTAGAGAACATGCTGATAAAAGGTTTGACCCAGTCCATGCATTGAATAAGCAGGGAACATCCATGGAATGATGTCCATCCCATGTCCATAAAAATAAGTTTGACCCATGTCCATGTCCTGTCTGATAGAGAATGTCATAGAATAAGCAAGGCAAGCCATACATTTCTTCGAGGGTCAAAAGGAGATCTGCATCAAGTCATGAGGCAGCTGGTTCTGTTTTGAGAGATCAAAACCGGGAGAAAAGGCGCCGAATCTGAAGGTCGTCCAAATGCTTTGTGGCGGGCCACAAATTGACCCCGCTCCTCTTTACCAGTCGTTGCGTGTCCCGATCAGTTGGATGAAGTGACAGGGTTCTAATGATTTTTTTATTTTTTTTTACACCCTGGGATTACACCCTAGGGAAATTGCTCATAATGATCCCAAGAAAACCCAAATAACCAAGTTTCATCTGGACATAGGCTAGAATGATCAGGGTGCTTGCCCCGAAAGCGTAACCCACCCCAGAGTGTAATAGGAAAACCCTTGAAAGGATCCCTCTTGCAAGCGCAAACCTCTTGGACTCTGCTCACATGGCTGCAAAAGGACTGGTTACGAGGAGCAAGAAAGCAACACCCCGTACGATTTGGATTGATTGTTTGGAGGCTGTGTACCTTCTTTTTCATTTGGCCAATCCAAACCACATACTGCAGGCCTCCAACAGTACTTCCCATCACCACGTAACTTGCTTTTGATGTTTCGGCCTTTGGAACCCACAAAATGGGCGGAGTCCTTTTGCTTTCCCCAAGGGTGGTGTCCCTTTCCTCTTCCCTTCGAAGCTCGAAGAAGGGAACCGAGCCTCAACCAAAAACCACATCCGCGCCGGGGCGCGGAAGACGTCGGAGCCGGTCCCGAGGGCCTTCTCTGCCGCTTGCAGAGGCCCGAAGATGAAGGCGGTGGTATCCTCAGCTGAGTGGCCACGGGTGGATGCCAACCGCGCAAATATTCCAAGTAAGCCAACCGCAAACCACCATTTTGAGGGCCTCCACTGTAGTGGTGTCCTTTTTGGGGAAATGGATCACCCTGGTCCAAAAAACGCGATGGCTAGAGGCTTTGTTGCATCTTTTGTCAGTTTGCCCGCGGGATAACCCTCTCAAAGGCAAAAAGGGAGGCTTTCTTTCCACGGCGAAGCTGGTCAATGTTCAAACCCTCTCTGTAGTACAACCCGGGGATCCCATGTCCCGCGACGGGTGGTTGAATTGTACTTCTCCAGCTACCCTTGTAGCCCCCTCGAATGGGATTCCATAATACTAGGCAAGTAAGATGTGGGTGTCTCTTTCTTTGGGGATCCCCCAAAATGGCTTTGGTTTTCCTTTTGGTTCCCTTTAAATCAACCAATGAGAACGGGGTACCCCCCCAATAATAATAATAAAAATAAAATAAAAAAACACCCCCCATGTTGCCCAAAACTTCGCCCCAGTGTCCGGGCAGCCGCTTTCCCCGAAGAGGGACACCACCACTGGATCAATGGAAGCCGCCAGCCTGCAAAGCGGCAGGCAACCAGGGGAGAATGGGAAACCTACTGTTCTAGGGGTAACTTCCCCATTCTTTCCAGGGATTCTTTCCAGAAAACCACCAAAACCCCGGAGAAATGGCTGTTTTTTGAAAAGAACGATGGCTGAAAAGAATGGACAAGGAATCAACCCCTAGAACTGTGCAACGAAATCCATGTCGCACCACTTTCAAAAACCATGGGAAGCCATCGTGTAAAAAAATACCGGGGAGTCATCTTTCCAGGGTTTCTTGGGTGGTGCGAAACGGATTTCGTCCATCCACAGTAACCACTTTCACAGATCCTGAAAAAACCTTGCCAGTGACAAATGGATTCAACTGGGTCTAAAATTGTCGACTTCGGTTAGCCCTGAGTTTGGCAAGGAAAGACACTTGTCGGGATCTCGGCGCCAAAGCAAAAGGGATCTGCGATAAGTGGGAGTGAGGCCCTGTTATGAAACATCGTGGTCGACTGGCATTCGCCTTGCCAGCGACAAGGACCATTATTCCACCCAAAGCAATCTTTTCGAGATGTATTCGACACAGGGTGGCGGTGGCGGTTAAGAAGTGACGTGCATAACCAATCTTACCGAAAGCTTCCAGATTTAACCACAGCCAGACAAGTAGCGAACGACCAAATAGGGGAGCAAAACTGGATTCGGAGCGCCTGGTCCGGGTGAAAAATAACCCTCAAAAACCTGCGATCGGTAAGAGGGAATGAAACAGGGAATGACCCCGTTTGATAAATCATCCAACTGGTGGATTCCTTGGGGACCAAAGCCCGCGGTCATTACCTCAGTCTCCGAGCACCAGCGAGCTATTTTTTTGTTCGGTTTCTGTGGGTTCCCTATTTGGGAATCCCCAAAACGGTTCATTCAGCCAAAGCCCGGACTCGGACATTCGTTCCCTTATCGCACCAAGAGCACTCACTTCCGATTGAGTGGATTGGCCCAAAGGGAACCAAACTTTTTGGCTACCACTAAAATGGTCTTCCCAAACAGTGACTAGAAAATTGATTGCCCTGGTAAAAGGAAACAAGGACTAAAACCTGCGGTGTTCTGGTGGTATGTGTTGTTGACCCATACCCAAATGGATGAGGTTCAGCGGGTCGAATGATCGTTGCTACGTATTGCGCAAGGGCTTTACGCGGCATAAAGATATGGACTATACTGAGCCATGTTGTTCGGCTTTTGGAGATACGGTGTTTTGCAGAACCAGAAGCTGATGGGTTTTGGGCAACACTCGTATTCAAAGGCGACTATGGTTCACAGGCAATCAATTGCGCTTACAAACTGAAAGACTTTGCCATGATAGCCACCTGCTCGGCGCTAAATCATGTGCGGTTGCCAAGGAGACCACAAGTGGACGGAGATCCTTTCTTCTTCCAGAACTCCTTTATTGATTCTCGTGAACTACATGTCCGGGCAGGACTTTCTGTAAAGCATTTCGTTCATTGTTCGACGGCATGAGCTATTCCACCAACCTGACGAAACAAACTTGTAACATTCGCCATCCTCAACAAGCGGCGCTTTCTAAAGCGGCCAACTGCTTGACCGTTCAATCTTTCGGAGAGGCCATCAAGTGGGGCGGGGGTCTCGTCGACCAACCTTTATGTGCAAACAACTCAAAGTCCTCTTCTGACGTGCAAATGGGCAGGCTCCCCATGTAAACAAAAATGACCGCGCCAGCCTCACTGCCAGGAAAATGCGCATGCTGAACCGAGGAACTCTGCAGAAACAAACAAAAGTTCTCTGCAGGTGTGTCAACAAACGAAAATATCAGCTAGAAGGCGTTGCGCCAGAGCTCATAGCCACGTGCTTTTTTGTTCAATCGCTGTTTTTCAAGAGCGCGGCCTGGAGCCAAATCGCAGGACTCGGTGTAATTGCCCCCACGCCAAGAAATCCACAGAATCGAACGGACACAGGCACTTGCCCGCAGGCACCACATTGTGGAAGCTTTCAGACCTTTCTCAGCTCATGGAATTGCGGTTGATGGATTACCCGGGCAGATTCATCACAAGCTTAGTCAATCCTCACCCAACCTTGCATACCCACAATCTTAAGCAAATGCCTACCTACCCAAGTCAGTCACCAGCCGTCACCTGGCTACCTCTCCAGTCTCTGCCAGCTGAAACTGGCAGGGCACTTGACCAGCCCTTGGGGTTTCAAAACAAGTGCTCCCCCTCTGCGCCCAAACAAATCAAAAGTCACACTCTCAAAATGAGCCTTGAATTGGCGAACATGAAATGAGCCGGCCACCAAGTCGCTCGTCGCTTCCAGTTGTAGCTGCCAAAGAGTAGACTGTTTGCCAGCTGTGACCGTTTCCAATTGAAACCAACAGGGAGATACAAATCGCCATAAGCAGTTGGAAGCTTCAAGATCCCGGCTGTGGGAAGGAAAGCCTAGGGGGAACGCCTTGCCTTCCAGGACGTAGACGAGATGTCAATTTTCAGAGCCGTGTGCCGCTTCCGAACAAATGTAGGACTCCCCGACAAAAAAGAGTGGCATAGGGATGGACGCTTTGGGGTGTGGGCGGGCTCCCTCGTGATAGAGATGTCTATCTGTTGACGCCTTTGCAGGACATGGCAAACCCCCGTGTGTGGATGAGGTTCTTCTGCGCACTGAAGAATCTTGGCCAATCCACTTTTGGGAAGGCATGTTTGCCTACCATCACATCTTCCTATTGAAGGGCATCCCATTGATGCCCTGGTTGGGCGGGCGGTTTTGGAAACACCAAACGGAAGCCAACAAAACATGACCCATGGTCAAGACTCCGTTTCTTTAAGGCCGATTGGGTCATGGTTCCCATAGGAGTCATTGTAATAGCGAATTAACATCCTTACTATCAGGTGGACCATCCCTGTCAACCCTAAAAAGGAGGCTTTCGACCATGACACCTTTGGGGGGGTCCAATTCTTCAGTATTTGTTTCGGGCGACTCCTATTGGAACGGTCTTCCTTCTCCGAAGCGAACATTGACACAAACGATTTTCCAGGATAGTGAATTTCCGTTTACCGCAGATTCCTGCGAAAAGGGCAGAATGGGGTTTAGAAGGTAGCTCCCACGTTGCTTGTGTTTTCTTCCGGTTTTGGGTCCGTGGTTTTAGAGGGCAACGCGACAAGCGGCGGAAGTGTTTTGTTTGGTGTGGACCGATGGTCTGGGCTCACGGGCTGCATCCTCCCGGAAGGCGGTCTTAAACTTCAAAGGCACCGACATCTGACGCCGAATTCGGTCGACAGAGTCGACAGAGTCGACAGGCTTTATCCAGCCAACTGGGGTGTTTTGGCAGGACTTGCAACGAAGCCAACGGTTTACCAAACTTTACTTGCAAAAAGTCGAGCACCGGAAGGCTTGCTTTCCCCTCTGCTGGCTGAGTTTGGCGAGTCCCTGCCCCCAGACTGATGAAACTGCTGCAAGGTTTTGGGCGAGCTGCTGAGGTCGGCGTCGTATTGCTGTTATTTTTGGGATATGGTATGCATGTATATACTTGCATATATTATCTGTGCGTTTTTGGATAGACTTCATGCATGCCCCAGGCTATGTGCAGTTTGGCTTGAAACTTGGGTTTCTCAATGGCCTGAGTTTGGTTGTTTAAGCAGATGTTGCCCGACCGGTCAACGGTTTACGGGCAGAACCCCTTTCTAAACCGGCCAGCAGGAGTCATGGTACTGACGCACAGCGGATGGCAGCCCTGTATACACTTCACGGATCAGAATCAAAGCCATAAGAACTCTTGGCATACAAACATAAAACCAGGCACCCAAACACCTCAGTACAGTCCCCAGTCCCAAGCTCAAGTTGGATGTCGCGATCAAAAGAACCCACCCCAAAACGAAGCCGAGCCTCTGAGATGATGCCTAAAGAACATCTAAACCATTTTCAGGGGTCCGACTTTTCACCCGAAAGAATTAGCACCAGTCCCTCGGAAACACTTCTACCTGGCTGGTGCAACACATGCTCAGCTGCACTGGCGTGTCAACGAACCCTCACTGTCACTTGCCTACAGAACTGGAAATCCACCTTTCAGAAGCCATGACAAACTGACCAAAATATTGAAATGCGACGAGCATTCAATGGATTTTGCTTTTTGCCCCCCTCCAAGAGAAAAATTAACTCAATCTCAGGGAGCCAAAATACCATGTTGCTTTTGCCGAAACAGGGCGAATGGTATCTGGGTTGATCTGTGTCCCACCAGTGCAGGTCGATGGATTGCTAGCTTGCGAAGGAAGAATGTGCCAGGGCAAAGGATCTTCATATTGGCTTTTCAAAACAGTTTGGGTTGGCCAATGCCTTCTTCCACCATCCCTATTTCGTGACCGAAGGCACGTGGATCTTGCGGATTACCTTTGAACAGCCCGGCTTTGCTTGGCCAGCCAAACGGGAGGCGAACCAGAGCAGGGATCCTTACATTATACACCTGAACATTGCCTTGGCAAGTGGCTTCCAACTTTATTTTGGTGTTGAAAAAGCAACATGTTTCAAATGGCTGCAACATGAATTTCTTTTACGGAGCCCTGCAGAGGCCCAGCTGAGGAGGCAAACCAGAGGCACCTCCATTGGATCGTTGCTAAAGATGTCCGGCACCATGTACTCCGAGAGCATGTTGCCGTAGACGACCACCCGCTCGTGCTTCCAGACTGGCGCAACAAAGGGTTCGAGCAGACCGCCATGGGCTAAAACCCAGAAGTTTTGATTTCCCAGAAAGGGGAATCTATGATCAACTTCTACGTTACGTTACTGGAAACAGCATCAAAACAGGACCACCCAATAGGCAAATGGAGAACCAGGCCGCATCCCCAGCATGCCTCACTTGCACTCTCTGGTGGGAGTTGGGACTGGCTCGGGGCTGGTTGAACGGTAAGTGTTTGGGCCGGCTTCGGTCTTGTTTGAGGCCGGTCTTGGGTTCGTTGGGGGTTCAGAAGTCTTGGCAAAGGGCGGATATCCAGCTGCTGTGTGGGTTTTGGGTGGGTTTGGGGCTGGCTTGGAGCTTTGTGCTAGGCATGCTAGCTGTGGCTTTGGGATTGCTTTGGGGTGTGCTTACGTGAGTTTGGTCAATTTTGGGGGGTTGGGGCAACCAACTTTGGGGGTTTGGGGCAGCGCTCCAAAACCCATCCCAACCTAGCACAAATCAGCACCAAACCAGCCCAAACCCCAAAGTCAAACCTAAACCCACCCAACAGCAGCCTGGACATCAGACCTTTGCCGAGCCTAGCTGAACCTAACCAACCCAAGACAAGCCCAAGTTAAGATCGAAGCTAGCCCAAAAGCCAGCGTAATTCTACAAAGCAGCCCTACGTCCAGACTGGCGGTGCTGATGATACGGCAAAGCAACCAACAAATCAACCAACCAACCAGCCAGCCAACCAACCAACCAAGGTTGTACAAGCCCAACTGGTGCTAGTAATATAACAACGGGTGTCAGCCAAACTCCAGTACCAACAGCGAACAAACTCATGGACAAAAACGCAAAACAACTCGTCGACACATGCTTGCATCAGCGCAGTTGTCAGTGCAGTTGTCGTCGCCAGTTGCGACTGCAGCTGCTGTTGCTGCCACTGCGGCCGCTGCCGCTGCACAGCATGCCCAGCATCGGCTTCAACGCCCCTTGCATCACCAGAAGCTTTCCTAAACCACCAAGAATCAACTCCAAACAAAACTGAAGCAAATCCTATACCCCGACCCAACCAACCCCAAACCAACACCAAACCAGCACTAAAGCTAGCCTAAACCTGCCCTAAGCCCGACCTTGACCAACAACCCTAAACCAACCCTAATCCCGCTATAAACCCACCAAAGCCCGACCCTGAGCCCACCCTAAACAGGCCGCTTATCTTTCCGAACTCCCAACACCCTTTGGGAAAAACTAGAGGGCACAGATAAATGAAACCAGAATCAAACAGAAAACCCATCATCATCCACTTTCCACTGTGACCCCATCCAACCCCACAACCCCTGTGACCGACAAGAAAGAGTGCCGAAAAATCCTGCTCCCTTCGGCCTGGATGCACTTCGCGATGGACCAGCAGCCGGGCTTGGAGCCTCAAGACTTACGACGCAAAGCCCAAGGGAAAGACGAAGAGCTGGGCGGTCCGTTTTCTGATCTGCCAAAACTTTCACTTTTGGGTTAAAGGAGTTGCAACGAGTTGAAACCCATCCTCTACACCAACTAAACGCCTAGAAGCCTGGTTTAGAAACCAGACGGCCCCTCAAACAGGGTACCCTCCTGCCAGTGGAACCTGATGTTTTGGGGTCCTAGCTCATCTTCCTCTGAATGGACCCTGTGCTGGGTTCCCTGTTCGTGGACAAACGGGTACTTTCGTGGGTTTCATGATGATTTTGTACGGAGCTGGGAACGGGTGAACAGCAGCCGTTGCTCTCACCATCATGATGGGATAGGATTCGTGTGGCGATCAAAATCGTTCGAACTTAGCTCTTCGCGCAAGCGGGAAAACAATGTTGCGCCGACCGAGGATGCGACCCCGCGAGGATGCTTTCCGCGCAAAGTAAACCATCAAAGTAGTGGCTGACAATGCCCCTGCAGCATACATGTGCGCGCCCAAAAGCCAAAAAGCCTCCTTCCTGTCAGCTCCGATTGCGTGCAATGCTAACGCGTCAAGGCAAGGGACCGCTGTGGATCTCTCACACGAACACCTGCGTGGAATCAACTAATCAACTGATTGGAGGGGCCCCCCCCCCCCCCCAACCCCACTCGCCCGCAATGGTTCTGAAACCCCCAGGAGAATGGTGGTCTCTCTCCACCCAGGTGACCTCCAAGGCCCCAGCTTGCTGACCGAGTAGATGCCCGTCATCTCCGCCGCGGCGCGCCGCTCCTGGCGGAGGCGTTCAGAGCCAAGGCTTAGATTCACGGAGGAAAAAACTTTCAGGGAGTATCCGCATCTTTAAAATCGGAGCTGTTGTTGTGGGAGAGATATATTTGGCCATGGGTTAAAACCCAAATTGTACCCCCAGTGAACATCCCAATCTCCACTAAAATAGACTAAAATGGGTGGTGCACCTACCCAAAATGGTAACATTGGTTTTGACCCACAGCCAAATTTCTGAGCATAGGGCTTCAAAGGGAATACGAACACACATAAAACGCGCGCATAGTTCACGTTTCTAGTCACCACGATGTCTCACCAAGCTTGCAAGGAAGAAGCATCCCTGAAGAGGGCGCCCATTTCTGGCGCGTTGTTGCTGTCCATCACTCCGAAAGTCAAGCCATGGGGAGTCACTAGTGAACACGCATCATCTGAACACGCAGAAAAACTCTGAAACTTCCCCCCCCAAAATCCAATGTCTGACCAACGCACCGGCACGCCAGGTGAAAAAGCACGGCGAAGACTAGTGAGAGGCCAGGCCACTTGACTTGCCCTTGCCACAAGGAAGGTCAAAACCTGTGACGGGCAGGCAGGAGGATGCCATCTGTAAGCGCACTAAGCGGAAACAAAGCCCCAAAACGCGAAACCGGAAGCACGGCCGCACAAATGGAAGTGCATGCAAAGTGCGAATATCTGCTCAGGTGGTCCGAGACTTGGCAAGATGGTTTGGAACCCTGGTTATACGCCACTTGCAAGTGTGCCAAGGTCTCCGCTTCCAAAGCATCCATCAGGGGTACCAAGAATATAGCCAATTGCTCACGTGGAATACGGGTGAAGCGGGACATAGGTGCTAAAAGCTTCGGAGCTGTCCTGCAGAATCGATTTTCGGACCAACAACCCGGTGGTTCAATTTTCCACGTCTTCGTATGCAACCAGTGGAGCCGTCAGAGAGTACAACTAAACGGAAACAATACATTCGGTTGAAATAACGGCAAGCAATGGGCTTGTTGAAACGACTTTCAGCTCCACCCTGCCTGCCTGCCAGGATACAATCGTTTCGCATGGCTTCCATACCACAGTAATGTTGACTTTGGATTTCTCCGGAGGACCATAGCAATCAGATGTGGTTCCCTTGTAGTATGGAAATGGTCTATTGCAGAGGGTTCCCTTGACTGGTGTGGTCCTCCAGATTGAACCAATGTCAAGAATATCATCTGCCCAGTGATGTTATGATAACCGTCGCAACCCCCGTCCTTAGCCGTAGCCACGATGGTCTTCCTGAGAATCAGCTGTGCGGCTTTCAAGCGAAAGCCAAATAAAGACCTATTGACGTTTGGTTCCACTAACATGGCTATGAAGGCTATAACTATATTAGCCGTATCTGGGCTGCCCTCAGATCCCCCGCTAAAAGTTTAACTTTCAGTGGGTCAAATGGAAACTACCACTAAACACTAAAAGGCTAAGAAGCTAAGGGGATGCTGGGAGCCACCAAGTTATCATAAAATCCAATTTATACCTGACAGAACCTGCCCACATGCCCTCAGGAGGTTGGGCGCTGCTCCCAGCACCCATACTCTGGAGAGGACTGCCCTCATGAGCAAACCAAGTTCGGACTCTTCACCTCTTCCGGGCTCTCCGTGTTCTGATCTGCCAAACGTTTAACTTGCCGAAATGTTTTGAAACCCACCCAAACCAAGCAAAAACCTAAGGAACCGGAGGGCTGGGAATGCTGGGACGCCACTCAACGAGTGGGAACCCAGCTCCCTTGCGCCTCAAAGGAGGCGCACCCAGCTTCACGTCACTGAGGCGCAGGGGTCGGGCCAACCTGGCCGAAAAGTTGGGTTTTTCGGTCTTAGGAAAGCTAAAAGGAAACCCAACCAGCAAGAAAGGCGCCAACCCAAAAATACAGAGTTTGCCAGATAACCTGTCTTGTCCATTTTGGTTGTCACCTCTGTTGTGGGCGTCAAAGTGAACTTTGGCAATACCGCGCAATTTCAAGCTGGGCAAACGCCCCATGCCCTCAGTTTGCACTTGGCCTCTCAGGCTCGCATATCTATAGGTCAAGACCGCAGCCCAAAGGCAGCGATAGGGCTTGGTGCTGTTTGGGGGTGTCTTCTTTGAGGCTACCCTGTTTGTTTGTGTTTCATTTTGTTGTTTTTTACTTTAGGAACACCAACATTTTGGGGTACCTAAACAAGACACACCTGTTCTCAGTCGTCCCTGTCTGCAGTCTGAACGCCATCGAATCCAGTTCTCGGTTCACGGCTTCCTGTCTCGGGCCCAGGCCGAAACTAATCACTCTCGCCTAGGGACATGGGTTTTGGCCAAGGTCTGTCGCCTTATTGCCCTCCTTCCAATTCATGGAAGTGAACAGTATCTTGGAAGACTTAAGATCATCTTTAAACGGTCGATGTTCGCTGGTGCTCAGTAGGGAATACCAGGGATTCCCTTCAAGGAAGCCACAAGGGAATGGTTTATGGGGGTCATTTGATTCTCATTCCCTGAGAAACAGCAAGCCATTGACCACTGCCAGCCCCAGTAAAACTATCCAAGGCCTGCCGGTAATCTTGAGGACGCGTTCCGCCTCCTTGCGCCAATCTGCGTAACCCAGGTTGGACACCACCCTTTGAAAAATGAAGGGGAAGTTCTGCAAAGCCTGTGAAACACAAAGTGCCTGCTTCCCCCAATCGAAAACAATTGGTTGGACACCTCCTTGAACACCCCACGAAGACTTTGACAAAATCAATTGTTCCTTCATTGCCGGACCTGTGTTCTGCGAGTACAAAATATGTATAGCGGGCGCCCGCCCGTGCCAGTGCAGTCGAAATGAGGCTTTTCTCTACGGAGCGCGTGCGAAACACCGCAAATGACATGCAAAATGCAGTGGTGCCAAGTGGGAACGTTTGCATGTTTACGAAGTGTCGGGGCTGACGCCGACGACAGCAACGACGATGCCGACGCCGACGCCGGCAACAGCGCCCAACACCAGCACCACCACCACCACCACCACCACAACAACAACAACAACGACGTCGAAACATTGGGTGGTCTACCCTTCTGTTTATAGTGGCAGAATAGCATGCCTAATTTTTCTTTGGGTCTGGTTGGAGGTTTGGCAGCGGAAACCATACGAAAGGCGGCCCATCGCGTTGTACGTCTCTCGCTCCTCAGGGCTCCGGGTCTTCATGCGGTTTTGCGGATCCCACTTGGCTGAGTTGTCGTGCTCGTAGCGCAGCGCCTGCCAGCGGCGCTCACACACGCGTCGTGTCTATCCACATATGCATATGTTACTCGATATATAACATGTATATATATATATAGAGAGAGAGAGAGATGCGTGTGTGTGTAGGTATGTGTTCGTATGTACGTATGCGTGCATGCATGTCTGTATGTCTGTATATCTGTATGTCTGTAATTCTGTATGTTTGTATGTCTGTATGTCTGTACTTCTGTATTTCTGTATGTATGTATTTCTGTCTGGTTGTCTGTATGTATGTATGTAGGTAGGTAGGTAAGGTTAGGTAGGTAGGCATGTAATTCATGTATGCATGTATGTATGTATGTATGTATGTATGTACGAACGTACATACGTATGTACGTATGTATGTCTGTATATGTCTGCGTGTCTCTATGTCTGCATGTCTGTGTGCATGTATTCATGTATTCATGTATGTAGGTAGGTAAGTAGGTAGGTATGTAATGCATGCATGCATGTATGTATGCATGTACGAACGTACATACGTATGTACGTGTGCATGCATGCATATCTGTATGTATGTATGTCTGTATGTATTGATGTCTCTAATTCTGTATGCATGTATGTACGTACGTATGTATGCACGCGCATGCATGCATGTGCATCCATGCATGCATGTGCATCCATGCATGCATGCATGCATGCATGCATGCATGTATGTATGTATGTATGTATGTATGTATGTATGTATGTATGTACCGAATGTGCATGCATACTGTATTAGGGAAACCTATGGAGTAAACATTGTGTCATCAAAAGAATGGTTGTTGTACATAATACACATGTATCTTACATGCGTGTATATATATATATACATAAACAGGCATTCGTGTCGCATGCACTACCCATAAAATACGAACGACGACTATTGATTCATGATATCCATCATTTCCCTGCTGTCGGAGAACCTCTGCGTGCGCTTTGCGCGCCCTGATCAGCCACTCAACGGCATGACCCGCATAGCATCTGGCCAAGCCCTACAGCATGTGTAAACTAGATTTCTTGGAATAACTTCTCCGGTGTCTTTTTGTCGAGGGCGACTGCAAAAGCATTTCAGCCTGTATAACTTCGTCCTCAAACCCTAAGGACTCTTCTCAAAACCGGGTAAACAATCGAAGACACTTCAGCACAGTGGCAGCCTCACAGAGACAGTCCTGCTGCTAGAAACTGTGTTTCCTCACGCCGATCTCTTCCGTGCAAGAATGAAGGCCTCATCGTTGGTTAAAAGGTGCCTACAAACTAAAGCTGCTTCTGCCACATCGCAAAAGCTTAAGCTAGATAGATTGCTGTCTTTGCAGCGAATTGCAAATGCAAATCCGCATTTGCAGCACGATCCTTCAAAGATCAAATCGTCTCCGCCTCAGTGCGTCCCATCCACTCCCCGTTAGGCAGGGTGTGTGGTCAATGCCCCTTGCTGTTTGGCGCCTAGCGGGAAACCGATTTGGATAGCCTGCGAAAAGTTCCCAACTCGTGGACACAGGTGAGTAACGCCCATCTGCCACTGGCACGTAGCCAGTGTACTCCATGGGGATGCATGAAAACTAGGGCTCCCACAAATTGGTTCGTTTCATGTTGGCCCGTTCTCAACCCATCCCGTTAAAACACTTCTCATGCCAAAAACATGAGCATGCCAAAAACCTGAGCGCCACAGGTCCATCCGAGCAGCGGGACGCCCAACTTCGGTGATGTCCTCCGAAGGCGAAAAAGGAAAAAGGGCGATGGTGTCCCTTCCAAAACAGAAGCTGTTAGGAAAGTGTCAGACGACCCTTCTCAAAGACTTCTGTCAACATCCTCCCAAATCAAAGTAAGATGACTTCAAGTTCATGGCCAAGGTATTCACCAGTGCAAGGCTTGATGCATGACTCCCTTGTCAGCCTTTCACCTTTGCACCTATGGATGTTAGTATCATTCCATAACATCCGGTTGCCATCGGAAACGAGTGATATCCGATTGACTCGCGAATAGTTTGTCACGCTATACCATCATGAGCAAGCGCCCTTGAGTGTCCGAGTGCTTCCTGCAGCACAAAACGGGGCGTCCCACACCCACATGGCCCAGAACCTGTCAAAAACCCTTTTGAGGGCCCCTTCCAAGGAGGAAAAAAAATGAGGTAAGAAGGTAAGCCGTGTCTGCGTTCCCTTCAGTGGTCATCGACCAGCCGGAGTTGAGTTTGACCATCCCCAAACTCTGTTAGAACATCTACGAAGGCCCCAACCCTGAGAGTCACTCACCTTCCCTTGCCCATGCGAGTCCATGGAAAAGAACCCTAAGCAGCCTACAAAGGGAAAAGGCAAACACGGGTGGTTTGGTATGGGCAAATCAAAGAACAAAAGCCTCTCTCCAGAATGCCTGGGAAATAGAAAGTCAACCTGGTTGAAGACCTAAGCAAACTCCCAAGATCGTTTGGAAAAGTGAGTTTTGTTTGTTGGTTGTGCGAGCGTAACCCAGCTCACCAAACGAAGAGAAGCTCGGTACTGATAAAAAAGAAGTTAACAAATTGTAAGTCGAAGTTTCTTGTATCTGCAGTCATTCGCGAAGAATGCATCGCCACAGAAGTTCTACGAACTAACCACGCGCGCGTTGGGCATGCATTTGCTTGAAAAGCTACTGTATATGCGCCTGCCTTTATCAGAGGAGTCAGGGGAAGTAAATATTATGCTGGACTAAACAAACCAGACATCACTTAAAGGCTATTGTCAAACTAGCGGAACCGTCCAAGCAAGAAAATCGGCACAAATCAACGCGCCTCTGTCCAAACAGAAGTGCCGCCCTTGAAATTCCGAGAGTATCACTAGACTACCAACAGAAGTAAGTTTGCAAACCTTCCCGCATTGCTCACTTCAATGGGGATGGCAGCTTCTGAAGTGACCAACCTCGACATTCAGATTTTGCTCTTTGGGAAGGGAGGCCTTCAGTTGGCTAGCCAGAAAGTCAAAACGTAAACACAAGCACATGGTACATGCGGAATTTGGATTCACGAGAACCCCCAGTCATGCCAACTTTGGATTGACAACCCCTCTCCTTTGTAGCGGCGAAATTTTGGGGGAGGTCGCTGGACGGATCATTGCTATTCTTTTTCTGGAAACAGGCAGTGGGTGTGTTGCTACGGCCAAACACAAAATGCATGCTGGGAGTGCTCAAACAAGGGAAACTCACCCAACAAAACAGACTTGCGGAAAAACACCTCAACTTCTGCCAATATGTTGGATGTGAGTCAACTCTTTTTGTGGGAGACCGTCAAATCAAGACATTGGCTGCGCGGCTTCAGCCCAGGAAGCACTCAGATCCCTACTTACGTCATAGGGATCTTCTGAAGGCCAGCTCCACTTCTGACCCGGCTGGGCAAGCGAGTCGCCAGCCCCAGTCCAAGCCTTGCAAGTCAGGCCATCCAGATTCCTTGACGCCTCAGAGGGTCGCGCGGGCACCGCAAGAATCGCAAAAAACCTCGAGTTTTTGCACCTCGACCACGCCGATCCGCGCAGAGGGTCGCGCGGCAGATCAGAAATCGCAACAAGCCTCGAGTTTTTGTACCTCGACCACGCTGATCCCAGCTGAGCGTTGCCAAGCACGAGCGCTTGTAGCCCAGACACCTCCTGCCCAGCGCTTGTAGCCGAGTGGTGGACTGGGCTGCGATGTGACGCCCTCAGCTCCCCAACTCTCCCAGGCCTAGCCCCCAAGCTCAGCCAAGCTTGCAGCACCGAGCGCAGCGCAAGCCGCCGCAACTCAGCTCAGCCTGCTCTGCAAGGGGAGTCTCCGAGACGCAGTCCCAGCACTCCGACCCAAACTTCGCAAGCCCGGCAGCCACCTCGTTGGCCGAACCCCGCCGCTCGAGTTCAAGTTCCTGGCAATCAATCACTTTGCGCTGCCCACCATTTGCTCAGCGCGCTTTGCTCTCTTTTGGATCGGGCAACGAGCATTCGAATCACGGAAAAAAGTGCCGCCAACCAACTGGACGGGGCCTGGATGCCCATGGTCCCGTCTTCCAGCGGCCAGCTGTGGGCGGTGAACATGTCCAGGCGCTCGAGATCGATCTTGCGCCACTGCGTGTTCCTATAGCCTCCAAGCATTGGTCTGATTGGTTGAATTGGTCTTGGCCCCCGGAATCTGCTAGACATTCGCATTGTGTCGGTTGACGGGAAGCGGAAACGGAGCACTCGCACAAAAAAGTGGCCGAGGTGCCTTGGCAGTTGAGTCGGGATTGGTCGTGGTCAAACACTAACCTCCCCCCAGCCACCCCAGCCCAACCACAAAAACAAATGGAAGATCGCCGGCAAGAGGCGGCCTTGGCACACGGCGGCTCAATCAAATGCATGCGAAGCACCAACACCCTGCCTCGCACCATCATCACTTTATCCTGCGCCCGAAATGCTGCCAGGCAAGGGCGTCCAGTTGAAGCGGTAAAGGGATATGGCTGTGGGTCAAAACCCTGTACCCCTGGTGAACATCAAAATAATGGAGCCACAGGTTTTGCCCCATGGCCATATTTCTTCTGAGCTGTTTAACAGGGAGCCTAAAAGAATGAAACTACCTGTCCCCTGCCGGCAGTCTTTTGGGTGATAAAAAAGAGAGAAAACAAAAAGAAAAAACAAACAAAAAAAAACTAGGCGTGTTTTAGCACCCATAAGGGGATCGTGTCCGATTGAAAAAAGAGCCGACCTCGTTTATGTAGCCGCGCAAAAGGCAAAAGCCTTGGGGACAAGCAACAGGAACCATGGCAACCTGCGCCTTTTATTCTTTTTTGCTGAGCCGATAAAACAACAATCCAGCCGGATCAAGCCAAAAAGGTTGTTTCACAACGCCCCCCCCCCCATTTGGCAATTTAAACGATGGCTCCGTATTTCCAAGAAACAACAAATAACGGAAGGTGTCTCCAATTGAAAACTGACGGGCCTTGACGGACGGAAACAGCTGCTTGAAGGGCTTGCTGCCACCAAGTGGCTGCTTTTGTTTCATTCCATGAACGAAACCGTTTTGCGTTGGACACCTTGCAACAATCAACGTTATCACTTTCCAAAAGGTGCAAAAGGTCAATCAAGTCGCAGCAACCCAGCGATCTGAGCGCCAATGCTGTGAAAATGCACATGATATGCTCGCACTTTCGCACTTCGGCCGACCCTTCCCTCACTTACCATGAATCACACTCAATTTTGACAAATAGCTCTCCCTCATACCTTCCCTCACAAATTCCACCAATCGCCGACTTGTTCAGACGTATTTTCCCGGATCGATCCCACGCCACAGTCATGGGGACCTGACACGGGCTGTGGATACCCGCGGAACCTAATGCAGAGTCTCTGGTTAAGTTCCGTCTCTTCCAGGAAAAGAACAAGGAACAAATGGATATGAAACTTCAGGGGTCCTGAACCCTTTGGCCTTCGGACATCAAACAATTCGGTGGGGATTCAGGCAACCACCAACTTCTCAGCTGGCTGCAACTCCTACATTCATAGCCACAGTTCCAAGGGTCGAAGTCATGCATGCGCCTTGGGACTCTTGAGCACGGCGTAGGGTGTGTACTCGGCATTGTCCCCTTTCTCCCGAGGGTCGCTGGCCACGGTGCCATACCTGCGCAAAAAAAGGCGCGGAAGAGTCGGAACCCTGAGAAAAAAAAGTTTCAGCTGTTGCCAACATGTTTGGCGCCATTTCATCTGGTCTTCCTAGCGAAGGCAAAGTGTCGAAGAATGGAGTTGGAGGAGCCTTTGGATTTGCGAGTTGAGCCACGGCTATTGTCCCAAAAGTGCCGCTGGATCCGCAGCGCGCCCACGCTGCTTTGTTGCGTCATTTAGGGCGCGTGCTAAAAACCAGCATGTGTTTGTGGCGTCGTCGCAACCAGAAGAAACAAGTATATATGTATACATATATATATATATGTAACATATTATGTATGCTTATATACTCGCACAGAGTAGCGCTTCTGCAAGCCAATGTGTCTTAGGAGCAGGACCCTCGACAGCTGGGATTCTGCTGTAGTTGAGGAACCTGTGAAACTGGGGAAGTTGTAAGGTAAGTCACGCATTATGCACCGACCCGAAGTCTGTGTCTCAAACGGGGGACTCACGTTGGGAGTTGTTTAACAGGAAAAAGGAGCTAAAAACCCGGAACTTCGAAGCGAAAGAATGGGGGAAAGACCAAGATGGATGCCCAAACGAAACTGCTGACCCGCTTGGTTTGCCAGTCAGCGAGTGACCGTTGACATTGAGGTGGAAGAAACTACATGACAGGCAACCTTAGGTCACCCAAACTTGGCGTTGCTTGGCATGAAACCCCAGTTCCTACATTTGGTCAACGACACGACTTGGCATGAAACCCTTCTTAAAGTTGAACCTCCAAAGTCTCAAAGCCACCCCGTACCAAGGGGGCCAGCCGACTATCCCTACAACGAAAAAGAACACAGAGCCAACCACCAAAGGATCGCTTGGCCAGGGTTGCCTCGAGCACAACGAAAAAGCTCGGGTTTGGCCGGCGACCAAAAGGCCATATGGGTGGCTCGTCTTGCTCAAGAATTCGGACCCAAAAACATGGGTGAGTTCCCTTTGAATTTCCCTTTAAACCAGCCCCAAAAAGGGTACCCACAAAAAAAAAAAAAGACCCACATGGACAAACCATCCAGCTGGAGTGACAAACACCTCGATGATCACATGGAACTAGGTTTTTTTTTGCAGGTGAAAACAGAGTTGGAATCCACAACTGATGGACCCCCTTGTGGAACCCCTGTTTCAATGCCCTGCATTTTCTTGACGCGCTGGCAACAAAAAAGAAACGAAGCCACTAAAGAGGTGCAGAGGTGAGTGATTCATGTGCTGCCAAGATGCGGAATGAAGACATTGTTCAGCAGGGCAGTTCCTGATAACTCTCGGGCTCAGGCAGCCGACAAATGGCACCAGCACATAAGGGGGGTTCTCAAACTAGGCACCGGACCCGTTTTGGATGGGTTTAGGTTTCTCAGAATAGGAACCGGACCCCTTTTTGGACGGGGTTAGGCTTCTTAAAAATAGGCACCGGACCCCTTTTTGGATGGGTTTAGGCTTTTGAAAGTAGACGCCGGACCACCCTTTGGATGGGTTTTGGTTTCTCAGAATAGGAACCGGACCACTTTTTGGATGAGTTTAAAAGGAAAAGCAAAAGAGCGCAATCCCCCCTACCTTAAGGGGAGGGGGGAGGGGGGTTCCTCCCTACAACAGGGAACATAGAACCACCAATGGAATTCCAGGGGTCACCCCCCCTCCCCCACTTCCATTTTCAAGGGGGGAGGATGCAGCGCAACGGTGAACGGTCAACATGATCGTCACAAAACCGTGTAGCGCATGGCTTTTGGTACGCCCGCCATCATAGGTGACCTTTCGGAAAAATGGATGGCCCTTGTTAAATGGGGCGTAAACCAGTGGAACCCATCCATTCCTAGCCAAACCAATCTCAGAAGGTGACCTATGCTCGCCAAATGATCCGGACATGCGGGACTCAAGAATTCCCAACCACTGCACTGTATTGAGGTCAAAAAGCCGAGCACGATGGCGTCATTGAGGCTCTTCGGGAAACTCATCTCCACGGCATACCCGCGCAGGTAGAAGAGTCCTTGCCAAGCGCTGTGACCAAAGGTGTCGTCTGTCGCTGTCTGAAAAGCCCCAAAAAGGGGTCACACATTTTTGTCACCCACCCCGCCTCCGTCCCCTTCCCCCACCAAAAAGGGCAAACAGCTAGCAAACAAACAAAAGCACACACACGTTCAGGCGTGCACTCGCGGTCAGTCCAAGAAACGTACATATCGGCTGGGCGGCGAGAAGTCCCCAGGCATGCCGAACCTCGACGCAGAGCTGGAAGCGAGACAGCCGGGCGAGGCCCTGTGAAACCAATGAAAATATGGCCATGGGTCAAAAGCCAAATTGTACCCCCAGTGAACATCCCAATCCCCAAATGGGTTCTAAAATGGGTCGTGAGTTCACCTACCCCAAAATGGTACCATTGGTTTTGGCCCAGCCATATGGGACCGTGTCGAAGTAAAATTACCTATCGCCTTAAGATGGACGTATCTTTTTGCACCGAGAACGAGGGTCAAAAAGTCAACCCGCAAGTGCCACTGGACCACAAACATGCTTAAGACAAATGCCCGGGGCCGATGGCTTGGACAGGCGTCGGATCGGTCAAATAAGACTAAAAATGTGCGATCAGCCGCCTCAAGCAGGTCTGTGCTTCCTCCTTCAAAATCGAAACTTACTCAGGTGACAATAACAATCGACTGGTGGATCTAAATGCACAACATCCAATCCAAGTTGTCCAACGCTTGCTGCTGAAATGACCCAATGAGCCCGTTTTGACTCAAAAAAAAGAATCATACACTTTCGGTTGTTTCAAAAGAACAATAATGTGTTTCTTGGTATCACCGAAATGGACTCCAACGCAACTCCCATTCCTCGGATGACTGAGCGCAAGGCAAATTCCACCCATGGCCAATTGGCCGCGGGATGGTTCCTCACAGCTTGTATGGCGCCAACCATGCAAAACAAGGCCAAAGAGGAACCAGGGAATGGAGGTGCACATCGACTTTGTGGCAACACAATGGCTGATGATGATTGCAACCGCTCCTTTGTCCGAAATGCAGTTCCTTGATTTCCACATTGCTTGTCCTCTCTCTGCGAGATCTCAAACATGTCCGGGGCAGTTTTCCCGCTTGATGGGAAGCGGGCCAAGGGGTGACTTTGGAAGTCAATTAGCGTTGTTTAAAAGTGGAACCTGTTTGAGATGTCAGCGTGCATCGAAATTGGGAGCCCGTCTTAGATGGCTTTGATGGAAAAATTACTGCAGCATAGACCCCACGTAGCATTATACGGTTTGACCCAAATGGCTCATTGTTCTGCAGCGAATCAACTCCGCCTGGCAGGACGCAATGATACCACGGCCATGAACCACTATGCGCTTCATTTAAGCACTGACGTGCTGATGAATCCAGCCGCACCATGATGATTTTGGTGGCATCACGATAATACCACCGCCACGTACTACGTAGCAGCGAACTACTTGTTTTGAAACATCATGATGACACCACAGCCACAAACTGGTAACCACCGCCACACCACCCTAAGCACACACACAGCACCCGGACACCAGCACCCAAAACAGCAGACAGCACCTGCAGCACACAAACAGCAGCTGCCCATCACCCAAAACAGCACCCTGCCCAGCACGTTTGTTGGGGGACGAACTGGAAATATATGAGCAACAAGTGCCTTTTCGAGAGTGGTCAACTCAACGGCGCCCACCAGAAAAGCTGAGCCAAACGGAGAAGCCACGGCTTAAAACCGCCGATGACTGGCTTACCCACCTTCTTGCCGGGAACTGTGGGTGCCCAAGTCTTCCAAAGGGACTCTTTCAACGCACTCCAGATTAACATGGAACCAAAGACTGGGCTCCCCCACCAGGAGATTCCTTCAAATGGTAGTTTGGCTTCCATACTAAGCTGCATGGGAGTAGAATGAAAAACACTTGCAGAACCAGAGGAGTGAGACACCGCTCCTATATCGTCGTCCACTTTCACCTGCACCACGTCGTTCTGCCAAGGATACTTCGGGCTTAGATTCACCTCGAATGGCACGAAGCAGTGCTTGCGTGTCAAATCGACCAAACAAAAACCTTTAGAAACCGGTTGTGTGGGTTTCGCTTGCTTTTGCGGTACATGTTTTTGGGTGAGTTGGGCCAGCCCGTAATTTGAGGTACTGTTTTGGGATTTGTTTAGAGGGAAGCCAAGCAAAAACCACACAGTTTGGGATGCCCCTATTTTCAGACACACCCAGATCCAGAATGTGGGACACATGCCAGTCTCCGATTTGTCCTTCCCCCCCCCCCCCCCGCCGGTGATTACTCCAGCGGTCTAAAAGCAGGGAATCCGCTCCTTCTTCAGGGACTCAACATACTCTGGGCAGACCAAATCCTGCACCAGTTGGTAGGTGATTTGTCCCGTTGTTTATCGGGGTTCATCCAAAAAAGCTGTTGCTCGCCCGGTTCACTCACAAGGTAGCTCACGAGGTCAAGGTTTCCTGAGAAACTACCCTCCTGTCCGCTGCCTGATCCTACAAAACATAAACTTTTAGTGGTTAAACTCGGAAGTCCAGGGGATTGGTGGGAACCACCAAGTGGAAGGATACTTTAACGAGTACCAAAAGAACAAAAGTCAGCTCCATTCTGGCTTTCGTGTATTTGGAACCAACCCGTTTCGGTCGCCTGTCTCTTGCCACGGGGCGTAGGTGTTCAAGTTCCTCCACTGCCATCGGATCTCAGGATCCTGAGCGTCGTCTCAAACATGGGTGCTTCCTGAAGAGCAGTGCGGTTTGCGATCGTCTCAACTCTTGACCTTTCGACGTCCGATTAGGGCATCAACAAAACACCTTTGGGATATCCAGCTCGTTTTGGACAGCCGTCTAGTTACAGACAAGTCCCCGGGCGGGTTTGTTCGAATTTGTTTCTAATTGTGGACGTGGATACTGCGTGTTCATACCGCTTGACTTCTCTGGTTGCCAATTCACATTAAAGGGGGCGTGTGCCCTTTTGGCAAGCCTTTTGGGGTCATTTAACCAAGGGATTAAATCTGGTACACTCCCACCAATGCTCATGGAACCTGGCAGGGGGGTTCCTGGACGACAATGTGTGTTTTGGGACCTCGAAATGGCAGCAATCCGCCAAATCTCCGCAAAGAGGCAGAAACTTCTTTTTTTTGCTGCGCGTTGCTTCACAAGTCAGGGCCAACAGTCTCAACCCCAATCGGGGCCAAGTTGCCAGGGATTGGGGTTGGGAGTCAAGGCAATGAGGGGAACTCCTTCCATTCAGAACTGCAGCCTCGGCTCGTTCGTCATCACTCCTCACTGCGTGGCAAAATCCTTGACGTGACACCGCGGCTTCTGTGTGTGCTTTTGGGAAATGGATGGCCCTAGATGATTGAACCACCAGGCAAACCAGGGCCGTCGATTTTTCAACCTAAACAAACAAAAAAGACTCCTGTCTGTGTCTGTGTGTGTGTGCGCGTGCATGCGCATGGGAGTGCAACCGACCCCTTGGCCAGCCTTGCCCCAACCATGTCACGCCTCCCCCCGGTGTGTGCCAGGACACGGGGAGGATTCTCCGAAACGACCCGCTTGCCCTGGCCAGTGACCGCAGGCAGTTTAGGAAGCCGACCCCCTACAACATGCTGAAATGTTTGCGGGTGTATTCCAGGGCCCTCGGCAGAAACAAAAAAATGGGTGTGGCTCAAAAATTGGGATCCAAAATGGAACGTGGCCTTTTGGAACATGGAATGAAACCCATCTAAACCAGTGCCATCTAGCTAATCTAAACTAGACGACGAGTGGCCCGGAAGCATAGAGGCAAGTTGATGCAGCTGAAGTAACTCTCGAAAAGGTAGCATGAGAAGTTGGCAGGCGAAGTAATTCTCAAAAACTTGGCATGAGAAGCTGGCAGGTGAAGTAACTCTCGAATAGTTGGGTGGCAAAGTTGGCGGGTGAAGTAATTCTCGCAAAGTTGTCATGACAAGTTGGCAGATCATGTAATTCTCGAAAAGTTGGCATGAGAAGCTGACAGGTGAAGTAACTCTCGTAAAGTTGGCTGGCGAAGTTGGCGGGTGAAGTAACTCTCAGGAAGTTGGCAAGAGAAGTTGGCAAGAGAAGTTGGCAAGAGAAGTTGGCAGGTGAAATAACTTCCGAAAAGTTGGCACGAGAAGTTGGCAGGTGAAGTAATCTCGAAAAGTTGGCATGCGAAGCTGGCAGGTAAAGTAGTTCTCGAAAACTTGGCATGAGAAGCTGGCAGGTAAAGTAAATCTCAAAAAGTTGGCTGGCGAAGTTAGCGGGTGAAGTAATTCTCGAAAAGTTGGCGCGAGAAGTTGGCAGGTGAAGTAATCTCGAAAAGTTGGCGTGAGAAGCCGGCAGGTGAAGTAACTCTCGAAAAGTTGGCATGAGAAGCTGGCAGGTAAAGTAGTTCTCGAAAAGTTGGCATGAGAAGCTGGCAGGTAAAGTAAATCTCGAAAAGTTGGCTGGCGAAGTTAGCGGGTGAAGTAATTCTCGAAAAATTGCCATGAGAAGTTGACAGGTGAAATAACTCTCAAACAGTTGGCGTGAGAAGTTGGCAGGTGAAGTAACTCCAAGGACAACTTGGCAGGTGAAGTAACTCTCGGAAAGTTGGCGCGAAAAGCTGGCAGGTGAAGTAATTCTCGAAAAGATGGCACGAGAAGATGGCGCGTGAAGTATTTGTCGAAAAGTTGGCGTGAGAAGCCGGCAGGTGAAGTAACTCTTGAAAAGATAGCATGAGAAGTTGGCAGGCGAAGTAATTCTCGAAAAGTTGGCGCGAGAACTTGGCAGGTGAAGTAACTCTCGAAAAGTTGGCAGGCGCTGTTGGCAGGTGAAGTACCTCTCGAAAAGTTGCCATGAGAAGTTGGCAGGTGAAGCAACTCAAGAGAAAAGTTGGCATGAGAAGTTGACAGGTGAAATAACTCTCAAAGAGTTGGCGTGAGAAGTTGGCGGGTGAAGTAACTCAAAAGAAAAGTTGGCAGGTGAAGTAACTCTCGGAAAGTTGGCATGACAAGTTGGCAGGCGAAGAAATTCTCGAAAAGTCGGCGCGAGAAGTTGGCAGGTGAAGTAACTTTCGAAAAGTTGGCAGGCGATGTTGGCAGGTGAAGTACCTCTCGAAAAGTTGGCGCGAGAAGCTGGCAGGTGAAGCAACTCTCGAAGAGTTGGCAGGCAAAGTTGGCAGGTGAAGTAACTCTCGAAAAGTTGGCATGAGAAGCTGGCAGGTGCAGTAACTCTCGAAAAGTTGGCACGAGAAGTTGGCAGGTGAAGTAACTCTCGAAAAGGTGGCATGAGAAGCTGGCAGGTGAAGTAATTCTCGAAATTTCGGCATGAGAAACTGGCAGGTGAAGTAACCCTCAAAAAGCTGGATCTGCGGAGGCGCTTCGCGTGCTACGTTTGTACTTGAAAGTTGCGATTTTCCAGCCGTTTGTGTCTAAAAGTTTTGATTTTCCAGCCGGAGCTGCAGCTGCCTCCGCGTACTACGTCTGTACTTAAAAGTTGCGATTTTCCAGCCGGAGCTGCGGGAGCACGCTGCGTACTACGTTTGTACTTAAAAGCTGCGATTTTCCAGCCGGAGCTGCCGCGGATTAATCCAGCCGTTTGTATCTAAAAGTTGCGATTTTCCAGCCGGAGCTGCGGCAACACACTCCGCGTACTACGTCTGTACTTAAAAAGTGCGATTTTCCAGCCGGAGCTGCAGCAGCCTCCGCGTACTACGTCTGTACTTAAAAGTTGCGATTTTGCAGCCGGAGCTGCGGGAGCACGCTCCGCGTACTACGTCTGTACTTAAAAGCTGCGATTTTCGAGCCGGAGCTGCCGCGGACCAGGGGGGAATCGAACCCGCGACCGCGGGATTGCGAAAGCAGGCGCGCAAACCACGAGACAATTTCCAAAGGCCGTTTCGCGAGCAAGAAAAACGCGCGGCGCCACAGCGAGAGCGCTTCGACACGCACGATCTTCGCAGAGGGTTCGCCGCGGTCAAGACAACTTCGCACGGCGCCACAGCGAGAGCGCTTCGACACGCGCGATCCCTGCAGATCGCCGCGGTCAAGACAGATTCGCACGGCGCCACAGCGAGAGCGATGCGACACGCACGATCCCCGCAGAGGGTTCATCGGGGTCAAGGCAGATTCGCACGGGACCACAGCGAGAGCGATCCGACACGCACGATCTCCGCAGAGGGTTCATCGGGCTCAAGACAGATTCGCACGGCGCCACAGCGAGAGCGATCCGACACGCACGATCTCCGCAGAGGGTTCGCCGCGGTCAAGCCAGATTCGCACGGGACCACAGCGAGAGCGATCCGACAGGCACGATCCCCGCAGAGGGTTCATCGGGCTCAAGACAGATTCGCACGGGACCACAGCAAGGGCGATCCGACACGCACGATCCCCGCAGAGGGTTCGCCGAGGTCAAGACAAATTCGCACGGAGCCACAGCGAGAGCGCTTTGACACGCACGATCTCCGCAGAGGGTACGCTTTGTAAGCTCCCGTCGGGCCTACCCCGCCAGAAAAAGAAGAAGAATTAAGAGTCGAGATGTGAAGGTAGAAAAGAAAAGTTAGCTTGTGTTTTTAGGATAATGAGATAACACCCGAAAACTTGACATGAGAAGTTGGCTGGTGAAGTAACTCTCCAAAAGCTGGCATGAGAAGTTGGCTGGTGAAGTAACTCTCGAAAAGTTGGCATGAGAAGTTGGCAGGTGAAGTAACTCTCAAAAAGTTGGCATGAGAAGTTGGCAGATGAAATAACTCTCGAAAAGTTGGCAAGAGAAGTTGGCAGGTGAAATAACTCTCGAAAAGTTGGCATGAGAAGTTGGCAGATGAAATAACTCTCGAAAAGTTGGCAAGAGAAGTTGGCAGGTGAAATAACTCTCGAAAAGTTGGCATGAGAAGTTGGCAGATGAAATAACTCTCGAAAAGTTGGCAAGAGAAGTTGGCAGGTGAAATAACTCTCGAAAAGTTGGCATGAGAAGTTGGCAGATGAAATAACTCTCGAAAAGTTGGCAAGAGAAGTTGGCAGGTGAAATAACTCTCGAAAAGTTGACATGAGAAGTTGGCAGGTGAAGTTTGCAGCCGCTTTTAGAAGAAGAACCCTTCGCAATGCTTCCGGGAAAAAAGGACACCTACGGTTTAAACAAATCTCCAAACCGCGCTGAGGGCCGCCTGAAGGTACTCCACCACCACCGAGTTGCCCTCAGCGTCCGCAATGGCCCAGTGCCCGCCCCAGTTCAGCACCTGCTACGGCGGCACCCGAAACCCGAAGGCGACTCCGCTCAAGTCCACCCTGGCGCCCCAAAGTGCCAAAAAAGAACCAAGCCACCCTAGGGCCTTAAGGCCTGCTCCATCTTCCCGACCAGCCAGTTTCAGGCAATCCGGCATGTCTGGTTTAAGTGGGCGTTCCCCCACAATTCCCATATGGGTGCTGACAATACTCCCTGCGGCCCCCGAATCACCATGAAGAAACTTGTCTCATGGTGAAAATAATCAAATCCTTTTTTCCGTGGCGTTCCAACCCATGGAAAAAGCAGCCCATTTTTACCGCACGGTTGGCGAAAACTCGGCCTTGGCGCTCACCACCTGCACCGACGCCAACAAACTCACGGCCTCTGCCACGGAGGAACCTGCAACCGGGGATGGGATTCCGCTTGAAGCGGAATCTAAGGGGGAACCACCCTTTATTCAGGGTACCCTCACCAATTTGACGGCGAAATGGTCCCTCTAAAAAGGAAACTGGTCCAAACCAGGACCCCCCGAACGCCAGGTTCCATGTGAACTGGTGGGAGTGTAATTGGAAGTAAAAGGCGATCACCAAGGTTACACTCAACGTGGACTATGGGAAAACCAAAGGATCAGAGAGTCAGAAGGTCGGCCTGGGGCAGGTGAGTTGAACAAAGGTTGGAAACTACTGCTTGAAGAAGTTGCGACAACTTCCAATGAGCTGGCTGATTCCTTGAACAAGGGACTGGAGTTCCTGGGAAAATGCCAAAACAGTTCCATGTCAACGCTTGAGTCATTGAGATGCCACCCGCTGTTGGGTGTAGGATGAGGCCCTTTCGAGACTTGTTTTGAAAATCGCTCGTGCAGGCCCACCCATTCTTTGGGGGGCCATGGAACCAACAACCAACTGCGAACTACCAACAACCAACCACCAAAACCTAACAAATAACTAAGCCAACAACCAGGTCATTTGCATCTCTGTATCCGAGAGGCAGTTCGCCAGCAAAAACGGCACCAGGTCCTTGGCTATGATCTGCTGCCTGGCCGCGCCATGGGCTCGGAACATACACCTCGAACCCCCGCAAGCACATGACTCTGCAACTCTTGGTATGGTAGCACAAAACTGTGACGCAGCCCCCAAAAAAAAACCAGAATAAAGAAAAAAACATACCAAGAACGGTGAAGGTAACCCAGCGCAGTGATATGGCTTCGCGCTCTCGCCAGAGCACGAAAGCAACTGACCGCAAGAACACGGCACCAAAAAAATGTAAACCACACATACACCGCTCAGGCGCGCAGTGCGCAAATTGCTGCATTATCGGCCACTAACAGCCAAGAACATCTCGCGGCGGGCAACGCGAAGCGTTTATAATTACATGACGCTTGGACGACGCGGTTGACAATGTTAGTAACATAGATGCGTGGGTTTCCCACAGGTTCGGGCTTGTGGACCCATGATGAAGTGTCAGAATCCACGGGGGCAGATTCCATGATTTATCCTTGCTTTCCCCATCATGCAGCCTGAGCTCCCGTTAAGGGCTCTGTAAACTAATTACTTCATTTAGTTGAGTAGTAGCGTTGATCAGCAGAAGCACTAGTTTGAGCCTAGTTTGGAATCAGTTTAGTATTGGTTCAATGTTGCACTCCTGGTCACAGTTGATCTATATTTCAATGGGATTTCTATTTCTTACGCTTGCTTCAATCTAGTTCTGGCATCAGTGCAATATTAGCTTAGTGTCGGCTGATTCTAATGTGAGATTCTAAGATAGAGTGAACAAGACAAACACACACTGCAAAAAAAATAATGTGTCACTTCCGGTAGTTTTACCTGTATTGCCCCGAGTAAACATCAAACAGTAAAACGAACCACGTCTCGGCCCATGATTAGTGCAAAGCGGCACATGCACTTGCTTGACTTGTGCCAGTTGTGCTGTGTCATAGTGTCCGTGCTGTCCCGTGAAACACAAAAAGGCACACGAGTAAAAGCAAAACTCTGTTTTGCGAGTCCCCACAAAACAACTTGTGTCTCGTCTGACACGGCATGCACATGCAGCAATCCCGATCGTGTGTTTTGTGTCGTATCTGCAAGTCAATGTGTGTCTCGGTGTATCTCCGTGTACCTCTGTGTGTCCGCGCGCGCGTGCCTTCATGGACTTTCCGTTAGCAGCTGTACTGCCTGCCTTTGAGAAAAGGGGACACATGTGATGATGGTCGAATTTGAAGACAGGAATTACCCAAGTGCGAAAATGCCCCCACGCATTTTCCTCTTCCTCAGCATTGTGCGGGTGCCTGAATTGCATTCCCCACTCAAAGGGGAGCCTCAAAAGAAATGGCACCGGTGCGCCTGGCTGTTTTATGTGGGATGAAGGTCACTGACGCGCGTGTTTTTGGGCTTCCATCTGCAGCCCACTGCCACACCTTCTGCCATAAACAGGTGGGCGCGCTTTATTGGAACTGGGAGTCGTTGGTCGGTGGACTGGACCTCTTCCGCGAATCTTCTCCAGCCAGACTCGCTCGGGGTTCGCTTCCCCATCCTCGGCCTCCAGGTCCTGGGCCGGATGGTTGAGATCCTCCCTGCACTCCCGGCCGTTTGGCTCCATACACGTTCCGCTTCTGACGAACGTAGACGTCTCCAGCGCAGGTTTCTGGGCACTCCAAGCTGGAACGCACCATCTGGGATGAATAAACTGATTGAGGCCAGATCGCAGGGCCCCTTGCCGCCGCGCTCGGCCTTGGGATTAGGCCAGTGTAGTCTTTGCTGATCGTCGGCAGCAAATAAGATGAAGGCTTGCTCGGACGCCAAGCGTCTTACCGTGCTCGTCCAGCCTCTTCTTCTTAGACGCCTGCTCTGACTGCTGCATAATCTCAGCCTGCAGGAGATCGTGCTGGAGTTGCGCATGCTTCCGCTGCCTCCGCCTCTTCATCCGCTTCATTCTCCATCGCCTCCTCTCTGATGGACATCCTGAAGCGCAACGGGACAACATCCGCCACGCTTACCTCGCCAGCTCCGTTGCATCAATCAAACCTGTCCACCCCCCGATCCACTGCAGCCTGCTGGAACCAATGATGAGGAACCCAGGCCAGCTCTGTCCTGTTTGCGCTGCACCTTCATGGGGATATAAAAAATCCTACTGACGGTGGCCGGGCAGGTCCACCATTTCACTCTCCGTTGCTGAAGCGAGCTGCTTAGCCAGAGGGTCCGGGATGGAGGGGAAGGAGTCCGGGAACATGACGAACTTGGAGCGCCCCACCTGCCCAAGGTCCTGACTGAAACGGATGGCCGCGGATTCACCACAGAACCACTCCATCGGTCGCGTCTTGGAGCCGGAGCCTGGCTGGGAGCCCAGGCCCGGCCTATGGTCGTTTTCCTGGATCTCGGTGTTGTCCATGCCTTCTCGCTCTCCATGTCCACGGACTGGTCCTGCGGGAAGTTCTTGCGCGGCAGGCTTTCCCTTCCGCTTCGGGATGCCCCATCCGGCATTCGGGGTACTCACCTCCATCGCAGATGTAGCTTCTTCGCGTGAAGCTGCCCCCAACCCCGCAGCACGCGGCACCCGAGAACGGGGCAGCCTCTCGCAACAAGGACAGCTTGGCAATGCAGTCCTGGAGCTCCGTCATCTTCGTGGTGAGGTCACTGGGCTGCACCTCCTTGCCCAAAGGGAGCTGCAGGGCCAAGCGGGCCTCCTGAATGCGCAGGCGCTCTGACTCCTCCCGCGCTGCTGCCGCCTCCTCCGTCATCAGGGTGGCGTCCAGCAACTCAAAGGAATCCGTGCTGGCTTCCGAAAAGGCCATGATCGTTACAATGGAGGTGTAACGAAGGCAAGGAATTTGTTTTTCTCTTAGGCAAATACCAGAAGTCTTGAGCCAAAATGGCAGGCCATTTTGACTCATATTGTTCATTCATAAAATGGCACCGCTACGCTTTTCCGTTAAAACACAGAATTCATCAGGCAAGTGGGCTGCAAAGCACAGATATTATTATTTGCCTCATGTTTGGAGATCTAATTCAATCCGGAGGGCCAAAATAAAATATTCTGAAAAACAACAACTCCAAAACAAAAACAACACCTCAAACTCAAAAAGCAGACTCACGGAAAGAAAGTGGACTCAGGCTCGGTGGAAGGGGGAAGGGAAGGGCAACATACAAAAATGAGGAATTCCCGTGCAAAAAGATGAGCAAAACCAAACACACTCAAAAAACAACAAAGCACAAGAGGACTCAGGCTCTGGGGAAGGGGGTGGGGGAGAGAGGGAGAAGGAAAACAGACCAAAAAAAGCAAAAAGAATAGTCAAAAAAAACAAAAACATGGACTCAGCCCAGAATTCCCCGCTGTGTTTGCCCAAGTCCAAGTCATAAACTGAATCTGCAATTCGTTGTTCTTGCCGGGACCTGTATTCTAGGTCTGTTTGCTTTCTCTGTGGGTTTATATGTGTTTGCTCAAGCCCCTACAGTGGGTAGGCTAGATTGACTAAGTTTAGTTATCAGCAAAATTATAAGTTGCACGTATGGCTCTGTCTTTTTCCGAGGGTGCCCCTTTTTCTCCTTTTTGGTTCAAAGAGAAACCAAAAGGAAACCACCATTTTCGGGGGGGTGTCTACATATTTTGAGCCACACCCACATGGGTATGTCTGAAAATACCCATGAACCCCCAAGAATGTGTTTTCCCTCGTGGTTTCCCTTTCGAACCGGGGACCTCCAAAAAGGGACACGTCCCATGTCATCCGTCCTAAAGGCACCACAAGTCGTTTCATTAAAAAAAAGAAAACCTGCAGAACCTCCAAAAAAGGGACACCTTGTCAAACTCGCTTGCTTTCCGCTCCCCTGCTAGAAGCTTCACTTTTAGTTGTGTGATGGAAAACCCATTGGCTGGCACTTAAAGGTTCAAGTCCATTCTCGTCTTCGCCTGCCGGGCGCGGGCTCCTCGTAGACCGCCTCAGCGAAGTAATGCGCCGACACGGAGAGGCCCGCCTCATCGCTCGGCCGCGAGAGAGACATCCGCGGGGCTTGGTGTACTTTGGGTTGGGCCAGGATGTGTCAGAATAGGGATACTTGGACCCTGAGAATGGTGTTGCTTTCTGGTTTCCCGAGAAAAAGACAAAAACAAAAACAAAAAGCCAAGTACCCCCCCCAATCCTTGCCATGCGACCTGACTTGGTGCTGGAAGACGCTTGTCTTCCGTTGAAAGGGACCAATCCTCCGGTGGGCTCCATGTTAATGGTGGGCCAAATGGCAATTTTAATTGGGGGCCCCTTTCTTGGACATCAAAATTGTTGAATTGGGGGCCCTTTCTTGGACATCAAATTTACATGGAGATGTCTATGTCCAAGCAATTTGAATTGAGGGCACATCCATATGTCCACATGTATGAAGCGATGGCAGCCAACAGGTGCTGAGCAAAGCACTCAAATGTTCAAAGAAAAACTTAGGGGGCGTGAGTCTCCAGGGTAGTGCGCCTTCTTGTTTTCCACAGCCGACCTCGAACCGCCCAAGCTCAAGCCAACCCGAAGTGAACTTTGGTTGGTGCATGGGATCTCCGAATGTCTGCCCTCTCCACCCTCGGAAACAATCAAACACAAAAAAAGGTCTTCCGGAGTTTTGGGACCTGAACCCCGGCTGGCGCGGGCGCGCGCTCGCGCTCGCCCGCCCACGCCAAAACCCAAAGCGTGCGGCCCCCGTCGGCTCTGGCGCCTCGTTCAGCCCGTCGAAGAGACAGGTGTACTCCGGGCCCGGCAGGCTGAGGTGGCTCATGGGGCCTACGAAGCCTATGGCGCTCAACTTTTGGGCTTGGCAACTCTCGGGCGGAGGAAAAGGAAACCGGACATTCCCAGTGGCCATGGGGAAAATCCTGGAGGAAACATGAAATGGGACATCTCCCTCTTTTAGTTGGCTGAGGTTAAAGGGGAGCCCTTCCCGGAAAAAGGAAACAAGGGCGCCACTGGGCAACTGGGTGGTGGTTGCCATTCTCAAAGAGGTTGCAAAACGAGTCTTGAGAGAGCATTCGGGGTGCAATCGGAGAAAACGAAACTGTGATACTTGGTTTGAACCCACCAAGTCAGCATAAATTCGGGGTCTGGCTTAAGGGTATGATTCCTGCCAAGCAGAACGCCAGTGATCAAGGAAACGGACATGGAAAACTGCCACGTGCTATGTACCATTGTCTTATCCTTGATGCGCCCCTGACGGTTGTGCTTCATCGCATCACGTCCTACCATGTCTAGGGAACGTTGCATGGGCCATTTGTGTTTTTGCACCCAATGTGGGGACATTGGGGAGGTGTCCTTCCGATCTAAATCGCCAATAGACTACGCGCATGTCAAAACTGCCAACATCAATTCATGGCACAACTCAATCCCCTGCTGCTACAAGAATGATGTGTTGCGCATTCTGTTTCAAGCTGGCCCAGTCGGAATTGCCCATATTGATGCATGCCTAGGAAGGGTGTTCCCGATATTGATCGAAAAAGCACGGCCTCCTAGTTGTTCCGCTCTTAGGACGGCAAAGTCTCAATGCTCGAATATGCAAGCAAGCAAGCAAGCAAGCAAGCAAGCAAGCAAGCAAGCAAGCAAGCAAGCAAGCAAGCAAGCAAGCAAGCAAGCAAGCAACAAAGCAACAAAGCAAAGCAAAGCAAAGCAAAGCAAAGCAAGCAAGCAAGCAACAAAGCAACAAAGCAAAGCAAAGCAAAGCAAAGCAAAGCAAAGCAAAGCAAAGCAAAGCAAAGCAAAGCAAAGCAAGCAAGCAAGCAACAAAGCAACAAAGCAAAGCAAAGCAAAGCAAAGCAAAGCAAAGCAAAGCAAAGCAAAGCAAAGCAAAGCAAAGCAAGCAAGCAAGCAAGCAAGCAAGCAAGCAACAAAGCAACAAAGCAAAGCAAAGCAAAGCAAAGCAAAGCAAAGCAAGCAAGCAAGCAACAAAGCAACAAAGCAAAGCAAAGCAAAGCAAAGCAAAGCAAAGCAAAGCAAAGCAAAGCAAAGCAAGCAAGCAAGCAAGCAAGCAAGCAAGCAAGCAAGCAACAAAGCAACAAAGCAAAGCAAAGCAAAGCAAAGCAAGCAAGCAAGCAACAAAGCAACAAAGCAAAGCAAAGCAAAGCAAAGCAAAGCAAAGCAAGCAAGCAAGCAAGCAAGCAAGCAAGCAAGCAAGCAAGCAACAAAGCAAAGCAAAGCAAAGCAAAGCAAAGCAAAGCAAAGCAAAGCAAAGCAAAGCAAAGCAAGCAAGCAAGCAAGCAAGCAAGCAAGCAAGCAAGCCAGCGCGAATCATCTAATCTGCAATCCCAATTGGGAAGCCGCCTTGCACAAGGGCAGTGCTAGAGGCAGCCTTAAAAAGTGAAATATTTGGATTATTGAGCAAGAGGCCTTGTTGCAAGGAACAAAGAGGACGCCTATCTAAACGAACAGAAGACATATCTTGCTTGGGAGGCTGCACCATATTGGATTGCTTAATGGCAAGCCAAAACCGAAAACGCCACTTCTGGCAGTTCAGGATCCCTTGAAACAAACATGTTGACATATATTGACGCCACTCACCTTGAGCACAGGGGCCGAACTTGCCGTCTTTTCCTCGTGGAAATGCTTCGATGCTGTAAGTCACCGAGTTGAAGACATCCGACAGCTCCATGGTCCTGGCTGCTTGGGGCATTTCCCCAGTTTTGACCATGGGTAGCTTTTCCCATGTTGAAACATCAAATCTTTCTAGAGTATCAAATCTTTTTTAGACTGGTTTCCCAACCAATGGGCATCCCATGTATCACGGCCGGTGAAAATCAATCCATGATTCCAGCCCAAACTTCTAGGACCCAACCACAAGGCGCCGCCCGTGGACCCCATATGCCATGTGAACATACCAAAGGCGAACATACCAAAGGCGACAAGGAGTTCTGACTCCTGACGGCCAAACTCATGAGATTTGGACACAGAAGCAACTCATTCTCACCTGAAATCGCCAGAAACCGAGTCTCCGGGGACAACACTAACTCACTGCTTTGTGTGCACGGAGAACCTTGGATCTTGGTGACTGCTTTTTAGCCGAAAAGGGTGGATCCACTTAATCTCGGCTGCAGCCATCCTGCAGCCGGATTGGCAGAACGGGCCTCCAGTACATTGCGACCCCCTCCCCAAACTTACAATAGACTGCCAGCAGTTTCGTCTACAGACTTGCACGGTCCGTCAGAACCAAAAAGACATAGTAGATAACCAGAATGGTAGATCTCCCACGAACGTGGGCACAAGTCTGAATTGAAAAAAGGCTAGGCGCACCAAGCCCATTGTTGGTGGGAAAACTCCAAAGAACCACACATGAGAAGGGTCCTAATTTGCAACAGACCCATATATCGAAAGACTTGAGTCCAGCGGACCACTTAAAGTTGATCACCTTCGCCGGAAATAACCAAATCCTAGTATGATCCAAAGTTGACTCGTGAATGGGGGTGCTAAAAGAAGCAAAGTTGGCAACCGCAAAACTGGTGGGCTGCCGTTTTTCCTAACGCGGATCCCCTGTTTGGGGGGAAACAACCATTCCTTTCCGTGCCCCCAAAGCCGAATTCGATCGCCACGCCAAATGGGTGTGATTGGTCTGTCCTGGCGATGAGGTACGAGGTCGCACCAGTGGCGTTCTTCCAGGGGACTTCCACATAGCTGCACCTCAAAAGGCACCCAGCAGATTCATGCTCGTTTGTTTGTTTGTTTTTCCCCGACAGCTGAAAGATTTGGGCTCAGCCCAGATAGGCAAGGTTCCACGAGGGTTCCACCAAGGTTCCACGAGGGTTCCATGAGGTTGCAAGGGCTGCGGGGCAGCGCGGGCACTAAAAAAGAGCACCGCGTGCTGTTGGGGATATCACCTGAGATTTTTGGATGGGAGATGCCTTGACCGACAAGCGCCTGGTTTAAGAAAAACATGCCAGCCCTTTTGGTGCGGTTGGAAGGGCAACTCACCCCCACCCCACGGCAAAACAGGGGCCACTGAGCAAGTGACAAGCTCGACCAACGCATGCCATGCATCGAGGCCTTTCAACAACACACTGGCGCAGGTTTTGTTTATCGGTGTGTTTCTCTGCTTTGGGGTGATGGGAAGCATAAGGTCACACCATTTTTGTTGGTTCATGTTCATGGAAAACCCCTTCCCAACTTCCGCCCTCCCTTCACTTACACACGCAAACACGCAAACACACACACACACACACACACACACACACACACACACACACACACACACACACATTTGCCTCGCCTTTCAGAGCCGGCGGGCCCCCCTCCGACCCCGTGTCGCGCGGCCAAAATCCCTGCTCCAGCTGTCTCCAGTCCGCCTGAAGCGAGCCTAAAAGCCCTGCCCCCCAAAACCGATCGCAAACCGGCCAATGTCCCCAGAAGCTGGGCAAACTCATCGCAGCTAGAAACCGTCAACTTCCATCTCTCAAAACCGGTTCAACTCCGGTCAACACCTCTAGAAACGGGACAAAATCCCCTTAAAACCGAAAACCTGTCAAATCCCCTCTAAAGACAGGTCCAACTCCGGTCAAACCCTCAGACATGCACACACCCTCTACCTTGGAAATCAGCTCACGCATCTCGGCACCGACTCACTCGGTCTAATAAACACGAGACTTCAAAGCAAACTAAAGCACAGTGAAAGCGGACTGGCCGAGGCGGGCAGCGCGAAGTGTTAACAATTACAAGCAAAAACACAACACAAAGGCCGTGGAAGTGTCAAGAAAAAGAAAAAAAAACATCACTGGGGCATGACCCAAAATGAGTTGAACCCCTGAGGCTGGTGCTTTGGTGCTTCCCTGGTTTCGTTGAAACATGAAAAGGAGTTCCCTTGAGCTTCCGCTTCTCTGGGCTTCCGGCGCTAGCCCGGACAGGGGCAGGCAGAGAAGAGCGGAGAACCGCATGGCCCAGACCCGGGGCGGGCCGATCCGACGCGCTCTTCTCCAAAGGCTGCAGGCCAAAAGGCAAAAGGCTCGAAGGGGCGCCTGGTGCTGGGCTGTTCTTCTGACCAGGTCTCCGAAAAAGGTAAAAATGAAGTGGGTGTGTCTTATGAGGGCACCAGTTTTAGATGGTTTCAAAGGGAAACCAAAAGGAAAAGCTGAAATGCGCTTGGGTCCAACCTCAGAGAGAGCAGCGAGAGGGCAAGCAAGGGCCCGGGCATTGATGTTTGCTTCGGGGGCCCTAGGGCCTGGGGTTTGGGCCCCAAATTGTCTGAACCAACCCTGCAGCCCAGCTCAGCCAAGCCAAAGCAGAAGACAAAACACACATGCACGCATCAGCCGACCAGTCGCATTCAGGCAAATGGAGTCTGAATGGAACGGACCATTTCTTCGGCCACAAAGCTTGGTTCACACCGTCGACGTCCAGCGCCCCCAGCCCTCGACGAATCGGATTCCCGCCATGTCCGGCGCGCCCATCATGAGCATCGCCTGGCCGAGTCTGTTGATCGCCGCTGCGTTGCGCGGGTTTTTGTATGGGGTCCCTGACCAGAAGCTTCGGGTCAAGACGAGTCTAAGACCATGTCCCGCTTAGCCGCGCATGGGTGAGGTACCTGCATCCCCGTGAGTCATTCTCAAGCGCGGCGGCCGCGCAACCCGACTCCGGCTCCTGGCAGCACGGGTGGAAGCAGTGGAAGGCGGGAAAATTGGACAGCCGGAGCTGAAACCAAATTTTCGTGATCACCGTCCATCTTGCACGCCGGAATCCTTGAAACACAACATTTGCCAGACACTCCAATTCCGGCTGGGTTTCAAAAATTGTAGAGCAAGCTTCAATGTTTCTGAGTGACGGGTAGCATTAGCTTTCAAAGGCACTCTCTTCGGCAAGCCTGACGGCCTCCTGCCCTGGTCTTCTCCTTCCTACCTGGTCTTCTCCTCACATCCACTGCTAAAAGTTTAACTGTTAGTGGGTTAGTTGAAAACCCCCAAGCCAACTAAAATCTACAAGCCTGAGGAACCGGATGGCCAGGCTACTTGTTTGTTCCGGACTGCCCTTCGGCCGACACAAGAATTCAAGACCTTTTGGGTTGCCATTCGCGTAGCCAAGGCTCCCATATATGTTACGGTCATAGTTTACTTGCCGGTGCGATAGGTTAATGACCGTTCCGGGTGTTGGGAATGAACCGTTTTGGGATTCCCTGAAAGGCAAAAAAGTGGGGGGATGGTTTGTTGGGATCATTCCAATTCTCATTCCCTGCCGAGAACCAGCAAGTTTGTTTGCGGCTGATGGCTATAGTTCCCTGGGATGCTTTTGGTTGCTCCCTTTAACAAGGAAGCAATAAGCCACTCTTATAGCTCCAAAGAAGCCGGCTGCCAAAAGCTACACACCTAAAGCCGGTGGACAGGCGGCATCCCAACGCTTCCAGCTTGATCCAGAAGGCTTGAGAGGAGCAGAGAGCAATAAAACCAAAACGATCCCCGACTATAGAGAAACAAACCGAGTCTCCAGGTCCAAACTCAGACAAAGAGAGAAAAAGCTTGCTGCCTTTTTTTTCTCACCAAAGTTTCGGGCACCAGGGCAAAACGACAAATATGGGACACAGAATACAGAGACAACCAACCCAACTTGCCACTGGGCAATTCGGCCGCCAGAAACCCGAAACTCGAAGTCCAGCCTCCGCGCCTGAGGATGGGAAGTATCAAGGGACGAAGTGGTACCGAAATTGGCTCGGCTTTAAGGCTGGACCTCCCAATAGTGGTTTCCCGTCAAAGCCCACCAAAAAAAGAGTACTTTCAAACGACGACACATAGGTTTCAGAGGAATCTCCTTTTAGAAAGCTGCTTGTGTGGGTCTTTGAGTACGTTTCGAGGGAGACTGACCAACTGAGCCACTAAACCGTGCCGCATATTCCCCAGGCAGCATCAAGTCCAAACCAAAACTCAAAGTAAGACCAAAGGAGTCAACCCAAAACGGAAGACGCTACAAAGGCGGAGCCGTCCTGCTGAAATGGCCCCATTTGTCAGGGCAGTGCTTGCTATTCTTATGTGGCTAGCACTCGATTCTCTCTGCAAGACCGTATTCTCAAGCCAAATCCCAGGATGTTTACCTCCAACGTTCCCCTTTGAAACTAACAGGGACACTGCTACTGGGTGCGTCTTGTTAGGGGAGCCCCCAAAATGAAGTGTGGTTTTCCTCTTGGTTTCCCTTGCAAACCACAAAACGCAGAGTACCCTCAAAAAAACAACGCCCCAAATGAGTGATCTTTTGTGTCACAACTCACAACAATCAAATCTCAGGCCTCTATGGCAATAGCTGGTGCCTGGGCTAGGCTTTGGGCACCTTTTGGAGCCTCTACAAAAAATGGGAACCCGAAAAGGGTTCCACAGAAAGGTCGATTCGATTCAAACTCCCCCGTGTCCTGCAGTGTTTTCGCTTCGACAACCCAAGGTCGAGCAGGACAACAAACTGAGGCGCGAGCCACCAAAGGCCCAACGAAGCTCGCACAAGACGCCGCAAACCTCTGGGCCGTCTGGGCTCATGACCCCTGCGCCCTTTCTTCTTTCAGCTTTCCACAAATCTCAGGTAACCCTTCAGGTTGGTGGTTTGGATGGCTTGGGGACTTGAACCCCGAGGTTTTGTAGAGGGTAACGAAGCTGACAATTAGTTGATTGGTTGTTCACAGGGTAACTGGGAAAAAGAAAAAAAAAACGTAAACGGCAACTTGAGAGGTTGGCGTCAGGTGCATCTTAACCCTGGGTTTCATGGTGATGAGGTGCTCGACTTGTTGTTTTCCTAGGTGTACTTTGGGGGAAGGGTGGCTATGACCCATGTTTCCCTTGGCCATGACAATGGAATCCAGGGATCTCCCGTCATAAAAAGGACGGGAGTCCAGGTGAATGACAAATGGTTCCTCGCTTCCTGAACGGCCTTGGGCCAAACAAGTCCAAGAGATGCTCTTCCCGAACAATTCAGAAAATCTGGCAGCGAGTTTCACATTGGCTTCGTTTGCTGGCTGCTTGCGAGCCAACTCCCGCATTTTGCCCATGCCAACTGATTGTTCTTGACTTTCTCCTCTGAAAAGCAAGCAAGCTTCAAGAACTGACCCAATCGGACCCTTTGACGAGAGCAGGGGGGATTATGTTGCTCTTTTTCCTTTCGCCGACCCTACCAAAACGCTGGCGCACCCAAAACCAGAAGAGGGACAACGCATCGGAGTGTGAGAGCTCGCGTGTTGGTCAACTCCTCCAAGAGCTGACCTTCCACCTTCATTCTGACGCCTCTGGGCGTCGCCTTTTCGAAAAGAGATGTGCCGTTTCGAGAAGCTCGCGACTCGGAGAGCGGAAGGGACCTGCGAAACCAGAAGCCTTCTCCAGGCCCGCGCCCCAGTGCCGCTCCAAACTTCAAGCAAGCGGCGAAGCCAGCACCGCCAGCCTGGCCGACACCGGAGACGCCCAAGCCATGAGAATGCTCCCTTCTTTGGACCCGAAAAAGGGACCCCAAAAAAGAAGCCAAAGGAGGACTCAACTGGAAATGGGGATCTTGCAGCAAGAACCGGTGGTGCCAGTCCCTGCAGATTCCATTTGAGTCACAATCATGCGGACGATCTTCGGCATGTGCACAGCAAGCGCGGTGCAGCATGCGGTTCAAGCTGTCTCACCTAATAGGTCGGCTCAAGTCGTTCGCGACTCTTACCGGCCTCCTAAGAGTAAACAGTTGGATCGCCGGCCCTGGAGCGGAAACGAAATCCCACAAGCTCCAAGGCATAAGCCCTTCACCTTGTTGATGGGGCAGCCAAAGAGTTCACCGCAGGCAAAAAGGGCTCCTTTCAGATAGCGAATGAGCCCAGCCACAGTACAAGAGACATGTGACTCCTGAGGTGCATCACATGAAAGAACCCAAGCAGTGCCGTTGTGGCTTGCTATGGGATGTGGTAACTCGGCTATGCCGTTCGCATGCAAAATGAAGACAAGCTCAAGCCATGATACTTCGCAACAGGCAGTTCCATCACTTAAGTGACTGATCTGCCAGGCCAGTAGCTTCTGAAGAAAAGGAACACACCATTTTTCCAAGGCCGGTGTGGTATCCAGCTGCTCTGTCCAGGTGTCTGGGAGAAAACTAATCCATGGCTCCAGGCTCCCAGACCGATTCATCTTCTTCCGACAGTTCCGCTTCCATCCAATCGGTGCGATGCAGCGTTTGATTTGCCGCTGCTACTGCAAGATGGAGCTGCCGGAGGAGTCCGACATCGCGCAATGTTTGCTGCTCATAATCCCGATATTGCGCCCAGAGCGTCCAAAAAGGTGCCAAGCGACGTTGGCGTCCTTCGGCCGCCGCAATGTCAGCTTTCGAATTTCAGTCCACATATCAGCCTCGGCCAGATTGGTGTCGTGCTGCTGATGCGCAGGGACATGAATGACCTTGAAGCCGCCGTTGCTCACCGAAAGATTGTCACGGACTTCCTGCCAGAGGTCACCATGAGAATTTGGTAATTCTGCACACGGTGAGGCCTGCAAACGCCAGAAATGGGTGGCCACATATGCTGAATCCGTCCACAATACCGCTTTGTGCGTACGTCGAAGGCTCCAAATCAACGCGTGCATTGCATTGCTCCCAACCACGTAGCGGGCCTGATGCCAATAGCTGACCATGAGTTGCAGACACTACACCCCATCCAGCCACTGATAACGGAGAAGCTTCCGTCAGAGAAAAGGTCCCGTGGAGTGACTGAACATACGGTAATTCCTCCAGAAAGGACTCAGGCGTTGCAATTGCATCGAATGCCCGTCGTAGGGCACCCATCCATGGATTCCGCGGTGCCAAGAGATGATGTGTGATACATTCCGGAAGTTCACTCCAGCGTTGGACGGCTTCGGCATGATGTTGTCGGACATATCGAAGGCCTGGGCATTGTATACATCTGTGTTCCAACGAGTCTGGCTGCCCACAAATGTGGCAGCTACCATCTTGTTGCACATCATAATGCTTGAAATGCCTGGCTGTCAGAAAGGCCCCTTCACGCAAGGCAGCGATCTGAGCCTGTTGAAGTGGCATGAGGCGGTCCTCCTTGTACTTCGATGCAGCAAGGTTGACTCCCTGCAATTTTGTCAAGGTGGTACGGACACAAATGCGACTTGCGACCGATTGATACCAAGCGTCCAATGTGCGTTGCCACAATGTTGCTACGGATTCTTGCTGGAAGTCAAACTGCAATCCATCGTGATCAAGACAATGCGGTGGCTGAAGCACATACCATCCCAAAACTTGGAACTGCTGCATTAGAATGGAGCAGGGGCCTGGCATTGGTTTCCCGGAGTGATGCAAGTGAAAGGCTTCCCACAACTGAACGAGCATCGGTTGCTTGTTGGCCAACCGACGGAAGTCACGAAAAATGCTCCAAACTCTGAAAAGACCAGGATCAAGTAAGGGCTGGCGTCCATATCCGAGGCGAATCAGGGGACTGGCTCCTGCTTTTTCATGACTCAACGCACGGACAACACATGTACGTAGCTTGCCAATTTGGCCCTCCGTCACGTTTGCTGGGATCAGTCTCCAGACATAGGAGTTCCAGAAAGGTGTCCTACCAAGATGCCATGAGCCAGATGGGCAACCTGACGTGTAAGCAGCTCATAGTTATCCACGAAGGACAAAGAAAGAATCTGCGGTGCATACTGCTGCATGTAAAGAGCATGGCAGTGGTTGACCAGCAACATGCCGATACACGAGAGGGCACATCCTTCAGGCAAGCCGCACGTGGACTGCAAAAAGCTGCTAACAACCTGACGTATCACAAAGTACCTGTCGGACTCCTTCAGGAAATTCATCCAGGTGTGAACCAAGCTTTCCGGAAATCCCAGGTGTTTGGCCATCATCAGGATTGGCATCCGTGGCAGATTGTTGCGGGCCCGCTTGAGGTCCGTCATCAATGGCAGCTTGTGTGAGCATCCAAACCTCAGCCGCCTCCTTTTTGGGCATGAAGCCAAAGATTGAACCGTGCAGAATGTCCTTGAGTTGTCCGAGGAGCTGACCTGCACGTAGTGAACTCCAGGCTCTGCACACCATGCTGTGAATGATCACCGGTCGGTACTCTGAGGCCGCGCTCGATGAGTCAGACTTCGCGAGACCATGTACCATTCCCGCGGTCAGTTGTGTTGGCCACGTCGCCTGATCCTTGACTTCGTTGAGCAGATTGACCAAAACTTGCTGGTGTCCATACGGCATGTGTTGAAGATCCTTAGAATCGAATCCATCAGGTCCTCGAGCTGAGCGCGTGGTGTATTTGGCAATGGCATGGTTCCATGCGGGTACATCGACTGGCGGAAGCTGAAGCTGTGCAGGGGTCACATATGCTTGTATGAATCCAGCAATTCGTTCCCATGCTTCCGGCGGTGTAGCTGCATGCTGCTGCCAGCGTTGGGTCCAGTATTGCCGAAGTTCCTCATGTATATCGCCGACCTCCGTGAGGAAGGACTGACATTCGACGGCCTGTCCAGGGACGAGAAGGATATCCGTGTCCACTTCCAGAAGTTGTGGCGCTCGCTGATGTGCAGTTGCAAAGGTGCCCTCAACTGTCCATGTGACTATCCCACGTTGGTCAATGGGTTTGTCAACATGTACGAGGGTGCCATCCGTTGAGACATCAACAATGCAGGCTTCAGTGGTGGACTGAAGAGTGTCGATACCAGGGCGCATCTTGTCACGTAGCTGTCTGAAAAGCCTGCGCTTATCTTCTTCCAGTGACGCTTGCAGTAAGCGGCTCCGTTGGCGATTGTGCCATGCCTCGTACTTTCTGAAGTTGGCGGCGAAGTCCTGCAGGATGTGCACCACAATCTGATGTGAAGGCAAAACCAGTGAAACCTCAGTTGGTGAGCTCTGTAATTGCACAGGCCGATTTGGCCACCACATGACAAAGCCCTTCTGAAACCCCTTGGACCTGCAGATAGCGCCCCAAAGTTCCACTCGGTGAAGCCAAGAGTTGTTGCTGGGAACTTGTTGTCGGAGATTATGCTCAAGGCTCTGAAGGCGGCGCAGTTGGGTGAACCAGCGAAGCACCTCCCGACAGGTGAACTCATTGGCGAGCTGCTCCTCCCCTTGTCGACTCGGCTTGGCAAGCGGTGTATGAACAGCACGACGTGCAGGGTGAAGCCTTTGAGCTCGTCCCTTGCATCCGGTTGGAAGTGCAGGTAGTTCAGAGTTGAGATACGGATCAATGGAGTCTTCAAAACGCTTGCCAAAAGCGGCAAACGCCTGAGTGATGGTCTGGTCAGGTTGAGGTTGAGCGTCATCAACATGATACTTCCATGAGGCAGTATCAATGTGTTCTCAGGGTATCCGTGCCGGGAGCGGCCATTGCAGTACATGAGAGTGCTGGCAAGGGACTCTGAAGTCTGCATACAGAGCAGCGTGTCCTGAACCTTGATGTTGTAGCAAATGTTGAGCCAGTTCGGGGCTGACGAAGATCATGTCGATCCTGGAGGTGTTGCCATATGTCGGCTGGATTTCTTGGCCATGGAGCTGTATTTCCTGCCATCCGTTCTGACGCCATATGGCCAACTCAGGAAATTCCTGCTCTGTTCCATTGAAATCTCCAGCTACAAATCTCGGTCCTTGATGACCTTTGATAAGGAATTCTGACACCTGCTGAAGCATGCGATTGCTGTGTGGCCACGTTGGCGAGGATGGCCATCCATATAAATTCACTCCCGTGATGCCACCGAAGGCGGGAATGTCGAACTGTGTGACTTGAGTTCGGCCTTGAGTATATTCTCCGTGTGGCCATGACAGAGATATCGGTCATCCTGGAAAAGCGGACACCTGAGCGACACCGCTCCAACAACTGGCCGTTGATGAATTGTGGCGGAGCGGTACGGGATGTCCTGAATACACCCGCCAGTCCTGTGGTGATTGTCTCTGCAAATAGCGAAATTGCTTGGCAAAGGCCGGCATTGTGACCTTGGACAGTTCCAGATTCCGCCACCGAGCGACGCTATGAGCTGCTCGCGTCCTCGCACTCCGCCGGAGTTGAAGGTGCCGATACGAAGCAGGGGTTGTGGACCCGGATGCTGTGCTTCTCCATAACGTTGTACTGGTAGCCATCTACAGTGGCCCTGAGACCTGATCTCACCCGACCTCATATTGCAGCAAGCTGCACTGACAAAGAAGAGCCAGGCAAGGTGAGTCGGGCCCCAGTTGCCACTTTGACGGACAGAGCGTGAATTGGAAGACTGAGGAGGTCCAGATTCTGTTGTCTTGATTCCACCATTCATCATACCAAGGAAGTACATGATCAATCCCCCAACTGAGCAAGTATTCCAATGAATTCAGGGTTGTCCGTTCCCGGACAGTCAGCGGCAGGCTGTAGAAAAGGAATGGTCGGATTGGAGACCCTGATGCGTTCCATCCCCAGGTGCGGTTCAGGTAATCCAAGAATGTGACCACTCATTGCGCAGATGACCCCCAGGGGCCATGATGCCCATGTGGACGGGGCGTCATGACTCAGCTCCATAGGCATGCTGAGCCACCACCCTTTGAGTCACTCTGCGCAAGACTTCTTGGCCAGCAGGGCCTCGATGCGTCCGAAGCCAGAGCTCATGTCCTCCTGGAGCTGAGAGCGGAGGCCATTGACGGAGCCTCCAAGGGCAGTGATTTCCTGCTGCTGTTGGCTCACCTGATCGGCGACTGCCTGAAGGCGATGGGCAGTATGCTGATTTGCTGCCCCAGCTTCAGTGAACCACTGCTCAAATTTGGCATGTTGGTGTCGGAGCTCGCCGATGTCGGTTTCCATCTTGAGGATGCGGTGATCGACGGCTTGGTTGTCCATGAACATGGCAACATCCTGCCCGTTGGTTTGCTCCTCGATTTCTTTGCGAACCACCGCCTTGACATCCTCCCGCAGACGACGCTCAACTTGCTGAACTCGGTCTACAGCAGCTTTCGAAGTGGACGATGCCGGATTGACTAAACCGGGGGTGACTGGAACCAGGTGGTGCAGGGATCTCGTCCGGCTGATGGACGAAGGAGGGTCGATGAGGTGCCTCCTTGGAGAGTTCGGTAATGACAACGTCACCTCCGCTGTGCTGAAGAACCGTTGACGGTGGACTGGAGGCCGATCCAACTTCCCATGTGATTCCATGAGGTCCGGCGTACTTGGGTTGCAAGGGCTTTGCTGCCCATGTCCAGGCCTTCAACAACTTTTGCAGTGCCGGTCTCTGCATCCCATGCGGAAGTGGGCTGATATGGAACAGCCTGTCATATGCCAGGTATTCGAATGGTGCGTTCGGCTTGAGCTCCTTGTGAGCAGCTTCCATGTGGTCGTTGGTGAAGCGGAGACCATAGCGATCCTGCTTGCGAACCAGGGCAATGACTTTCGGAGCGGCGGCAAGCTTGCAGCTGGTCTCTTTGAGGCTGTGCCCAGGCATCCAAATGACTCCATATTTGGCATCCGTGGTTCGTCCCGTGGAATCTCGCGGTTCAACGTAAATACCACGTTGTCCAGATAGACGCTGCAGGGTGTGGCTGGCCAGCTGTGGTACTCGCATGAGGCAGCTGAAGGAATCGGCTTCCAGCGGTGGCGAGCGGTGGTGCCATCCTCGGCTCCAGACATCCATCACCACCGTTTCGATGTCTTCCTCGTCACAGGGTGCATGGAAGAACCCACACGAAGTTCCACATAGGTTCACATGTGAGCAGCAGGCCCTCAGGCGTGGCTCGTACACCAGCTTGATGAATCACCAAAGTCGGCGAAGCCCCAAAGAGCCCTGGCGGCACACCAACCACTTCACCCGTGTGCTGAATACGACCTCGTCGGTCGTCCACCTGTGCAATCACAGCGCTAAAGCGCTTGCCAGGGTGAGGTCGCCCCAGAAAGCGCACCAACGAATGATCCATCGCCCGCGGTCAGCCGACTTAGCTCTACCCCTGAAAGGACTCGGGCCCAGAGCTATTTGAGTCACAATCAAAACCCGATATTAAAATGGTCTACCCAGAACCATGTAAAGAATTAAGAAGGCGGCCGCAACTATTTCTGGCTGGGACTGCCCCTTACTAACCTTCATCTACCCGCGTTTTGATTGTGGCTCATTTTGACCATGAGTACTTTGAGGCATTGTGTGCTGGTTGGTAGAGGAAACGCTGTTTAGGGGAGCCTATCTAGCGCCCAAATGTCCTCAGCCCTGCTTGGAGAACATGAGCATTGCTTTGGTGCGCTTTAACCCTTAGCAGCCGCAATGACATGACGCAAGCCATCTTTGGATGATGTTCACCATTGCACGTGATTGGTTCCGAAAGTTGGCCTTTCTACGGCATTTGGATCCTTTCCTGTGATTGGCGAGGACACCATGTCCCTTCTGAAGGATGGATTTCACAAGAATGCAGCGGTCGGCAAGCTGGGCTCCGCTTCAGGCAATCGGAACCTCTGCGAAAAAGAAGCAAAGATATGGCAATCCCCACCAAAATAGACTAAAATGGGTGGTGCACCTACCCCAAAATGGTACCATTGGTTTTCACCCACAGCCATATGATTTGCTTTCAAGTTAACAGCATCTGAGACCCGCGGATGTTTTTCGCGGTCCGTTAAAGTTCCAGTCACAACTTCTCGGACCCTGGCAAAGCGGAAAACCAAGAGGCCATTGAGTCAATCCTACAGCCGAGGTTGGTCCGAAGGAAAGAAAAAACACAACATGAGATCCGGATCCCAAACAAAATCCGGAACATTGGGTTGGCTCCTATGGTGGATTCATGGAAGTGGCCCATCTATTAATTGCTCAATAGGAAGTGAGGGCGCGCCCTTTGCCGCAAGCTCAGCTGTTGCGTGAGCCCCCACTTCACCGGCCTCAAGAAACACCAGCGGCTGCCGGAGCGAGTGCCTGGATTTGAGCCCCAGGCGCCAGGCGCGGGGTTTCCGTGGCACGTGAGTCTAGAATGGGCGGCGGCTTCCCTTCGTCTGCGAAGAAAGCACAACGAGAGTCGCCGTTTCCTCCTGGGTCTCCTTTCTCGTGGCACACAGCACAAGTTGAGCAAGACTCCAGGGAATCGGCACGGGCATTTGGGTGTGTCTCGAAATAGAGGACCCCTTTTTGGATGGCTTTGAAAGGAGGCCAAGAGGAAACCCACCGGGGGGCCCGCCAGTTGGGAGAAACACGCATTTTCTCTAAGCTAGCCTTAATTTCCAGGGGCCATCCCCTTCCTTCACTGGAAGGGGGCGGCCCGAATCCCCGAACTCTCTTTATCTAGTCTTCCCAGAAAAAGTGGAAAACCGTACATGGACATCTCAAACGGAAAGACGGCCTCCCTCCAATTTTCCCGTTTCAAGGGACCGGTCTGGCGATCCCCTGGACGCGAGCTCGACAACGGCCAGGGCGCTGGATGCCGCGCTGCTCCGCGGCTCCATGGTGAAGAGTGCGCTTTGGCCGTGTTGTTAGGGGGGGGGGGGGTGTAGGGGGGGTGTAGGGCAGGGTGTAAGGGGGGGGCTTTTCTACTTAGAACTGGGGGGGTGGAGATACAAGACTGATGTCTATGTCCTGATCATGGGGAGAAAACTATGCTTGCAACCTGGTAGCCTCTTGTGCCCTCACCCTGGATTGTGATGAGATGCAATCTAGTCTTGGTGCAGGATGCCCAAGTGGGATGACCATTGGGAAACACCTCTAAAGATGATCTGTCCCGTTCAATGCAGGAATATTGATCAACCCCCATATCTATGATTCGAGGTTTGTGGAGGTCAAATAATTTTGAATCTGTGGTCTTGTGCAACTTCGGGTCGCATCTTTTGCTGGGGACCGTGAATGCGTCGGTCTGAGCACCGGTGCGGACGAACGAGTGCCCTCCACGCTGAAAGCTGAATTTGACAGCCAGCATTATGTTGCCTTACTCGGACCTATCTATCCTAAAACACACATGCCGCATGTTGTGCATCCCGGGTACACTCTGAAAAGCGAAACCACAAAAGGCGGTTTCATCGTCAAAATTGCCTCCCGCTCACACATCTTCGCCCCTCAAAACCCAGCGAGCAAAAAAACACCGGCGGCCAGCAGCTTCCAAATTCCCGTGCCTTATCCCGGCCCGCTCGGGCCCTTTCTCTTTCAGGCGCAAGGAAGCTCCCGTGAAACCTTTTTGGCGATCCATTTGGGCATCGGAGCACCTCCAGCCTACAGATGAAAGGAACCCAGTCAACCTTTCAGCTTGTTTTGGCACATCTGTCAGGACTCGGACTTGGGGCCTGTTGCTTTCCATGCGGATTCCGTTCTTTGCTAAACACTTGGCAAGCTTCTCCTAACTCCCTGCCATTGCACATGGCAAACGGAGCTTAAGAAAGAGAAGGGGACAAGGTACAATACCCCAGCCATGCCCGTGACGCCCATGCAGCAGGTGAAACAGAAGACGATCCTTTTCACATCTTCCATGCCTCAGCAAGTGTGAAAAGCGACGCACCCTTGATTTGCAAGTAGCTAGCACCCTCCCGGGTTCCCCTGATTTGGCCTCTTGAAATGGGATGGGATACATCTGAGTCTTGTTCCATGTCAACAAAGAGATTGAATCTTCCTGTGCCCAAATGTGCCGTGCTGGTCACATGACAGTTGGATCGAATCCGTGCAATCTGCCTAGTCGATTGCACCACGATTCATGGACTCATGGCTGATCTCCTGTAGCGTCCGTTTGCAGGGTCCCAATCGGCGGAGAATTGGCACGCTGTCACAACTTCCCCAAGTTCTTGCTTTCGGTGCAACACATTGTTCCAAAGATAGGAAATAGCCTTACACCTACTCGCATACGCCTCTGCAATCGGTTAGGAAGGGGTTAGTCGATTCAGCGTGAAGGAAAAGCATTCAAGGGCTTTTCAGGTATGGCTCCCTGAGGAGTACATATGTGATTGATTTTTGGGGGGTTACCCCATGTTTGGTGGCTTTTATACCTAAAGGAAACCAACCATTTTGGGGGGGGGTCCCTCCCAAACAAGACACGGCCATAACTTTGTCATGTAGCTGGTATAGCTCCCAGGCCATTGAAACATGGCGCCAACTTGTCTGCCCTCAAAATCCGGTAGCACCTTGACATCTCGGCACTGCACATTTATGCATCAAGCTGGCCATCGTATGCCGGAAGTACAGAAAAGCACCCTGAGCACGCCACTGAAATCCTCCAAGAAACAGACCGCGCTTCCTGCAATTGGAATCGAAGACCATTTTTGGTACATCCCAGGAACAATCGAGGTTGCCCCAAAGCCTTCATAACATTGGCCCGCAGCGCTTTGGTTGCGCCAGGCCAACATACTTGAACAGGAACGTCAGCAAGGATCAGTGGCCGCGTGGATACCTGCAGTTGCCACCATTCACGCTGCAAGCGCACCTCATGAAACTTGAACTGAAGCTAGGAGCCAGCCAAATGCAACTCGGACCTTTGGACACGAGTCGTTGCCGCCAGGTTCAAAGTCTTCTTTTGGAACATGACTTCCCCACTTATTGTGCTCCTTTCTGTTTTTGTCGCCTGAAAATCGACTAAGATCGGAACCAGATTCGAAGTGCTGCACATCAGAAGATGTGGCTTCAACCGACGTCAACCGTGCTTGTTTCTTCCGACGAAAAAACAACTCCCAGGGAAACATCAGAAGAAGCGTCCACATGTGTTGTTGTGTTTTTCCGACCAGACCCTTTTCGTTGGGTTCCGGGGGCCCAGATCCCTGCGCCAAATCATGGATTCCTCCCCTTGCGCTGAGGGGGACTGCGAAATATTTCAGGGGCCCAACACCCAGTGTCTTCTCTCTCCGGCTTGGCTTTGGCTCGCCTCGCGCCGGGCTCACCTGCCCCAATTCTTGCCCCTCCTGGTCAGGCTTTGGCGCGGCGCAAGTTCTTCACCAAGGCCCAAATCTGCGACTTGGCCTGGCGACGGCCCCCCAAAACCCGGAAAGAATCCTGAAGGTCCAATGAGTCCAATGAGAAAAAACAAAACTGGCAAAGGACTCTGCTCGAAACCACGACTAAAACGAAGACTGAAAAGCCGAGTCTTCACCAACTATTTATCTGGACTCACTTAAACTTCAACTACCAAAGTCCAGGAAAAAATGGACCAACTGGCCGAGAGAGCTTCTCGGCCCGTGTGTCACTTCTATCGCCTCCTCGACGGGCACCTCGTCTGCAGAGTAGGTCGTACCTGTCAATGGCTCCGCCCATTCTAAGGCTGCCGCGGACAAACAGAGCTTTTGCACCTTTTATCCCTCCCAAGATTCAAGAGTATGTTTAGGGAAGGGTTCTGGAACCATGGACTATCCGTCACAGTGGTATGGCACTATTCAAGGTGCATCCAGTCACAGGTGGCCTTTTGGAAAAATAGATGGCCCTGCTAAATGAAACAATCTAAGTTTAACGAAACTAACCGACCAAAAGGACTCCTATGTGTTCAAAGGAGCGAAATCATGAACAACTTGGCGCTTGGCCCACTGCTTTTCTCCAGGGTTCTGAGGCACGGTGGCATGGCAACTCCCGGCCACGTCAAGCTGCGAGTTCGACTCCTCGACTTTTGGTCCCAAAAGCCTTCTTAATCAGGGTCACTGGATTTCCCCAAATCAAAAGTTGGTCCATTTGCTGGTGGTGTCCCTTGAAACCGCCACACTGTTGGAGGTTCCAAAAAGGGAAATGGCTAGAGAAATCAAAAAAAAACGAAGCCAGGTTGGGTGTTCCCTAAAAAAAGGGACCCATCCATTCCCCCCAAATGAATGTTCTACATGTCCAAAGCGGTCGGGTTCCAAATTGTGGCGCACCCAGCATGCGGCTGCAGGCTTCCATCTCCTTGGCGTCCAGTAGGCCACACCTCAGCCGAAAAATGGAAAAACACAACCACCGAGGCTTTGCGGGGATTTGGGTGTGGTCCCTTGGGTGTATAGGGTTTAGGGTTTAGGGTTTAGGATTTGGGTGTGGTCTCTTGGGCAAAACCCTCTTTTCTTAATTTGCTTGATGGTCTGAACCACTGATGGCTCGATTCCGTTTCTTCCAGCCACGCAAATCGGTGTCCAAAATCGGGTAACCCATGGCTTGCCCTGGTAGGTGCAAAGACTGTCCCCATGGGGGGTTGAATTTTGACTCTCCCAATGGGTCTCCTTTTTGTTTGTTTTCAGGGGGAAACCAAAGGAAAAACCCTTGTGCCATCTTGGGGTTCCCAAATTTTGAGTTAAGCCCAATTGCAAGCGAAATTCTGGTGGAAACTCTCCGCTCCAATGGAAGGTTCAACTGGAAGGCCTTCACTCAAAAGGAGGTGAACGCTTGGCGAGAAGAAGCCATCCCCTCATGCCAACCCTGGTTTACAGCATCAGCAAACACGGAAGGGACCCCGAGAGCGCATGCCGAACGAGCAGTTTCGTGCCCTGCACTATGGCAAGGCGTCCGTTTTGCGCATACTGGCCCTCAATTCCTCGTCAGGGTGGGGGAAGTGCACAGCAAGTTCAGGGAAGTTCAGTGCAAAAGCAGATTGCCGGGCCAACGCCCCATTGCACTGCCGTTGGCTCTTTGAGGGCCCCGTTCGAGTTGCGTCAAAGGTGACATCAATCCCTGATCGGCAAAACCGATTTGGAGGCATGACAACATACATAGATCTTCCCAAAAGGAAGGAAAAAGCACGCAGAGTGTCGGTTGCTTGCTCATTTGTACTTTAAGGGATTGTTGAGCATCTTCGCCGGAAATGGGAGTGGCGTGTGACTGTGGGCACAGTTCAGTCTAGAATCAACATGCTTTGTTGAGCAACAGCTTGCTGCAGTTATAATCAAAGCCTGATACGAAAATGATCTACCCAAACCCATGTGAGGAATTAGAAGCGGCAGCTGCACCCAGTTCACTAACCTTCATCTGGTTTTGGCTGTGGCCCATTTGTTCAACTCTGAGCGGTTCACAAGAAAGCATGCACACTGGCATGTCGCATATGGAGGTCCTGAAGGTCTGATTCCAGAGTGGCACCTGATAAAGAAGATGAAAACACCAGTTTTAGCAGGAGAAAATTGGTATTTCCAAGAATAATTCGGAGTGAACGTGGTTCCTCAATGAGTTGTGTTCGCTGAACACTCGAAGCACACCCAAAAAAGGCAGACACCATGATCCTGCTGTAGTCCCCCCACCCCACCCCCCACAAAACACACACACACACACATGGACAGGGATAGAGTCTTCCAAGGGTCACGTACCATGCTATGTTTGTGGGACAAGTCCGAAGAATTCATAAATTGGCCTACAAGTCAGCTACCCGTTGCTCGATGAGCAGATTCAGCGATTCCAAACAAAATAAAAGCTGGAAAAGAGGGGGTCTGCAAACTGGCCATGTGAATGTTTTGGTGTTTGCGTGTGTGTGCGTAACCGGGCATCCTTTTTTTCAAAGGGTGTTGAAGGAAGCCGAAAGGACGCCCCCATTGACGCGGGCATCGAGCCATCTGACCATTCTCAGGCTGGGTTGCCCTGGCCCTTGCAACCGCTGCAGAAACTCCGGCATGTTCAGCGCCTCCATGCCCGCGTACGCCTTCAGAAGGAGACGCCGTGACGGGCGGGAAACAAACGCATCAAGTTTGCCTACCTGGTACAAGCTTGGGGGGTCACATAAAGGCAAGGGCGGGTTGCCAAAACGGGAAGGGGTCAGTCAACATGCAGGAATGGGGGGCTTGAACAAAAAAGTGGGGGTCAAAAAAGAGTGGGGGCAACAAAAACAGGGAGCCCCTAGCAAGCCTTGAGGTATCGAGCCCCTCAGCTCGACCAGCATCAGCCATGCCAGCTTAGCCCTTTCATTCAATCCCAACGAAAAGGCTGGTCAAAAATCGACACCCAAAATGGGGGTGATGGTATTTTTAAAAAATCGACAAATATAATCATCATTGCTATAATCTGTCCCTACCCGGGAGATTTCGGAACCCATGTGTGTTCCCACCCCCCCGACCCCCCGCCCCCCACCACCAAATTTCAGGGTCTCGCTCTAGACCTGGAGTCCCATGCGGATCCGCTGGCCCCAAACATCCGGGTACTCCCCTTGCAAATTCCCGTGGAACCCAACCCCAGAAAAAGAAGAGGCTCCTCTAAAGACGGCGGGTTTTCGGGGATGTCAAATTCGCAGCAGAGTAGTTGCACGACCAAAGATGTTTGAAGGGTAAGTAGACCCCAGGGACTCTCGGAGCGCTTTTCGTCAGTCCTTGATCGCCTTAAAAGAGCCTTCGACTGACAGACTCAAAATAAACAGCCCCGCCAAATCAGAGAACTTTCATGGGGCCCGAGCTTGTTTTGACCCCTCGATGAGCTAACATGAACAAATAGACAGAGCTGCGCGATCATGTCCTGTGCAAAGAAATTAAATGGGCTGAAAGTGCCCAGCCCAACTCCGAACTGAACACTTGGGAGGTTGGGCTTTGACCCCGCCCGGGACCCCTATTCGCTTGTTGAGAACCGCCCAAGTGGCTCCTTCTGTGCACCCGTGGGCTTTAAACCCTGACCCCCGTGTTTTTGCCGCAAATCACCACACTTCACGAGCTGGAGCATATTTTTGTTATGACAATCCCCCCATGTAAGCAAGCATCATCCCTGGGCTTTAGCCTTAGTGGGTTAAATGATTTGAGACCCAACCACTAAAACCAACCAAAACAACTAACAAGCCTAAGGAACCGGACGATTCGCTGATCCAGGCGCTCGTTCGAACCCTACGAACCAAATCCTTCGCGCGGCTCGCGGACTTCCAACCTCGTCCAGGGCGGTGTAGAACTTCTCCTCGTCCTCACGCTGGAAAAACAAGTCTCGAATTTCAAGGGCGTCAGAGGACCCCTTGAAAAAACGACCGCGAACTGCCCAATCCAAATATTCCCATTGTATCCCTCACATAGCCCCGAAATATAGCTCCGTCTGCTGCTTTGCTCTGAGCCGAAAGATGTTAATTCTGGTTGGGGCACATCCAAAGGAGCAGGTGGCTATTCTCCTAGAAGGCGTGGTTACGATCCAAGTTACACGTGGGCCCTCTCTCCAGGCGGATTCGATTCATGTCGCCACTTGCCTTCCGGTTTGCGGAAAGCTGCCGGTCTCTGACGGGGTTGTTATGGGAAGAGCAAATCGAGGCAATATGATTCGACTGGCAGGTGAAACCCGTGTTCTTGCTCTTTGAAAACCGTTTACCCGTGACCTCACACCTGCGACTGGATGTGGGCTCAAGGGAACAAGAAGAGGTTCCTCACACACGGTTATCCTGACAAAAGAATCCTCCGAAAAAGCCTATTGGAGCCAGACCCTGACCCATGAAACACATCCAACGAAAAAAATGCCACTCTAGGTCACAGGATTGAAAGCCATGCCTAGTCCTAATTTCCTGACTTCCTATGTAGCAAAATCACTGAGTGTAGGAACTAGCAGGATTCTCCACGCAGGAAATTGCGCAAAGCAGGGAACACAAAAAAAATGATTGCTAGGATGCTACACACATTGTCCTTCGTAAGCTAAAACCCGTCTGGTAGAACACCTCAACTAAGCTTTTCGTCCAGTTCATGGTTTGGATTGGCGGTGTGGATGTGGATTGGAGCGCCTTCTTGTAGAGGGTAACCGGGAAACCACACCTTCACCACACCACCGTGCTCCAAACCACCAAACGAGAGAAACTGAATGCCCAAATTTCTTCCTGTGCCACCGTGTCGTTCTTCACGATCGCCTTCCTGGGCAGAAGTTCCGAGATGGAACCGCAGCTTTCATTGGGCTTGAATGGTTGCTTCAAATCAATGGACCTTTTTGGGATGGGTGTTCAAGAACGAAGCCAACATGGAACTACTGTCATGTAGCGAGCAATCTGGGATGCGACTGCCAACCTGGAACTGTTGTCATGTAGAGGCCAATTGGGATAAGTGTCAAACACAAAACCAACCTGGAACTATTGTCGTCTCAATGTGCAAACAAAACACAACGTATTTACCAGTAATGACGATGCCCTGTAACCTCAACCAGGAAAAAGGACCAAAACACTCCTCGATATGGAAGGAGCGTCGATCTCCTCTTGACGCACGACCTTTTTGGCTGCGGAAGCTGCGGCAACTGCAAACTCCCAAACCTCACGCGGAAACACAGGATGGGGGTCTCATGTTTTTCTTTCAGCCAATCAGCCAATCGTAAACCCAACAAAAAAGGATTGGCGCCATTCAGAGCCGTTGTCCGGGATCCTGGAGCTTTGGGTTCCGTTGGTTTGAACCATTTTTGCACCAAGAGCATGTTTGAAAAAACTGGTTGAACTCTCGGGGTGTCAGCGAGTTCAGTTCAGCTCTTCACAAAGGTTATATCCTTACAGTTGCAAAGGATGCTTTCAATATTCAAATGTATCTCAGTTGTCACTAGAAAAAAAGTTGCCAAAAAACCTCTTGAAGTATCTATACTACTGGTCTCAGAACCTCCCCAGATGTCTGCCAGCTCCGACATGTCTCGTTTCTGCTGTCGCGTGTCCTTCGCCCTTAGCCGTGACCTGGAGTCCTGTCCAGTCGCTTCGCGGCTCGACATGCTCAAGACGGATCTTGCCTTTTCTCCCACCTTCGGTGGGTTCCAAGGAGGCGAAGAAAAAAAGAACAAAACCAAACCTGCTCTCTCACATGCTGTTGATGACCGAGCACCCACCATGCGCCAGGTGACTGACAGTCGCCCGGTTGGCCGTAGCCCTCTCCAGCCACGGTGACACGCCTCTGACTTGCTCCTTGTAGGTGCCCAGAAGTGACTCAGGAGGAGAGCTTCCTGGAAGTGTAATCCTTGTTGGCTCCCCCCGCATCCTTCCCTGCTGGTCGTATGTGCGATGCACCTCGCTGATATCCAAGAACCTGCCCTGATGATAGGTCTTCCGAGTGTAGGTGAGTTGACCATCTTCTCTAAACTTCACCTTCACAGCTCTTGGTACGGTTGCAAAAACTGTGTTTTTTGCAGGCCCCGACCAAAAAGCTGAACAGGACCAAAAAAAAAAAACGACTTGCCAAGAACAGTAAAGTTCACATCTGGACAGCGTCTCACCGGCACGGACTTGCAGTGGAAGGGCCCTTCAAAGGTCCTGGGCCCCAAGAACCACTCCGGCGTGTCCCCCGAGATCGCCGTAACTTGCACCTCGCCGGGATTCACCCGGCCATCAAAACCGTAGCCCGTGTGGTTCTTGGCCTTGTTCAAAATCCACTCTGGGGACATCCCCATCCTCTCCAATGGCCGCACGCGGCCATGGAGGCTGGAAGTGGATCGGGAAGACCTTGAGGACTGCATCTCACGGAGGAAAAGATGGGTCGCGCGAGCTCAAGGCCGAGCGATTCTCCACATGCACATGCCATCCTGAACCTGTTTCTTTGTGTAGGAGCTAGAAAATGCGCTCGTGATCAATCACAGTCAGAACTGTTGCTGGGAAAATGCCACGCAAGCCAACTTCTATCTCACAGGCTGAAAAGGTGGCTTTGGAGGGGGCTTGCACGTGAATGCATGTTCATGTATTCATTTATTTATTGATTTCTTGATTTATTGATTTATGTATTTATTATTGATTTATTTATTGATTTATTTAGTTAGTTATTTATTTATTGATTTAAATATTTATTCATTAGTTTATGTATATATTTATTTATTCATTTATCTGTTTATCAATTGATTGATTTATTTATTTACTATTTATCTGTATAAAAGAGGTGTAGATATCACATTTATATTATGCAGACGTGTGTAAGCTTCACTCAGTTGGAATGGGGCTGGCAAGAAACCAGTGTGAAGACCCGCACATCCACAGAAGGACCTGCACTACGTGCTGTCCGTTGTTTCTTTTTTCTGTGGTGCTCCAAGCATAGCAGTGCTGAAAAGGTGAGTCCTGTTGAGGTGGCACACGAAACAAGCCACTCAGATTTGAGGGGATTCTCGGTTTGGGATTGAACCCCTAGGGCAAAGGTGGTTTCAGTGCCAGGTCCGAGGACCTATCCAGCGCAAGTCAGGTCTTGTGTCTGGTGTGGTCTGATGTGATGCAATGCGATGTTGCAATGCAATGGTAAGGTGATATAATGAAAGCAATGCCATGCAATGCAAGATGATGGCATGTAATGCAATGGCACGTAATGGCTTGTACTGCAATGTGATGTTGATGTGATGTGATGTGATGTGATGTGATGTGATGTGATGTGATCCGCTGTGATGAGCTGTCATGTTATGGTATGAATGTGTGATATGTATGCTATGTGTGTATGCTATGATGCTATGCCATTCCATGCAATGCCACGTAGTGCCCGGTTATGCTATGCAACGCTATGCCATTCTAGGTAAAGCGGTCTTGAAGTCAAAGCTATAGAGAGTTCAACAGGGCGCCTGTGAAGCTATGTTGTATTCTGTCGTGTTTTGATAATATGCTAAGCCTTGTGCATCCTTTTTGGCTCCAGGAAGCAAACATGGCATGGACTATGGCAAGAACATTAGAAACTCAACTGGGCCAGCGGGCTCAAAGGAGAGCATGGACCGGATGAGCCCAACCTCAATCTGGACTCGCACACACACACACACACACACACACACACACAACCCCACATTTGAGGGGTCTCAGAGTCTCACTGGAAATGAACCGGGCCTGCTTCCATGCTGAAGCAAAAAGGCCTGGGTACTGAGTTGGCTCCTTTTGACACATACCCCAGATTGAACACAATGGTTGGCAACCTCCAGTGACTGGCGCAATAGCCACGACCCACAAATTCCTCCAATGGACTGCTGAAAACGGGTGGCCCGTCTCACTCCGAATGCTGTGCTCGATGAAATGGGCTTACACAAAGACTAGTGAAACTGCGATGCCATCCACAGTAGTGTTTCTTCGAATTACCGCAAGAGCAATGGAGAATGCCTCCACAAGTCTGAGGTTCGATCGAGGTGGACGCATAATGAGCCTCCCTCATAACACATGGTACCATCTAAATCCGAGCATCTCTAAGAGATATGAGCAGTTGCGAAAATTGGGGATCACTTTTAGGACACCCTCGAAGGTAGGCCAACATGAAACTAACAAAAAGGCCGAATTTCGGCAAACTGCGCAAATCAGTGTGTCTCCCGCCAAAACTCGACTGAGATTTTCGGCGCTTGCCACGCGCTCCATCTGCCACGCGCTGACGAATACTCAAGTCCTGTGCTTGATTCTTTCGGGATATTTAGCAAAATGGCTGTGGTTGTCAAAACAAATGGAATCCCATTTTGGGGTAGGTGAATTCCCCACTCATTTTAGTCTATTTCATTGGGGATTGGGATGTTCACTGGGGGTACGGATTTTGATCCATGGCCAGAAAGGAACCGAGGATCTCTCAACCTTGGGCTGTAAGCTTCCCGAAACTGGAGTGAGTACCCCATGCCCTCCCAAACTGACCACATGGGTGTGTCATGTGTTTTGGCGGGGAAGCCCTTTTTTCTGGCGTGTTAACGGAAGCCTCATTTTTCCTGATCCCTGGCATTCCAAGGCTGAGGCCGCCCTAGGAACGAAGCTGGCATAGGAGATCAAGTTGTCTGCGTTCACCTCCCGGAGAGAAACGCGCTCAAGATGTAAGGGCAAGCAAAAGAACCAATTGCAAACCGGAGAACCCTCCAAATGAGGTTGTTTCCCCTTTAAAACGAGCTCAAAAAATGGGTACCCTCAAACAAAAACACACACACACACACACACACACACACACACACATTTTCGCGCGCACACATTTTCGCACACACACACACACACACGCACACATTTTCGCGTGCACACACACACACACACACACACACACACACACACACACACACACACACACACACACACACACATTTTTGCGCGCGCGCACACACACACACACATTTTCGCACACAAGCATATCAAGGGAGCGGATTCCTTTCCAAGGCCGCGGGAACCTGTCCGGAACCAACAGCGCGCGAAGCAGCCACGGCTCACTCGCCACGGGAGCTGCTGACTCCGGAGCTCCGGGCGAGGCAGAGCCGACATAGGCTCGCAGGGGATTTCCGTTTTCGAAACGCCCCAAGTTACGTCACGGCCAAAGTGAGGCCCAAGTCCTAGGTGCTGGTTTCGTTGACACGACAAACCACGCCTCCGCTTCGCTGAGCACGGTGTAGATCTGCATGCGGGTCAAGCCCAGCATCGCCTGGCATGAAATGTCGGCTCGCAAGACAAAAGACGTGGTGCGTCGTCGTCAGGGAGTCCACGTCCTGCCCCACCAAAATCAGGCCCCCTACATGGCTGCCAAGGATGCTTTTTTTGACTTCCATCAATAAACGGGGCCCTTGTCCCATCACAGCATGTTGAGTACTTCCATTCAACACCAGCAACAAATCCCTAACGATGTCCCACGTCTCACATTCTGGCCCTCTATTTTCAGTATGTTTGGACTCATGACAGCACATGAGCCAAAGTGGGACATCAACTGGTCAAAATGCCTGTCAGTGGCCTTCCCGGGAATCATCAGACCTGTGGTTCTCAAGATAAAATGACAGTAACACCTTGACAAAAGGGTGCTATTTTTAGTCGGGATCATCAGCAACCACTTTTCGCGGGGGTAAAAAGACCACAGCCATGTGGACCAAGCACACGAACTTGTGTTTGTTTGCTATTTTTTTACGGGAAACTATGCCCTCAGGAAATACTGGAGCTTGCTACTAATCGTGGGGAAACTGTGAAAACCTCCAGCCATTCCCTAAAAGACCAGCAAAAGTTGCAAACACGTCAATATCCTTCAGGGAAGGGAAGTTGTTGAACCCATGGCTAAGCCATCCCACAGTTGATCAACTTCCCCCTAATTGGCGGTTCGGATGATTTGGTGGTGTTCCGGGGTGGTTTCCCATCTACCCTCTACAAGAATTGATTCAAAATCCCCAAACCACAAATCCAAACCGCCAATTCAGGGTGACCTGAGTCTGGCTGGACCATCCCCATCCAAGAAAAAGGCTTTCCGCAACGCACCTGGTGCAGGAGGTCCCGCATGTCATCCAGGCCCAGCATGCCGGTCATCTCAGTGTCCTGGCGAACATCCCGTCCATCACGAGAAAGCCCAGGGTGTGTAGACCAGGCTACACGTGGGGTATGGGTCAAAATCTAACCACCTGATGGACCGCAGGTTGAATTGTCCATGTGTCCATTTGCCAGAGTTCGAATTTTGGGGTTGCCCTGTTTTGACCCACAGCCATGTGGGTCCCATGTGGGTTGTGGTCATGGTACGTTGGAGACTTGTTTTCGACCCATTGGCCGCTCAACCTCTCTGGCCTTGACCCAGTCGCTTAGATGAGCCTTCGAGTGCAGAGCATCCAGTTGATTCCATCGCCACGATTCGGTTGGTATTCAGGCTGGATTTGCTCAGATTGGAAAACCCAGAGTTAGTATGGTGCTAAATGGAATGTCAGCCTTGTAAGACTTCAACGTAAACCAAAGGATAGTGCCTAAAACCACCCAAATGTGCAAAAACCAGACACTCCTGGTTTTATGACGAGAACATGTTCGCGAAATTGGACGTGCAAATGAGTCTACTGTGTCCATGCAACAAAATGACTCATTCAATGGTGATAGTACTCAACCCAAATGCAACTCTAAGAACGCCTAAATGCTGAAGCTCGCAAAAAGGCAAAGCTAGGAGCCTAAGCCCGCAAGCAGCCAGGAATCAGAGAGGCAGACCTGTCCGCACGCTCAAGCGCTGTGTGCTGAAGTAAGGCATGATCCCACCATGGGCGTCTTGCTTTCGCTTCTCTTCAGAAGGCCATCCAAACGGAGCTCCCTTGAGGAAGCTAACGCCCACATTTCGACCTACAAGTGCGAAAACAAGGGGTTCCTGGCAATCCCCAAATCCAATTTTGCCATTTGACTGGTGGATTCCAATGAGTCGATGCCACTTCGGTCCCAAAAAAGGACAACAATGCTTCAAGTCCTTGGCTTTGAACAAGTCCAGGATGTACTGGGCAAGCTCATCGTTCTCCAATTCCGTCTCCAGGAGCCGAAGCCTCAAGTTCCGAAGTTCCGGGCCGGGCAGCCAAGTTCCCCGTGCTGGCGAAACATGCGCGTCAGGTCAAAGGATTGGAGCAGCTTTCTGGCTGGCCCCAAGGTGACATGTGTTTTCCGGCGTTTTCAAAAAACGGCGGGGGGGGGGGGGGGGTCAAGGGTCTCTGATTTTTTGACAAGCGATATAGACGTTCCGCTAGGCTGTGAAATGGAGAGCTGGGCATCTTGCGGTCAGCCCCCTATGTTGACAGTCTGTTGCTCTCGTCCCATGTCGAGTTCGAGTAGGGGATCAGGTGCCGTACCTCACCCAAACTAAGAGACACAGGCCGACTATGAGCCGATGGTTCCTCTGGGTAAAAGCAAACCAAAAGACGGCCACCGGCTGAATCCCAGACTTAAGGCACTCTCCTCTGAACTGAGTGCAGTACGACGCCATTTTCTGTAGCAAGTCGAATGCAAAGGGTACGAACTCCTTGTAGGAAACGTTCCCATCTTGGTCCTGCAGTCGGTCACTTCGTTTGGTCTGCGTACCAGCCCTGCTCATGTCGCACAAAGCAGAAGGTTCGAAACTGCATCCGGGTCAGCCCAAATTAATTGAGTGGGGTCTTGGTGTGTGTCAGCCAATCTTAAAACATCAAGATCCCCTTGAATTGTCTCACTTCCTGAGTGGATGGCCCAAGAAAAGCAACCAAAACTTTCTTTTTACCACCAAAATGGTCTAAACCCAAAAAGTGACTAAAGTCCGGGAACTCAGGGAGTGAGTTCTTCAACCGTGCACCTTCTGAAAGTGAAGAGCCAAGGTGCAGAGAAACAATCTACTCATCTATTGGCAAGCTCCAAGGTTCTCTCATCGGGCGATATCCACAGCAAATCCTTGACACTGTGGGTGTGAGCTTGGCTGGCTGGCAAACACTTGTGTTGTTTGCTGACAGAGCAAGCAAACCGCGACCTTTTGTCCCTCTGATAAACCAACCAACATCGATGTAGTAAGCAAGTGGAAGCAGATTGAACAAATTGGTGACATGCTGAGTGTACAAACCCATGGATAACTTCTTACCTCTTCGAAGTAACAGGCTCAGTTCCGAATGGCCATGGCTCGGTTCGGACCTGCCGAGCGCGGCCTGGTCCACCTGGAACATGATGGCGTTGATCTCGCGGCGCGTGAGCCTCGGCGACGTCTGGAACCCGAGCGCTTGGAAAACCGTCCCCCATCGGCTTGACGGCGGAATGAGGGAATGAGCCGGTTTTCAAGATTCCCCGAAAGGAAACCATACAGGATGGCTGTTGAGGGGCCATTCCAATTATCATTCCCTGCTGAACACCAGCACTCCATGTTAACAGGGGTTCCGAGCCTTTCTAGTTTGGCGATCGCTAAATCGAACCACCAGGAAATTGATCAACTTTTCACGTGTGCCAAAAAAACGGGTGCCCAAAAAAAGCGAAGACACGAAATGGTCTTCCCAAGAAGTTTGCAGTCCAGGAACTCAGGGTGTGAGTTTCTTCGAGTTCCAAAACGCACTGATTGGTGTTTCAAGGAACCGCCGTTGGATGCCCAACACCGTCTCGAAACCCACCCAAGTCAATCACTTCGAGCCATCCCCACCCAACACAAGCACTCAGATCCAAGACTGGCCTGGCCCCCTGGCCTGCGCATATCTCACCGGATCTGGCCCGGGCCGACACTCACACCTGGGCCTGAGTGTATCTGACCGCATGTGGCCCACCACAGACACTCAGACCCCAACCTGCGCGAATCTGAGCGGATGCGCAGACACTCCGACGAGTCTGACTGGATTGGGCTATGTCAGACTGTCTGTGTCTCAGACCTCTAACCATCGAGGAAAACCTTCGACATGCATCAACATGCGAAAAAGTGACCATGGATCTTGAAACCCATTCATGGTCAGGGCGAAACCATTGCAGCTCATATGGGGGTTGATCAAAAGGACCGGTATACATGGGATGACCATTGGTTGGAAAACGACTCAAAAAAACAAGATTTCATATTTCACCCACTAAAACTGCAAAAAGCGGCCCATGGTGAAAACTGGGGGGGCCCTTTAACAGAAGATTGATCAACCCCCTTGAGCGTTTCTCTACACCGCATCCCCTGGCCCCCCCCAAAATCGGGGAGCCGCGCCCCAGCTCCATAGAGGTGAGCGCGGCCACGAACTCCTGAGAATCAGCTTCCAACTCGTGGCTGGGTGGTTTGGAGCCCAGTGGTTTGGTGGTGAAATGGAGGGGTTTCCCATTCATCCTCTACAAGAACCGGGGTTCCAATCCAAATCCAAACCACCAATCCAACTGAAATAACTAGGCCGAGAGCAGAACCAGACAAAGAAGAAGCAAGAACTTCCCCAAAACACCACCAAAGAACAATGCAACAGAAACTGGCACGTGGCAACACCAAGAAGGCGAACACACGCACACACGCACACATGCATTACATATATATATATATATGGTGCCCCCCCATGTCGGCAGAAAACACCGCAAATACCATTGAAACCAACAAAATGGTAGACATGTATGCATATATATATACATGTATATATATATATAGATATAGATATAGAGAGAGAGAGAGACTCTTTTCGAGCAACCCCCGCTCTTGTCCAATAGCTCCCTTGGGGCTTTGCAGATACTCAACACGGGATCTCTGGCTAATACTGGCGTGGTGCTGGCAATACCAGCAGCAGCGGGAGCAAATCTAACAAATAAGACACCATGCAAAGCAACAACAGTATACACATGCAAATCAGCAACTATGCTGTGAACAAAGAGCGCAACCAAAGTAGGAGCGGGACTTAGTCACCCGCACAGATACTTCTGCATATTTAGACGCAAACACTGACACGCAGACACAAACCCACAAAACACACACACACAAAAAGAGAAGACACAAACGCAGCATGCATCATAAACAGCCAGCACGCACATGGTTGGCAGCATGCTCGCCTGAGGTTCACCAACGCAAGTCTAAATTGCTCAGCCAATACTCAGAACAAGTCAAAAAAAAAAACACCATGAAGGGCTGCTGTTTGTGCCCTGTTCAAACTCGAGGTTGGTGACAAATGTGCCTAAACAACCAGATTCTAGTCCTTTTAAGCGAGACCCAAGCTTGAACATGATCAACACAGGGTGATCAAAGAAAAGGGCAACCCCGGCATCTCTTCCCCATAAAGATTCCTCTTCTGACATTGAACACGGCGCTGCCTGTCCTACGATCTGCTGACAACCACCAATATTCGCTGACCCCTCCCATCTTGACGTGACAGCTTTCATGTGCCCAGGCCCCTGAAGCACCGCCTGCTTGTTCAGAATTCCGCTGTGATCCTGGCAGAGTTCCTAACACGGCTAGGGCCAAGGGCCGGGTGCCTTTGTCCAGGTTCACAGGTGCCATGGTCAAAACACCTATTCGCAAGGCAAACCAAAACAAATCAAACCAAATGACCCTCCAGGGTTGGACAACATTGGCTTCAACCTCAGAAAAAACCGGACCGTACAAAGCAGTGGTTCCCTTGTTGTAAGAAAATGATCTATTTTATCCGACTAGTAGGGTCCCAGAACAATGTGAGGTCGACATTAAAGGATAGGTCGACGGCTACAGGCTCAGAGGAGCAACCTTCCTCAGGACAAGAATGTGTAATAAATCCTGAGCCCTTAACTCCTGGGAGAAAGCGCACCACAATCATGGAGTCCGCATGCACTAGTTCACAATCTATGCACAAATATGGGTGTGTCACGCACTGTGTGTTTCTTGTTTTAGGGGAACCCCAAAATAGTGGGCGTCCATTTGGTTCTCCGGCAAAACCACAAAGCAAAGGGGGTACCCAAAAAAAAGGACACGCTCAAATCTGCTTGGACCCTGGCTCTAGGTATATTGTGTCATGTCCCGAGAGCTATGCACCATGAATGGGCGATTCAGTTGAACGAACCAAGCTTCCCACCCATACCCACCCCGCCCCCGCCTACCCCCTTCCCACCTAACCCCATCCACCTACCTACCCCAACCCCACCCTTGCCGTCGGTTTTCCTTTCCGCCCGGAGCGCGCCGGCTTGAACTTCAGGCGCCTCGTCCATGCGCTCGAACATGCTGCCCACCAAACCTGTGAGCTCCTGTCGGTCCCGGAGGGAGACTGGGAAACTCCACATTCGAGGCTCTGGGAGGAGAATCTTACGGGTACAAGAATGTCCCCTAGCCCAAGAAAAAACAGAGGAGCTCTCAACTGAGCAGCTTGACCCATAAATCAGAATATATTCAAATGAAACGTAGAAGCATCTGTAATCAAGCAACCCGGCGACGGGTTCCCTTACCCACATAGGTTACCAAGGGAAACCACTATAGGAGAATCCGGAAATATCTGGACAGGCGACCAATCATCTGTGGCGGGTACCCAAATTTGGCTAGGGGTCTTGAGCCGTTCATCTCCTCCGGCTGGTGACCAGGGCTACTCTACCGAAAGTCAACAAAGCCACTGAGCCACTAGCTCTTTCAATTGACCTAGACCAAATCCTATGACTCCCGCGACTGCAACGCAACAAACGTGCGACCATGCCAGTGTACTGGTGGTGTCGGTGCATTCCAGTTGTGCTTCGGTGTCCAGGTGATTGTTGATGGTGTTCCAGTGCGGTGGTGTCCCAATGCATGGTGCTTCCAGCTGTGTTTTGTATTGCCGCTGTGGGGTTCAGGTGGTCTCCTAGCTCACTCCTATGGGCCCTGTTCCCGGAAGTGTCCCGGGAACAACTACGATGGTGTCTTGGTTGGTGTCTTGCTTGGTGCAGTGTGTCGCGGTGTTGTGCGGGCCTATTCTGTCATTTTGGTGACCGATGATGCCGCAGTGGCATCCTGGTGTCCCGGTCGTGTTGTGGTGTCCTGGCTGTGTCTCGGTGCTGTTGGTGGTGCCCCTGGTTTGCTGTCCCGGTGTTCTAGTTGCCGATTCGGTTGTTCCGTGCTGTTCCCCGCGCCGGTGTCCCGTTGGCGTCCAGTCCGGTTTTTCTGGTTGCCTCTGCTTTGCTGGTGCTTTGCAGAGTGTATATTTTTGTGTCCTGGTGTGTGGTCGCTTAAGGTGTCCCTGTGCGGTTGCCGCTTTTGAGGTGTCCAGCTGGTGCCCCACGTGTCCCAGGCGACGGTCAGCCGGGAACTGATTCCCCCGCTCCTCTCTAGACATGCCATGCACCAGCAGCTCTTCTGCTTGCAGATCCACGTCGGTCTCAGAGTGTGACGCGGTCTGGATAGGAAGATCTGAAGGTTTTAAGGCCTGCAACCCCTTCAACCCCTTAAAAATCCAGTCTTGAAAGGGACCAAAGGGACCGCCTCAAAATGCCGCAAGCAACTTTCCTCTTACCAGGGTTGCAACTTTTCCCCCGGCATGAGAAGGTCTGTGTTCAACCAGCCGTCAGTTTACACGACCTGCACCGGTCGGGTGCCATCCAGCTGAAAGCAAGGACTCCTGGCACGGAACTGGTTCCGTTCCGAAAGGACCACACCGGAGGGTTCCCGCGAAAACCTGGCAACCCATCTTTGAACCTCCTGTCACCTAGCAACATGTGGCCATCAAGTTTAAGAGTCGGAACCACCTCAAAAGTACTTCTCGCGAATCCCCACGTAAATGATGTCCACCAAAGGGTCCCTTATTAAAATTCATAGCAACACGTCCTGGGCCCAATGCCAAGTGCTGCTCCAACCGCTTCTTCGCGTACCTCGCGAGAAAGTCTCCCATGGCGTGGTGTTTGTTTTTTTTTGACTTGGTACCCCTTGTTTGGTGGTTTGAAAGGGAAACCCCAAAAAGAATGTTGGGGTCCAACCATCCCAAATGAAAGCTTCGGAAGGCCATGTGAAGCGCTCTCAAATTGGCTAGCCCTTCTTGTTGAGGCCTGGAGATTCACTTCACCAGATGTCACGGATCCAAAACGGCCGCCTATGCTGGCCAGCCTGACAAACAAAGGTTTCGCGCAGGTCTGCAAAAAAGCTCTTCTACAGCTACAGTGGAAGCATGAGCTAGCGTCTAGAGCTTGAGGGGCATGCTTGCAGGACTTTCATGAAAACAAAAGTCACAAAAAGGAAGACACAAATTGAAAGGCAACTTACGAGACAGTTGTGAGCTACGCAAAGCCTGGACCCAGGGCCCGCTTCAAGAGCCTGCGACAGACCCGCGCCAGGACTTTCTGGCGAGCACCAGTGGAAGACTCGCCCGAAAAAAGCAGGCAGCAAAGATCTCCGGTTCCAGCGGTTTGTAGGGAGCTGAATCAGCAAACGCGGCAAAGGCAGCCTTTTTTGGCGCGCGCAAACAAGGAGGCAGACTTTTTGGGGTTTCTTACGATCTTCTTCAGCCCATCACCCAAACCCTCCGCACATGCCCTGGATGATCTGCAAGGCCAAGGGAATGAACTCCTGGCAATCGCTGAGCTGAGCATTCTGACCAATGCTGACCCACACTCATCAACCCCGCTTTCATTCCGGGTGTCCCTGGTTTTAGTGGGGAATCAGACCACTTACGCTCCCTATGAAGTGGGGTGTATTAATCCGGAGTCAACATGACTCTTTCCTCAAACAAGATGATCCTGAAAAATGGCCATCGTCTTTTGGGTCGAAAGATCTTTTGAGCACCCGGAAAAAAAGGACAGTGTTTCATGGCCCCGAAAAGCCAAATGAGCTACTGCCAAATGAGCTATTGCACTACGCGAAAGATGGGCTGCGAATGGAAAAAAGTGCCAGGCGTCCATAGAAGCTTTTTGTGCAACCAGCAAGCACAAATCACGTCCAAAGCAATCCAAAAAATCCGTCGACCCCTTTCTCCAAAGAGGAGGCGCATGGGAAGGGATGATTATCATCACCACTGATGTTGGTTGATGGTTTACAGCATCCGGATCATAATCACTACCGTGGCGCTCTTCTTTTTCATATACGTTTCAAGTGTGCCGATAGACCCGACTGGAAATGCAGGGGATGCGTTGTCATGATTGTGAAAACTGCTGCTGATGCTGGGGATGCATAGTGATGACGTTAACTGCTGGTGATGAGGATGTATAGTGATGATGACGTTAGCTGCTGGTGATGCTGAGGATGCGTAGTGATGAACTGCTGGTGATGCTGAGGAAGTGATGATGACCCGACTGGAAATGCAGAAGATGCGTTGTCATGATTGTCACTGCTGCCTGCTGCTGATGCTGGGGGTGCACAGTGATGACGTCAACTGCTGGTGATGCTGAGGATGTATAGTGATGATGACGTTAGCTGCTGGTGATGCTGAGGATGCGTAGTGATGAGTATCATCAGGATGATATGATGAACATGATGATGAAAATGATGATGAACTGAACATGATGATGACCCTCATCATGTTCATCATCAAAACCGTGGCACTCTTTCAAGTGTTAGACACGAAAAAAGAAGAGCGCCACGGTTTTGATGATGAACGTGATGAGGATCATCATCATCATCATCGTAATCATCATCATCTGATGAACATGATGAGGAACATGGTTTCAAGTGCCGTTGGACCCGGCTGGAAATGCACAGGATGCGTGTCATGATTGTCATGGTGACTGCTGCTGCTGCTGGGGCTGCCTGGTGATGACGTTAACTGCTGGTGATGCTGAGGTTGCGTAGTCATGATTATCAGCAGGATGATGATGATGAAGATGATGAGGAACATGATGACGAAAATGATGATGATGATGATGATGAACATGAAAATAATGATGATGAATATGATGATGAAAATATTGATGGTGTTCATCATCATTATGCTCATCATCATCGTCATCATCATCATGTTCATCATCATTTTCATATTCATCATCATCATCATAATCATCATTCATCATCATCATCATCATCATCATCATCATCATCATCATCATCATCATCATCATCATCATCATCATGTTCATCATCATCATCATATTCATATTCAGCATCATCATCATCATCATCATCATCATCAGTTCCTCATCATGTTCACCATGAGATGCAGGGGGTGCGTAGTCATTGTCACAATACCTGCTGGCGATGCCGGGGGTGCATAGTTCATCATCATCATGATCATCATCACCATCACCATCTGATTGCATCCCGAGGTGTTCCTAACGGCTTACTTCTCGCGAAGACGAAGCGATGGCACAAAGTCCACACTTCGCATCCACAGCAATACATCGAAGTCTTGAGAAGAAAAAAAAGGCCCCCAACATGTATTTTCTGCCCGAGTTTCCACACACCCGGGGCACTTCTTGTAAAATTCAACAAGGTGCTTATTATCATGCAAATTTATCCCGCAGTGGCTTGTTTAAGATGCAGGGAATGCGTTGTCATAATTGTCAGAACAACTGCTGGTGATGCTAAAAATGCAAAGTGACAATTATCATCACAACTGCTGGCGATAATGCGAATGCATGGTAATAATTATCAGCATCCCTAATGTTGGGTAAAAAAATGCATCAACAAAAACGTCATCATTATCGTGCTGCTCTTCTTGTTCATATATGCTTCAAGTGCGCCGTTAAAACCGACAAAAAATGCGTAGTCATAATTGTCATAACAACGTCCCCTGTCAGCAAGCAGGGGCCGGCGGCACAGGGCGGCAGCTCTTAAACATGTTGCAGGGTGAAAGTCCGCCGAAAACATGAGAGAAAGGGTATCTACAGCGGAGTGTCCCTGAGCGGAATTGCTTTGTTCACGGGGTAAAGAGAAAAAGAAAGAGAGAGAGAGAGAGAGAGAGAGAGAGAGAGAGAGAGAGAGAGAGAGAGAGAGAGAGAGAGAGAGAGAGAGAGAGAGAGAGAGAGGGTCGCCGACCCGCTCCCTCTCAGACTGAGAGCTTCTGCACCCAAGCTGGTGGCCACTGGCATGTTTCCGAGTGTTCATGGAATCACTGGCAGGATCTGTTCTGGGAGGTGTTCCCTTTTGGCGTCGGTTTTCAGGGCAATTGGGCGCCCCTTTAAGTGTGTCTGTGAGGGTTTCCAAGCTCAAGTGTCAACAGGGCATTACAAGTCATGGGAGTTTCCATGATGCTGGGGAAGCCAGAAACGAGGCAAAAGGCCCATTTGCAAGCGTTCCAGTCACCTTTGAGAAAAACCAGGAACTCCTTGGACCACCGAGATCAGCGATTCCGAAACGGAAGGGCGTGAAGATGCACGCCAAGAAAGTCTTCCATGCCAGGAAATTCCACAAAGACAAATCTAACCAACCATAGGTGTCCTTTTGGGGCAAGTTATGAAAGAACCGAGTCAGCTAGGGCAATCCATTTCTACTAAAACAACCAAAAAGGACTCCTACGCAACCAACATTGCTTGTCTAACCTGGTATATGTTTCTGTCTTGCTGCTCAGCGCACGCCGAATTTTGGTGCCAACCCCCACAAATAGCAATTCTGAAAATGTCCGGCGCCTCGTACTCGATCTTCCCGTCTGCATTCATGTCCGCCTCAACCGATTACGGGATAATTTGGGACTGCATCCTGTGATCTGATCAAACCCCTCTGAAGGAATCCGCAACATCACATGTTCCACATGTCCGCAAGTCTTTGGTCAAACAAAAACCAAACGACGAGACGCTGGACAGCACATCCCAATTGAAGCTTTGTGGTTGCCAATGATTGAGCCGTTTCGCGTGTTTTACTCAGCTGGAGCTTCGTGTCTTTCACAGGTGTGTAGTGTATATGAGCCGCGCTTGTAAGCTTGCCGAGGCATGGAAATGGATAAGTCTAGAATGGGCACCTTCATTGTAGGTCTCTTATATTGTTTGAAGCAGCAAGTCTCGGAAGGAAGAGGGATGTGAGCCACCACCAAACTCCTTGTGTGCCAAACTGGAACATCTCCAAATCTTTGCTTCAAAGGGTCGTGTGTGTGGGTTCATATTCACCGTTTTTGATTTGTTTACCCCATTCCCATATCCCTTCTACGAACCTTTTTAGTGGTAGCTGTGGGATCTTCCAGTGTCCAGACGTGCCATCGCTCCAAGTTTGGTCAGTTGCTCACCAAGGTTCCAAATGCCAAGAGGTAGGAGGCAGGATTTAGATCTTCGCCGTGCACTCTTTGACACCCAAGGATCACCCCACCCAACTGGGATCTCCTCACTCACAGACAGCCCGTGGGGGGCCACGGACTTGGACTTTGTTAAGACAGAATTTCATAGATTAAGATTGGGACCCCTTGGAAATTTAAGTCCACCAGACATTTTGAAGGGTGTTCCAAACTGAATTGTGTTGCCGTATAAGCCGGAGTCAACATATTGCCAAAAAAATAATGGAACGAAATACATGGCCATGCGTCAAAATCCCATACCCCCAGTGAACATCCCAATCCCCACTAAAATAGGCTCTAAAATGAGTGGTGAACCTACCCCAAAATGATACCATTGGTTTTCACAACCACGGCCACATGAGTCCCTTGGTTGGGCATCTCTAGGTCAGTCCCTCGGGCTGTTTTGACCGAATCGCTTTCGGCTCGTCGCCTCAGCCAGGAACAGCAGCACTTCGTCCTTGGGGAAGTCTAGTCGCTGCCTCGGCTCTATCTGTATCAACTGGCATGGGCTCGGCACCCACAACGGAAAGCTGGAGTTGCTGCCCTTTCGATGTCCCAAACCCACAAGGGTACCCACAAAAACAAACATCCTGAATAAAGGGTGGTGTCTGGTCTCTAAGAATCCTCACAGTGCTTCCTCATGGTCCTTGGATTCCCACCGTCCAACCGGACTCTCCAATTTTTGACAAGCCCATTTGCAGGCACCCCCCCTTTTTGGGGGTTTTAACTGGAAACCACAAGGAACATCGAACTCCATAGCCACCATTTTGAGGGTACCATGAACTGGCGAGAGAGCCGCGGCCATATGAACCCGGGAGGGTCCAATCGAGCGCCTTCTCAATGGAACTGGCAACACCTCTAACCATCTTAAACCTGTTGCTTGGCTTTGCAAGATCTGCCTAAGTTGCCCTAAGGTGGGGCCCTGGCACTTTCAAAGTTTCAGTCCGATGTGGCTTTGTCTGGTGGGTCAAGTCTCAAACCGGATGGTGTCCTTTGGTGTCCCTTGGTTTCCCTAATTTTCCCTGGATTTCCCTGGGTTTGCCTTGGCTTCCCTTGGTTTCGCTTGGTTTCCCTTGGTCTCTCCCGGTTTCCCAAACAGCTCAGCGCCCCATCTCTCTCCATCAATCGCAAGTCCGTGAGGCTCTGGCTGCAGGTCCTGCATCAATGCCTTGAACTCCAGCGGGTCCAAGAATTGGCTCCCGTCCTAACGGAACGTGGGAAAGCTCATGGGGGCTAAGTGGATGGGGGTGATGGGGGTGGGGGGGGGGCTGGCGGGGGGCTTGATCCCTCTGAAGTTGGTTGAGGTCTGCCGTGGTTCTGTTCACTTTGACCTTCCAAAAAAGAAAAAGCTGGGGAAATTAGCTGGAATCGGACCCTTCGCGATCCGCAGGCGGGGGGGCGCAGCGAAAGCATTGGTCTTTGGTATCAACCCCCCAGCCCCAAAGATTGACAGGCCGGCCAGGCCCATTGCGAAAGCAAGGAGCTTTCCTGATCAATCCATCAGTCTACTCCAGCTGCACGTTGGGCTCAAGGCCAGCTACTTGTAGTTATCAGCTGGCGCAAATGGAACTAAGACAGCCTTGCTTGCGTTGTTTGCATGTGTCAACACACAAAGACACACACACCACGTTCTGTGTCGTTCTTTCTCTTTGTGACCTCTTCAAAGCCTGACAGCTCTGAGAGCACATAAAGCGTGCTGTCCAATATCTGAAGTGGTTCGCAACAAAACATGAGAACGGTTCCCAAGGTAGGCTGGCGACTTGCACAAGAAGAAACGCAGCCAGTGCCATCCCTCCAGCCACCTTCCCCCATCTGATTTGTGAGGTGCCAGCAACTAAAACAAGAACGCTAACCTTGCAAAGGGCAACGAAAGATTGGGTGTGTCTTTTCTTGAGGGTACCCTGTTGGGGGTAACCAAAAGGAATCTACCAACCAACAAAGACGCGCCACCCATTGGTGTGGGAAACTACAGGCCTGGTCGTATTTCTTGAAGAGGTCGTTGATGATGCTCTCCACCTCATCCAGGGACCTGCGGGGCCCCAACGGCACGCAAAGAGGTCAGGCAGCGTTTCCCGTTGGACTCACCGTTTGGGTCGCTTTTCAAACCCAAGGGAAGTCTCCGGATCAGCTTCACAGGCTTCCAGCTTCAATTCGGCCATTCGACACGCCCTCTGATACCCTGCGAAAACTCAAACTGTTGGTTGGTTAAATGGAAACCCCAACTAAACCCTGAAAACCTACAAACCTACGGGGACTGCTGGGAACCGCCAAGCCAAAAAGGCGCCCTCAATCCGACTCGCACGCACCCAAGCACCGCGCATGTCGAGCTCCTCCGTGGTGGTTGCCTGCAAAGCTTCGGCGCGAATCTCCCCATTGAACCGCCGCCCTTCCGTCTTGAAAACGGGGGTCTTTTAGGTGACCTTGAAATTCAAGCCTTAATTACTTGCCACCCCAAGTCAATGACATGTTTGTTGACCACTCCTCTTCAACAGATGGAAACACGTGGAACAGTCACGGAAAAGCCAAGCGCAACGCGGAAGCGTGCCACTTCTCTTGCGTGAGCCTGACAACTTATGCGATGAGTCGGTTATGGATCTGTAGCCATCCTTCATTGCCAATGCCCTACTCAAGCATTGATGACACTGCAGTGTCACCCCTGATGACTATGGCCCCTATATATATTTATTTATTTATTTTTATTTATATATATATTTATATGTATACAATAATACTAAAAAGAAAGAATAATGATTCCCACTAAACAAGGCTCCATGACTGAAACATTCATTTAGCTGGGGTCGACGAACTCATTGCAAGCCAACCCCTCTGGCACAAGCGTATTGAAGTCTTCCAACAAGAAGAAGCGAATATTGTTCAATCCTGACTAAAATGCGTTCTTCATCTGCATGAGGCACCAGATCTCTTCCATAGCCAGGACGCGATTCCCTTTGGGCCACTTCAAGCTTTGCGTTTACCAGCATGCTTCCGTGAACACCTTGACTTGGGATGCCAAATGTTTTGTTCTCAACTCCCGGTGTTTCACCAAAGGCTTCCAACCGAATGTGACATGTGGGGGTGGGGCTAAATTAAACCACCAGGAAACCGCCTTGTTTTAGTCATGGAAACCATTTACCAGGGCAAGCCATTCTGGGGTGACCCCTTTCTTGACCCACAGCCATGCCAAGGTCTCGACAAAACCTCTCGACTTAGCGGCGCAAGCGGCTAGCGGCGCTTGCGCCTGCGCTGCATCTACGGGGAGGCCGCTGGCCAGGCACTCGAAGTACCTCGCTCGGATCCCGGACTCGCCACCCTATGCCAGACACCTTCCATGGCGGAAAGCGACAATACTCCTAGTATCTCAGACTCGCCATGTCCATGAAAGGCAAAAAAGAACGGGTCCTTTCCGCTGCCAGACATCTTTGGAGCCCTATCAAGTGGATAGGGCTTCAAGGAAAACAGGTGTCATGGGATCGTTTTGCCCAGCGAACTTCCCCGCCCAAGCGCAGAACCTTGCATGCGCCTTGCGCGCAAGTGCAAGTCCCTGGAACGGTCAACAAAAGGCTCGGCAAAGGCTTTGGTGAGGTTTGTTGGGAAATCAGTGCCATTGGCTTGTTGCGACATTGGCCACTGACATCTGGGAAGCTTGTTGGCTGTAAGACGCGCGTTAAGGCTGGCCAGGTTTGCACACGCCAATAGCTCCCCGTTTTTGCTCGTGTTCGGTGACAAGCAGATTTAAGGGCTGCGGCGGGGCCATGTGCAAGAAGTGCAAGAGACGCTTTCTGCGTAGCTGGGCTTGAAGGCTGGACATTTGCACTTCACTGAACACTTGCGGAGGCGCTTGGCTGCCACGCGGCACGCGCGTTGGCAGAAAGTGGCAAGGGCTTTGTAGTTTCTACAAGAGTGATTCTTGCAAAAAGCGAGAGCTGGCAATTTGTGAGCGGGCCTGGCTGGAGATCACGGAGAACTGAGTTGGCGATTGCGACCTTGCGTCGCACTTCAAAGGTCATATGGGTGTGGGTCAATATTCTGGCGTGGAACGTTCCGCGGTGACACGGACGTCTGGAACGAGTCAGTTACGTAAGGTTGGTTGTTCCGGACCTCTGGGAAGACATGTGTGAAGTCCTCAAGCACACGTTCATTTAGTGTAAGATGGAAAGATGGATGAAGCGAGTGGCTTGCACTTTGGAATGCTAGCAAGCAGCATGTAAACATGGTCGCTTCAACAAATGTGACGACCAAGAACGGTATCGAACCGTTGCCGTATCGTATCGCACAGATAGCGGCGGAATCGCATCGCACCGAACCGAACCAAAGTTCCGGAACACCGATACTCCTTTCTTAATTTGGCTACGATTCTTTGTTAGGGTCTGTAACGCGCGACGCGCCACGAATCTTGTTACGGAGGTCTGTGACGGAGGTCCTTGTTACGCAGGTCTGTGACGGGAAAGCATGTCTTGACAACTGCAGCTGCTGCTCGGCGAAGCATATGCTGGATTCCAAGGGCATGACCATGCACGTCCGCAGTTGCGACATACTGATCCCCTTCTAAAAGCTTAACCTTTGGGTCAAATGGAACCTACCACTCAACCAACTGAACTGAAAACCTACAGAAAGTAAGGAACCGGATGGCTGGGAACCACCAAGGGAAGTGATCACTTAGGTTTCGAGCTTCCCCTGAGAAGGGGGGGTGTAGAGTTCCTTGATCTCGTTGGGTGGAAAGCCCAGGTATGTTAGCTTGGTGAAAAGTCCGGTTGTGTCTTAAAAAAGGACCCGGTCAAGTGAATGTTTCAACTGAATGGGAAAAAGGTCCCCTTGGTTGCTCTTCCAAGGCTATCCACGGCCGTTTTTCTCAAAACAACAGGCCTTCCCAGTCAAATTGCTGAGCATTCAGAGAGACGAAATGTGGACTTCAGAGTTCCGACCCCTCCAAAGCTGGTAGGGATCTTCCTCATCTCCGCAAGATCCCCTTTGAAAGACGCCAATGGGATCCGATGTTAACAAAACATCTGACCCACTGGCTTCGGATGTTTCAGGTGTTGGAGGGAGCCCATGAATATTTCAGGGTTCCCTGTGCTTCCCTTAACCAGCTTAGCTCTATTTGGTGCATGGGTTGGACCATTAACCCTCCAGGGGTTCAAGTGCCCAAGCCACCAATCCAAACCACCAATTAGTAACCTGACTTTAGACAGCACCCCGACACAGAACAGAAAAACAGAAGGTTAAACTGTCAAGGTGAGGTTTGCAACCACCAAAAGGGGAAACTCGGGGGAACGCTGTGGGCACTTGGCTGCAAATTCATGGATGTTGTCCGGCTGTGATCGCAGCACTTCCCGCGTGAAGTCCTGCGGGGCCAAGAATTCCATGCTTCTAGAAATACAACGGCACATCCACGTCCGGCATTGTGGGACTATCCCTTAACCTTCTGCCCAAATCGGTTTTGAGGACGTAGCTGTGGCACGTCCAAACTCATTGCGAAGCACGAAGCCCTTTTTGGACCCTTGCCCAGAGAGACCCGAAACTTTGCCCTCAAGTCGCAAGCCCTTCCAAGAAATGGATCCTTGGATTCTTCCAACGTGTCTTTCTTTTGAGGCTACCTTTTCTTGCATGGTTACGGGAAACCCAGAGGAAAACTAAACGAGCCGACTTTGGGGGGGCTCCAAATCCTGCAAAAGCACGAGCCACCCGCCTTCAGGATGTCCGGGAACTCGGGTGGAACCTGGCGGGGCCGGAACCTTCGAATGCGAATGCGAGGGGCCGGATTCTCACCATGGACCGGCGTAGCGTCGAAGAATGGGTAGCCCACAGCGGAACCACAGCCAAGCGGCTGCATTCAGAGAAGCAATCAAAGAAGCACTACGGAAGCTGCTCCAGTCGCGGATTTGAGAAACTCGCGTTTTTTCGGCTCACGACGCCCATCCGGTCAGCCCCAAGGCCTGATACTGCTTCGCGAATTTGCTCGCCCTCGGAAAGTCAAGGTTCCAAACGGGAGCAAGGAACAGCAACCCACGAAAGGCAACAGGACAACCTCAAACCAAGATGGTATGATGCCATGGTACGCAAACACTACACTTCAACCACAATGCCAGCGCTGGGCAAAGTGCTGTCTTGCAAGCGCACATTGAACATCTTGCAATGCCCAAACACTGACGTGATTGTATATACATATATATATATACATATCATATATTTACGCATACACTTCTTATCTGTGTGTTTGAGCGATGATATGTCTTTCTGCCATATCTCCAACAGGTTGTGCTAACTTTGTATTGACCAGTGCTCCTAAATTGGAAGCATGTAAAAAGGAAGCGCGAATTAGCAAGCACCACCCTGACACAACAAATGCTTGTTTGTTCTACCATGGCTAGGCATGCGATCAATGATGAATGAGTCCAACAGCGCACTGCTCCCACCATCTACCACCTCAACAAGCAATGCTCAAAGCTCTGTGTTGAGTTGGGTAACAGTACAATATTTCATCAACCGGGAGCTATGCACGCGGAATTCAATTACCTTTTTCCTGGGTTGAGGATATTTACATCTAAGGTCTTACATTTCCCCCCTCCCCCGCCCCGAAATCAGTGGTTACAAATGGGCACGGGGCTATCCAGAGCATGTACAAACGGAATCATTGCCTGTTTTCTCAGGAGGACATGGGAAAATTGGGTGCGCCCCTTTTTGCTATGGAACATCTGCCCAAACCAACAGGAAACCAACAGGAAACCAACAGGAAACCAACAGGAGACCAACAGGAAACCAACAGGAAACCAACAGGAAACCAACAGGAAACCAACAGTATTAGCAGCTGATTGTACATGACTTGTGGGCAGAGTATTTCATGCGGGGTATACAAGTAGGACCGTAGATTCCGCCCTCAATTCAGATTGCTATGGCTCATCACACAAAGGCTTTGTCTTCTCTGGGGCGACTGCATTGCAGCAAATTCCGTGCAGCAACTTCCGCGACCAGTTCGGTCGTCCGGTACTGAGCCCCAAAAAGTTGCGCGGCACATGCGCGAGGCTGAGCAAAGGCTCAAAGGTTGAAGATGCCCCCAGCAAGAAACAGGGCTCCTTAAAAGATACATTTTGCCCATTTGAAACATGGCTTTTTCCGCCAAAATAAAGGGAAACCACCATTTACAAGGTGTATAATGTAAGGATCCCTGACAAACCACACCCTTATCAACAACAGTGTCAGACCGCAATTTCACATCTGGGAACCTTCCAACAAGAACTCCCCCCAAGTTATAAAACCCTGTTCTATCCAGGGTTGCTCGCAAATCGAAAGCCTGTCCCAAGGGATTCTGGTCAATGTGCAGCAAATCTCGGCAAAGCAGTTGTTTGAGGTTCGCTACGCCCCAGCATTCCCCGTATTGATTGAGTATCAAAAATATGTGGGGGGGGGGGGGCATTGACGTGCAAGGAGGAGGAGGGGAATGATCCCAGCAACCATCACCAACTCACCAACCAGTCCCGACAAAGGATACGTTCATTGTTGCAAGTTCATTTCTATATTCCCATTTAGAACAAGTTTGTCAAGTGTCTGCAGTAAACGTGGTGAAACAACTTGAAACGACGTTGTTGGCTTTCCTTCGCAGGATATGGTTGTTGAAACCAACCAGACTTCTTACTCCGAATCGGTAGTTTGTACTGGGGCGAACTAAGAATTGGGGCTAAGAAGTTGAACCCTCAGTTCCTATGCAAACCAAATGGGAAGGTTGCCAAAGCCTAACCTCCTTACTGGGCCCCAAATAGCCCAGTAGAAGAATAAGCCGAAAACACGCAGCTCAAGTGCGCGCAAAGACCTCTTTCACCTGAAGCATGCCGTTGCCACCTTTGGTGGAGGGTCTTCTAACTCATGACTCCTCACTTGGTGTGGAGACAAGCGAGCTGATAGCAGATGCTCAGGGACAAACCAAAATCAAAGCTTTCTGGCGCTGTCGTACCCACATCGAAACATGAACTCAATGTGCTCTGTCACCACCGTTTAAAGGGCAAAGATATAAGTTGAACTACCACAGGTCGGGATACCCAGTGCAGTTCCTTCATCCAATGACCGACCATCGCATGTAAAAACTACGAGCACTATCGTACTCGCATGCGCCCGGCGGCCAGCCCGTGTGGGCGAGCGGTTCACAACCAGCGTTTTCGAGCGGGGGCGAGCGGTTCACCCATTGGCTTTTTTGATTGGGACATCAGTCTTAGGTCTAAGGCCATGCCAAAAACACCCAAGTACGATGGCCCCCGTGGAAAAAAGGGGATCGCCGCGCACATGTAACATGCCTCCAATTCTTCTGGGAGACTCAGATTTCATTATTGTACAGGACCAAGATGGGTCGCCTTCCTCAGCGTCTCTTCGCTTGTCCCGAGCCCCCGCCCTGTCCATGTGTGCCCCCATGTCCATTTGGGAGCTGTAGCACCGGTGGGTTTCCCCGTATCTGTTTAAACCAAAGGAGGGTCCCTGTTCCTGGATACCCAAATTGTTATGTGGCAATGGGGGAGGGGCATGCGGCCTGATGGGGATGCCCCGTCTGACTGCCAGATGCCAAGTGCCTACCCGCGCGGGCAAAACTGCCGGCATGCTGGTTGGCTTGGGGAGCACTATAGTTGTCTGAAATCAAATTTGAGGTATGACCACTCCTTGAAGTTCCCATCAGCTGTGTCCAAGAGCAGCACATCTGGGTGCAAATGTAGTTTCGTGGACTTCCTTTTGACCGGAAATGGAGAAAACAACTTGAGCAGTGTTGCTTCAATGCAGCAGGAGCTGTGGCATGCCAGGTCACCCGCCGCTTCCCTATTTAGCAGAGGAAAAGAAAGATACCAAGGACGGCATCTCGCCACCCGAACCGCAGCTTTGGAAGCTACCTCTAAGCCTCTAAGCCCGCAGCTTAAAGACCCGGCCATAGTCGTAGGCTTGCTCAATGAGCAGAGGCTTGTTGTGAACCTGGCGTTCTCCGGAAGCCACTCCTTGAAAGCGACGGATGTTTCGGGATTTTTACACCCAAAGTAAGCTCTGCTAAGGAATTCCGAAGCCTAAGTAAGTCTGAAAGGCTTCCGACCTGGAGAAAACACCTCAGGATTCCAAAAGCAGGGCTTCGTTTTGACCACCCAAACGTGGAATCTCTCAATACGATGGGGGCAGTGTCTCTACTAAAGGGGGCAACAGGCAAACCGGACCATGCTCCAGGTGATACCGTAGTGAATGGCTTTCGCCCTCAAGGTGATTCATCCTGGTTACCTACAACACACGCTGACAAGATCAATGGGGTCCTCGCCGGGCCTCTTAAGGGGTGGGCTCCATTGCATTCGAGATCCCTGAGTAGGCTCAGCGATATTCAGTGGGCTGTGTGTCAAAACTAGTTGGGCCGGGGGCTGAGTGCCAAGCACCGCAAAAGATCCTTCGGTTTTGACACCTATCCAGCTTATTCAACTTGGAAGCACTGCGCCGGAAGCAAGCCAGCCTGCTTGTACATGTGCAAGATCTCCTCCCTTGATTGCTTGGCTCTTCTCTCCTGCAGTCTTGATTTGGGTGGGGTCAGTGTTGGAGCTTGAGGGCTACTGCGAGCAGCAAAACCTCTAGATTGTGCGTGTGTGTGTGTGTGTGTGGGTGTGCGGAAGCTGACTTAAGCCATTGCATGCGAGAAGCGATTGTGTAACTGAATATGCACATCGGGTACAAAAGGCTGCGCTCTGCCGATTGGTCCATTGGCCTCATCTCCACAACAAGGGGAACCTTGTGCAATTTTGGTGTTTGACTGAGAATCCTGCCGAATGTGGCAACACGGAAGCATTGGTCTGCATCCAATGCTGCTCGACGCATTGTTGGCTCGTGCTCGCCTTCTAGGGGTGGCTTTCAAATGAAGGCACTCACACACAAAACACGGGCTATGCTTCCCAACGAGGGGGCCCCTTGCTGAAGCTTTGCGGCTCGAGCCCCGGCGCTTCTCAGTGGCCCATATCAAGAAGGGACTAGAGTCAACTCTTGCTTGGCACATTAGATCGCCTTTGGAGACAAAAGGTAAGCATTGGCTTGCTCACGATTTGCCTAGCACCTTGAAAAAGGTGGCCCTAATCTTGGCAACTTCTCCCGCAGGCAACGACCAGGGTCAAAAGATTCGTAAACTCGCGACGCCAAACATCACCTTGGCAAAGACCAGCTGTGGTTTTCCCCGTGATGTTTCGGGTCCCGAAACCTCCTGTCGAGGCGAGCCCCGTGCGAAGCCGCGGAACTCTTTTCTCTCACGCGTAGACCGTGCGGTCCGCGCGGTCTTCGCCTCGCCGGCCCTGGACATCGGCTCTATCGGGAAATCGCGGGAAAGGTCGGAGGTTTGGGGCCTGGGGTCACTTTCTTTCAAGGGGCAGCCTCAGACTTTGTAGAAATTTGGGTTGAGGATGGGTTTGCGCCTCACCCCTGAAAGGCAGTCTGAAACTGGAGATGGCGCTTCTGTTCAGGCTTCCCTATGTCTCTTCCCTGGGGCGTGGTCCTTTAGTTTCCTTTCAAACCAATCCCAAAAAGGCTACTCGCCCCAAAAGAAAACTCACAACCACACCCCAAGTTGGTTCCCTTGACTGACCTGTCCGTTTTCATTTGCCCTGCAAACAGTTGTTTAACTCGTGGATCAATTTCGGAACAACTAAAAACCACTCAACGCCTAAGGAACCGCACGACTCGCTGGGAACCGAAACCGCCAAGCCGATCGCCTTCCGATTTTTTGCGGCCTGGAGGGCCTCGCGCATCAGCAGCGCGCCGTTGCGGCCAGCGATGGCTGCCACCTGCTGTTCAGGGGATACTTTTTGGGTCCCCCTTTTTGGTGTTCTTTTATTTTAACATAACGGGAAACCCAAAGGACAACCCACCCATTCTTAGGGGGGTTCCCCCCATTTAAAACACACCCATATGCGGAGGGAGGGGGGGGGGGGGGGGGTCAGGCTCAACATGGCCCGCCATGGTTGGCTTCCCTGCAACCTGTTTTCAGAAACATACAACGAACTGAAACGACCCGAAGGCCTTCATGAAATAGCATCAAGTGCACAGACCGTATAGTTCATGGAAATATGCAGAGCACTGGCAAATCGGGAGCTCAGTGAACAAGACAACTTGGATCGCCAACCTGCGAAAGCACCGCCCCACCGAAAGCTGCCACTTGGATCTCAAGCGACCGGAGCCGCTGAGTTGGTCGAGTTCAGCTTTTGCGTGCCGAAGGGCCATGGGTAAAAGGCATCCGGCTGACGTTGCGAGGAAACCCACCCAACCCATTGAAAGGGGTGCAATATACTGGTCAACTGGGAAGCTACCAGGTGACCCGATCTTTTAATTCACCTTGGCAGGAAACCAGGTTGAAAGCAAAAACCCGATTAGCGAATGGGTCCTTAAACGGGATCATTGGCAAGGATTGTAACGCCCTCAATGTTCACCGCAAATTAAGCTACCCGGCACGATTGATGTGCGGTTCCCCCCCCCCCCGCCGAGGATGCATTTGAAACGGGGCAACCAAAGGTACCCACCTCATCCCCTGACTCAGGATGCATGGTGAAGAGGGAAAGGCAGTTGAGAAAGATCCAAACTCCATCCCGAAAGGCCAGCAGTCTAAAACTTCTCCGAGAAAAGACACTTGGCACCAGATCCTTGAAGAACACCCCTCAAGCAACGGTGGCTTTTAGCCCCAAAGACCGCGCGGAAAGCGACAAAAGCAAAAAATAACATGCCCGGCTGCTTGCAGCCCCCTGGAATTTTGTTTTTTCACCAGAACCGGCCCACGGCCTCCATGGCGGATGCGCTGGTCTCCAGCCAGGAGGTGTAGATGAGGCCCCGGCCCAGCCTTCCGCGTTCCGCTTGCCGTTTCGAGGCTTCGAGTCATTGGCACCGATCGGATGCTGAAGCGTGGCGCGACCCCAGCTGCGCGCAGGACAAACATGGGCCAAAGCCGATGCCATGTCAGAATGACAAGAAAGGCTGCTGTTTGCTTGAAGCGATGCCTAGATGTCCTGGCAATAAATCACAGAGAGGTTTGCGTGGTCGAGCGGAATTCTGGGAATTCTGGGACAAGCAGGGCAATTGTCTGCACGCAAATACAGTTCATGGCAATGCACGCAAATATATCTTGAACTATGCATAGATATGCCAATGTACGTTCCTGCAAATATTCACACGTTCAAATGCATACAAAATCATTCAAGACATCTGTGCTTGTACAAACACACATATGATATGTATATATATACACATATTATTATATTTATCATAATCATTTATTAGTAGTAGCATTTGTATTACAATTATTATTAGTATCATTATTATCATCATCATTATCATTATGATTAGCACTAGTATTAGTAGTAGTATTACTACTATACATATATATATATATATAAATGGAGAATACCTCGTCCTATGTTCTGAAACATCTGCCCCGTTGAACCCGCTGATTTCGTTGCGGCCCGGGCTTCGACAACCCGCCTGAAGCTCGCCCACTGCTCTAGTGGCAAAGGCTGCAGCTTAGGGTAGGCTTTCCACGTGTAGCGATACACCTCAAAGACCTGGCACCGGAAAGCCCAGAGTGGCACCTTGAGAAGTGGAACCATTGACCATTCGGGCAATTGTCAGTTGACTGTAGCTCAATAACATGTGCCCAAAACGGCTTGCCCTGGTAAATGGAACCAAGGACTAAAACCTGCGGTTTGCCCTGGCGTTTTGGTTTTGAGCCACACCCAATTGAGAAACAAGCGTGAGAAATTACCAAGGTGTAAACTCAGCACAACGAGCCAGAGTCAAACCTGAACGGTATCAAAATGGTCCAATCCCAGAACAATGTCAGGAATCAAAAAGGCGGCGAAGGCACCCATTTATGGCAAGGGATTGTCCCTTTCTAACCTTCATCTATTTGGGTTTTGATTGTGGCTCATGTAATATAGATGGCCCTGGTAGATGATTGAACCAGGTGAGCGCCATGTGAAGAGTCAAAATTCAGGGCGGCACCAATTTAGGCTTCATGCCCCATGCCCTCCAATTAGAGTTTGACCTATGGCTCAACTAGAGTCTTTGAGCGCTTGAGCGCCGCTTCCAGATTTGAAATTATAATAATTACATATGCATTACTCACTACGCAATGGCTCCAGGCACCTGAGTGTATATAAGGGTAATTTGACTATTTGAAACAAGGGAACCAGGCTGAAATCGGTGCATCTGTTTCTTGTAGGAAACCTAGCAACCCCAAGCAAGCTTGCCCTCGGCTCGAACAGAAAAAAAGCAGAGCAGCTGCTCAAATGTACAAACCTGCTGCCCCCTTTGCAAGCCAGGCATGCCCCCAAAAAAAACTAAGGAAATCAGCAAGAAAGCCAAAAAAAAAAAAACGCAACAAGCAGGCCCCCCTACCAAGAAACCTCAAATTTATCGAAGGCGGCTGCCCCGATTTTGCCTTGGGAAAGAGTGCGTGCAGCTGCTCATCGGTCAGCTGAGTCCGCGAGAAGAGCTTAACCTCGGTACATCGGGTGTAAGCTTTGAGGGGCCCTTCCTGAGCACATGAAACTACTAACAGCTTGGTCCTGTGTCAAAGGCTCGCAGGAGGGCCTTCCACCAATTGAAATCGTTGGCTTAGTTCTTGCCACAGAACTCCTAAGCAGCCCCCGCTTGAAGGGATGCCATCGGCATTTGGCTTATGCCTCCCGAATCCCGCCGTGACAATACCTAAATGGACGAGGACCATAACTAGGCGGTTTGCTTTTGGCTCCTTTTGAATACCCAAAGAAGCCGCTCCTCGATTTTTGGGAATAAGGGAACCCTAAAAAACCCGCACCAAACGGATGGAATCCCTAGAAGGCAGGCCTGAGGGGCCAAAGTTGCCGATCCAAGGCTTCGGCTCTCTCGAGGCACGGGGAAGGGCGGGTCTGCCAATGGCAACTCACGGCCACCCTTCCCTTCTGCCATTCTGAGTGAGGAGAATGATTTTCTTTGTGGACTCACCAACAGGTTTCTGGGCTCAGATCCTCTGCTAGAAGTTTAACTTTTAGTGGATTGAATGGGAACCCCACTAAACCAACTACAAACCTAAAAAGGCAAGGAACCGGATGGCTGGGAACCAGCAAGGTTTGCAAGGCGGCAAACCAAACATCCAGCAGTTGCCTTGGGCCAACGGAAGTCACCTATCGAACAAGGCTTGCGGCCAATCTTCAGAATGTATCCACATGGACATTTGCGGTGCGTACCCTGCACCCCAACCCAACCCACCCAGGCATATGGCTGTGGGTCGAAGCCAATGATACCATTTTGGGGTAAGTGCACCACCCATTTTAGTCTATTTTAGTGGGGATTGGGATGTTCACTGGGGGGTAACTGGGATTTTGACCCATGGCCATATGAGCGCGCTGGGCAGCCCCACCACAACTGAGCCGTCCGCCAAGATTTTGTGAACCTAGGCCAAAGCACGGCGCAAGGGTCTGAAACCTGCACGTGACTACCTTTCCGCGTGAAAGCGCCTCTGATTTTCGAGGCAGTTCGTCATGCAAAGAAGTGGCAACCTAGCACCTGGCGAGCGGGTCCCCATATCGGAAAGCTCACAATTGGGCTGTGCAAGGTGCAAACAGCTGAGCTGCCCACGCCATAGGATGAAAAAGGTGAAGTGGAAGATTCCGTGGTAAAGATGTCCGAAGGGATCTCAGCAACGGATGTCTCCAGGCCAAAGTAAGTCTTGTTGAGCATGCCGTGCACGAAGGTAGTATAAGTTGTCTGGTACCTAGAATGCACGGCAAGGGGACACTTAGCGTGTCATCGGAAAAATACAGCCCTCCTACAAGTATCAGTCGGCAGCAAACACCAAGCAAATAAGACAAGCAAGCAAGAAAGCCAGCCAGCCACCCAACCATCCACCAGCAAGCCAGCCGGCCAGCTTGTAGGCACCAAGCCAGCAGGCAGGCAGGCAGGCAGGCAGGTAGGCGGTCAGGCAGGCAGGCAGCCAGCAAGCAATCAAGCCGGACAAGCCGGACAAGCAAGCAAGCAAGCAAGCAAGCAAGCAAGAAACCGGTACAGGCAGTGGTTGCGCGCGCAGATTTGTCAAGCAGCAACAAGTAAGAAGCAGAGCATGAGAGCTGGCCAACCAATATCCTTGCTTGCCCTTAAATCACGTATTATTCTTGGTTGCCTTCCTTGAATCGATCCGCAGGAACCATCGCTTTCAGCCCGGTACCCAAACCGGTACCCAATCACGCCAGGCCGCTCCCTGCCGCGACCCAACTGCTTAGCGGAGGCCGGCAGCCGGATCTTAGTCAGCTCCAAAGGCGTAGCCAAGATCACGCCATCAAACTGCTCCCTGCGGATGCCTCCTTTGCCCTCAGAAATCACCACATAGCCTCGGCTCACACAGCTCAGGAGGCACCCAGACAAGTGTTCAGATGTTTTCTGGCGAGAGGAGCCATAGTTAAGGGCGGCTGCGGGTAGGTCTCTGAATGAGTGCATTTGGTCTCTGTGACTTGTAATACTTCCACTCTGTGGGCGCCTGCACAAAGCCTGTGGTGTTGCTGTGGCACTTGCCATGCAACTGCCGCAAAGTAGTTGCCCAATACCTACAACTTGCCCGGTTTCCTGGCTATTCGGGGAAGGCGCTTGGCCGGAAATTGAAGGCGCTTCTGTGAAGATAATTTCCCAAACTCTATCCAAGGAGCTGTCTCAAACCACAAATGCCCGTTGTCCAATGGCTGCTTTTTGCGGGGGTCAGTGCCAAGGTCCCAAGGAGTTGCACCTTCGCGTCAGCCCCCAAAAAACTTGAAAACCCGTCGCCCTGAAAACCCTGCGCTCTGAGATCCGATCCGCCGTTGGACTCCTGCACAGCGCCCAAGCTGCAACGAAACCAGCGGAACATGCCAAATGGTGGCGAATGCGCCCAACCTACCACACTCGTTGAAGCCTCCTTCTTGTCTTTTTTTACCACTTCCAAACTTCCGAGCTACACTACCAGCTCTTTCGACCATAGGTGCTGGAGACGGTGCTGGACCCCCAACCCCCCCCCCACAAACCGGATCCTGGACCTCGGTCACCCGCTCGCCCAAGAGCTGCCGCGACGCCGAGCGCGCCAGGCCGCGGGCCACGGCCTGCGTCTTCTAGGGTTCGGACCCCCAAACATGGTGTGTGTGTGTGTGCCTTGGGCTTTCCTGGAAAAAAAGAATCGTATCCTCAAATCAAAGACACGCCCAACTTCAAAGTTCCCTCCACACCTGTGGCGAGTCTCCCCTTGTTTGGCAGGGTATTGAGGCTCCTGCAATTCCTGGTCCCTTGGCTGGTATCGCAAGGTGTCCCACAAGTGGAGGTTCAGACCCGCTTTTGGAGCCTAGAGAAATAGCTCGGAAACCCTCTTCATGTTTAAGGAAGACTCGGGTCTGTCTTGTTTTTCAGGCCACCCTTTCCTTGTTGGTGGCTCTAAAGGGAACCCTTTGTTTACCCCCGTTGTTGGGCCGTGTTCAATCGAAACCCACAGGAAAAACCCGAGGCCACCCCAGCCCAAAGCCCCCCACCCCCCCGCCCCACGCCTGGGTGCCGTTGGCCAGCGAGAACACGTGGCCGCCCACGCCGGCCCCGGCCAGGGAAATGAGCTCCGCGAAGGCGTTCAAGGTGCCCGGCTGGTTGTAGTTGCCTCGGATTTGTCACATGGCTGTGCGTCAAAACCGTTTCGGGATGCCTCGCACTTGTCACACCTCTCGCGAGTTTCGAGAGATCGGGGAATGAGAACTGGAATGAACCCAGGGGTCCAATGAACCAGGCCCAGCCTTTGGTCCCCGAAGAAAGGAAACCAAAGGGATGGGTTGTACGGGTCATTCCAATTCTCAGTCCCGAGCACCAGCAAATTCATCTCTCGCGGGTTTCGAGGCTTCGAGACTGGGCGCCTTTTGGTGAAGATCAAACTGGTCCGAAAAGGGCGAGGGAAGCACAGCACCAGGAAAGCAGACCGGAAAAGTAGAACTTGAACAGCTCCGAACATTTACTGATTCGTGCGAATTCCGAGTCCTTTTCGCACCGAAAGCGGGGTGCACTTGGGACACAACTTTGGGACCCTGCAAAACTCTTTGAGCAACTTCCCAAGCCAGGCTGACATGATCCTTTCTACAGACCTTGGACATTCGCAGCATCTCAAGCCCCTAAGCAACCTGCTGGCTAAAATTGTGGACAGTTGCTTCTAGCAGCCCCCCGCTTTTGGTTCGATTTTTTTGTTTGCCCCTTAAGCTTTTACCTTGATGAAAGATCACATTCGCAGGGCTGTTTCCAACAAGAGTCCCAGTGCCCTTCTCGCAATTCCAGCCTTGGTTCCCTTAGACAAACAAATGGCTCCTTCTTCATCTCAACACCTTCTGTGCAAAGACACATCCCCCCCCACCAGCAGAAGGATGGCCTTGCATGGTGCTACGGCAACTCAAAGCACCTCTGTCCTTTGGAGCAGTCTAGCTTGCTTCGGGACCCAACCCATTGAAAAACCCAGCACTCCAAGTTGATTCCCACCGCAAGGGGCTTGCCCCTGACCGAGCAGGTGGAGTTATCCTAAAAGAGAGGCGTAGAATGATCAACCCCTGGTTGATTTTCATCGGAAGGCAACTCTCCAGGGCCGCCCTCGCCGCCTTCTCCAAAGGGGATGGCCATCGCGAAAGGGGAAAATCGCATTGCGGAGTACTCAAATCCAAATGTCATTCAGGGCAGGTCTGGGGCTGGTTGAAGCGCATGTGTTTTGCCGCCAAAGTACAGCGCGAGGCACCATCCACGAGCTCCCGAACAAAGCGGTCATCCACACCTGACCCAGTTCTCTGTCTCTCTCTTGTGAGGCCTGTCCACCTAAAGTTGAAAAAGGGGGCCATACAGTTGAGTCTAGAACACGCGAAACCACTTCCAGCTGGTGAGAATGAAGTCACACCTCCAAGTGTTCCTTTTGTATGGAGATGTCATCAACATACACCCCCAGACTCTCCTGTTTGACAAGGGATGCCCTGAACTCTGAACCCTACTCGGAAGCAAACGTGATGTTTGGAGTGGCTAGTAAGGAACCCTGACAACGCACAAGCATGTGCACTGTAGACTACTCAGCTCGATGCCCTTCTTGGTTTTCTTCACAAGAAGACCTCCCAAAACTCATAAAGTAGCCAAGAGGGCCATGTCCAGGTGGTTTTTGTTGGTTTTCCGAACGCAAGCTCCCTGGAATTCTCCAGGCCCCCAACGGCCAACGGGTCGATCCTAGGCCCGCCAGGAAGTCGTAGGCGGAGGTCTGGGTGAGGTTGAAGACCCGCAGCGCCCTCAGGAGCTCCGCAGGAGTCTCAAAGCTTTGGCCGGCGCCTGGCAGGAAGGAAGGCCTTCGGCCGCCCATGGGGGGAGACTGCCATGAGGGGGTTTGTTTTCTTTTTGGGGGGGGGTCAGAAGAACCAAAATGAGCGGCACTCGTCTTTTGGTCGGAGTTGGCACCCCTTCTGGGTTTCAACGGACGGAACCCCATGAAAGCTCACAGAAGGCAGGTGGTTGGTGTTCCAAACAGGTTCTGGAATCGCCTGGAGAGGTGCAGAAAAAGAGCAGAGGCCAACCTCTTCGTTGGGAAACCAGAACGACATTGCTTTCGATAGAGTGCTGTGCATTGCTTGCCTGCTTGCTTGCTTGGTTTCCAACCATGTTGGATCCCTAGTGATTCGCCTTGAACACCAAGCAAAAGGGCCCTTTTGGGACCCCCCCAAAGGCATAAAACAAGTCCCGCAGGGGCGAACCCTCAATATCCAGCCAGGGCGGACAAGGGCCCACCAAAAGCCACCACGACTCCAAACCCCAGCCCAATTGCCGGGCACCCTTCTTGTCCCGTTCTCTTTGGGGGTTCCCTTTAAAATATCCATGGCTGGGAAAGCAAGCAAGCCCAAAATGGAGCTCACGGTAGCGCCATAGCACCTAGGAGGGCTAAGAGGAAACTGATCCTCCAGGCACCCTTGCCTTCTGCTTGCGGAACAAAAAGGGGTGGTTGCTGCTTCCTGTTGCCTTCTGCTTCAACTAATTTGCGACTTGGACAGAGGCAGTGCGAAGTCCTTTCGGACCCCTACACAGAGATCCTTACACTATACACCTGAACATTGCCTTGTAAATGGTGGTTTCCCTTTGTTTGGTGGAAAAAGCCATGTTTCAAGTGGTTGCACAATGTATCTTTTAAGGAGCCCTACACCTCACCCTGAAAACCCAAGGGCGGCCTGCCTTGCAGGTCGTAGATGCCATCAAAGTGGCCCACGGCCTCCCTCACCACCGGAATCACACGCAGGGGGCTCAGGCCATAGCCTAAGATTCAAAGTTGTCAAGGTACGGTGGATGCCCCAAATATTGCAAGTAGGGAGCAAGAGAAGCCCTGTAAATTCCCATAGTTTGTGTTTGGTTTACTTGCGATATTTAGGGCATCCACCGCATGAGCCCGATGGCTGAGGTCCTCCTTCTGTTGCGTAGCCCTGGCATGAGCGTATCCCTGGAACAACCTGGCGCGCACGAAAGGGCAGTATTCAAGTCTACAATGGTTTCGGGTAGGTCTGGGTGTTGGTGGACCCACCCTGAACCTTGAGCGTACCTGACATGGACCATAAACCTACTGTAAATTCACCCCTGCACCCACCCTAAACCTAACCCTAAATCGACACTAATCCTACCCAAAGCCTGCCCTAAGCCCGTCCTTGACGCGGCCTCAACCGACCTAAGCTTACCACAAGCCTACCCTAAACCTACCCCAGACCTACCCGTAGCCCACCCTAAATTGTAGTGCGCGCCAGGCTGTGCCAGGTGAGGCGAACCAGCCAACCAACCCAGCCAACCGAGCACCCACCAACCAACCAACCAACCAACCAACCAACCAACCAACCAACCAACCAACCAACCAACCAACCAACCAACCAACCAACCAACCAACCAACCAACCAACCAACCAACCCAGGCCTGCCAACCTCAGGGCGAGGCAAAAAACACATCTTTTTCCCGAGACTGATGAACAAAACAATACCTGCACCAGTTGCTCGGGGTGTTGTCACAGCATCAATAGGATGTCATCCAGAACTCGTGCAGAGCTTGGTCCACATGGGTGTGAATTCTGATAAGGCATCCTTTGGGCATCATGTAAAGGGGACTTATCTCCACCGACCATCTTTGCGGGGAGGTCGCTGATACGATAGCCATAAATGTGCGGCAGGGTCCACACTCACAGGGTCATGGCATAGCTGCATTGGCAACGAAACCCTTGGGACGGAAAAACTACCAGGCCAACCGCGAACCCAAACGGACGGAAACAAAATGTCTTTTGGCCATGGCATATCTGATGTCGAACTTGTGAACTCCTGCTGTCTGAGTGATTTTATCATTAACAACAAATGATGAAAAGAAGGATAAAAAGGCGGTGGAGGAGCGCAGTCTTCCGGGCAAAATCCTAAGGCCCTAAGGCGAACAACTCAGGTTTCCAGTCTGCTCCGTTCTTCACACCTAGCCACACTTTTCTGGGATAGCGCGTTCAAATGTCTTGATTCTGCAAGGGTTTATCGTCATGAAATGAATTCATGCTTGGTCACTTGATTGCAGCTAGCTAGTTCAGGGAGTCAGGTAGTCAGGCAGTTTGGTATTTTGTAGTTTGGCAGTGGGTGGGGGTGGTGGTGTTGCTGCTGCTGCGGCGGCGGCGGCGGCCGATGGTGGTGGCGGGTGGAGGCACACTGAAGTTTGCATGATTGAGCATTTCCGTCATTCGAAGATGCTGAGCAAGAACAGCAGTTCAAATGGCTTGTTGATCAGGGGAGGCTTGTGAGCATCTTAGAGACCCATTTCCAGAACTCCAACGCTGCATCATTCCGAAAGTGCTTGTCCCATTTGTGCGAAACGCAGATCCCATGAGTGCCGTGAGTCCCTCGGCCACGCACCGCTTCTCCAAGCGGTACACAAAAAGCGAGCGGCGGAAGAGCAGCTTCAAAGCCGACATGGCCATGCTGTCCATGTTCAACTCCGTGCGCATGCTTTGTCCGTCCCAGATTCCGATCAGCGAGTTGAGGTCATCCTGGGCACACCCATGTGGGGGGGGGGGGGGAATTGCTTGGTTTCGCATTCTGTCTATTGGAACCTCGTGAAAGGGAAAAGAACGGACAACCAGGACCAAGTGACCCCACTACTCTTTGAGAAACTGTCTAGGCTTGCCTGCTTTTGACCGCACAAGTTGCCCCAAAAGGCAAACTCTGCCTACACGAAATGACTGGACCCGGACAAGCCTGAATCAAACGTTCAGGCCTTGCCTTGCTTCACCCTCTCCGAATGTGTCAATCTGTCAAAACATGACCAGCATGAAACCACGAATTGAAGGGGTCGCTACATTAGCAAACACCAATAATATGGTCATTGAGCCTATTCCCCTCATCAGCCTGAGGGAAAACAAGGGTGTGTGTCTGTGACAATGTGTGTTTGTGTCCGTGTCTTGCTTTGCAGGAGTGCAAGTCCTGAACCCTCGAACTCGCATGTCTTTCGTCTTTTCATTGCCAGCCTTGGGCTTCTTCGGGAACCACCCATTTTCACGGGGGGGGGGGGGGGGGGGATTCCGCTGAGGACGTGCCAAGCATCATCCGCCGATGGCTGCAGACCGAAAGACTTGGCGAAGCCTCGAACGCGAGCCGCTGCGACTCACGGCTCGACCCTCCCAGCCTACATGGAGCCCGATGTTCGGGGGTCCCTAATGGTCCAAACCAGGACCCCCCAAACTGTCGGGTTCCATGTGATAAATTTTCGGGAGGGGACCATGTTCGATCCGTCCAAAAGGCCGGTCAAAACGTTGTGAGAGCTCAAAGTCCCACGATTTACTGTTCATTGGTAATGTGGATCTCTTGAAATATTGAGGATTCGTGAGCGGACAGTGCGGAACATAGTGCAGAGGTAGTTGCGCATGCCGAATGGACCGGCTTTGAAGGACTGAGAACCTGTTCTCGCAATGGATATCAGAGAGTTCTGGACAAGGTCCCCGAATTGACCTTTCGGCAAATGGGCAGTGCTCAAGCCCAGCTGACCATCCTCAATGGTCCTGGCTGGCGCAACAGAAACCATCAGGGAAAGCAGAATCCATCACCCTTGGAGATGAATGCCTAGCCATCTCGACAAAAAATGAAACCTCCAAATGTCCTCTTTGACATGGTCACTTGCAGGGGAACAAAGCATCTTCCTAGGTTGGGTCCTTGAAACAGCATGCTTAAGAATGCAAAAAAAAAAGACCACTGACTTGTGCTGCGCACAAAGGTTTTGGAGCCCCAGACGAGTAAATCTATGTTGGGCTTCCTTGTGAATGCAAACAAAATACGTCCAAAACCTGACACATTCTGAATCACTTCTTAAGTTCCCTCCGGAACTGCACAGCCCAGGCACTCAAACATGCTGCGACCTTGCAATGGCAGTATGGCTTGAGTTTGATGTTCAGTCGAGAATTCCAACAAGATTGATCTAATGGCCCCAGAGTCCATTCCCCACAGTATGTATATAAGCAAGGGAACCTCCGTGCAAAATCAACATCAAATCAGTGCGGAACAATCCAGAAAACATGCTGGGTCAAACAAGTTGATGGCCCGAGCGCGAGCAGGAACTTGTGTCAAAACGATAGTTTGTGTGCCCAGGGATCCAGGAAATGCTCTCCCAACTCATAAGGGTTTCTAAACTGATGAGGACCAGTCCAAGACGATAGTTTGTGTGCCCATCAAAAAAGGCTCTCCCAACTCATAAGGGTTTTCTAAACTGATAGAGGGGAACCCTTCCAACGTCAAGATCCCAGGGGCCGGCCATGTATCGGTTCTTGGAGTAGATGGCTGTGCCGCCCACGTCCACCGTGACGTTGGCGAAGCGCTGCGTGTAGGTGCGGCCGCCCACCTCTCGCTCCGCCTGCCGAGAAAGCATCACTTGAGTGAGTCGTTGCCACTTTGAACATGTTCAACCCACTGGGGTACCTGTCTTTTTCTTTCCTTCTGTTTTTCTTCTTGTTTTTTCTCTTTCTTTTCTGTTTTTTGGAGGGGGGGGAAGTGGGGTGTAGCCTAAAAAAAGACACACCGGCTAGCATAACCCCCTGTCTGAAGAGGCCATGTGTTATACATATATAATATATATATATATATATATGCGTGATGGCTTCCCCTATGTCCCAGCCAGTTCCAATCAAGTTTCGACTTACGCAAACCACATTCATGTCCGAGGTTGAAACTCACAGGGAGCCTCATAGAGAACAAGCTCATCATCGGTGAGTTGCCGCAGGAAGTGCACAGCGGAGCCCCCGTTGATGCCCGCGCCTCGCTGGAGCCGCTGGAGGCTCGTCAAAAACCGGGAAGTTGCTCAGCGCAAGGCTGGGCGGGGACTGGAACTGTTTCGAGGACGCATCTCAAGGAAATCTTTAAGACACCCTTTGCGAATGATTGTCCCCAGGATTTCATGAACCATTAGGCTTGCAAAATGAGTTGAGAATAACCGAAGGCCAATACCTGCAACAATTGGATCACCATTGTAGGAAAACCATCGAAGGAAAGATCGGAAAGGTGCCAAACAAAAAACACCATTCGCCATGTGGCTCATAGATTTGATAAAAATCTACCCAGCCAAACACGAGTCAACCAAAGCAATTCGTGTTTGAATCTCCTCGATGTGAAGCTGGGGCACCCCCAATGACCTCCCGCTGAACATGGGAACTACGTCCCCTCTGTTTCTTCTATGGCGACTGGATATTTTGACTCCAGGCCTACCACCGCCACCTTGTGAGCTACGCAAGGAAGGCTGCAGCAAAGAAACAGCCAGCGCGCCATCTCAGACATTGCTCCCCAAATATTGCGGCTCCAAACTCCACAGGCTGGGTGGTCTTGCAAAAACATCAGGCCAAATCCAACGTCCCGAAACTTGAATGATCAAATGATATCAAATGGCATCGCCTGGGGTTGGATGTTTGCTCCATTGACAGCACATCTTTGCCGCAGCACTGCATGGCTGATGTGTCTGAGGTGGTGCAGGTACGCCCGTGGGCTCACGCTTCGGAGCCGCAGGATAAAGCATCAACGATTGATCAGTTTGGCGGAGGGGCAAGCAATTCTCCAAGCTAATGTTTACCCTTCTGCAAACAAGCAGTCTCTACTTTCCAACTCCGCGAATCCAAGCCCACACTGGCTCCATATTACCAGAAAAAAGCTCCGCGCCACTTCGTCAAAGGATTAAACGCCTTTCGCGTAGAAATCGAATTCCTGACAGATGAAATGCCGGATACCCAGCTCTGGTCTTCGGCTCCTCTTCCGCCTTCTTGTCAGCCATCTTCTCCTCGCGCAGGCGATCGCGGCACTGGGGTCCCAAGGTGCTGGACCCTTCGGCCTTCGGTCAACTCCAGAAAAAGGCTTAGACAACACAATTCTTGCTGCTTTGCCTATTGGGAAAAAACACCTTTTCGAGAAAAAGAAAAAAACAAAAAAAAAAACATTGCAACAAAAAAAAGGAAACCGCCTGCTCGAAATGGAAACTTCTCAGACCGAAGATCTGAGCTCATGCACGGTTTTGTCAGTGATTTGAGCGGTGCCGGCTCAGTTTTTGGAGACACGGAGCGAGCGCCTGAAGGGATCCCTAGCACGAATGCCAAGACATGGGCCGCTCGTCTTTTCTAGGGTACCCTTTTTGGGAACCCGGGAGGGTTTCAGGCAACCCCTGGGGTCCCACCGCCGTGTGCTCCTCCAGGGCGTGCATGGCATTCTCCCTCCTCTCCAAATCTTCGCGATCCGCCTGCATCTTCGCCTTGACCTCCGCCAAGTCATCCGAAAAACCTGGCCTTGCCTTGGACCCTCTTCCCTTGATTTTCCAAAGGGAAAGTTTAAAGGTAGACCCCTTTGTTCCAAGCCGGTGAAGCGACAGAGCACAGAGAATCAAAAATAAATCGATGCTATGATAGGATTGGCCTGAACCACCATCCTGATTTCCCAAAGAACCACATGCAATAGGACGAAACATGAGTTTGGGAAGTTACGGCTCCGCACGTCAAGTCCCAGGAGTGTGAAAGACTCACATCTAGTCAAGGTGAAACTCATTTCAATGGATCTTGGCTTCCACAGTCAAGGTACAATTTCTCAAACTATCAAGCATTCGGAAATCAGGTGGTCGTCTCCCAAACGGAAAGACCACGCCATTTCGGATTCCGTACAATGCTAAGGCGCCCTGCTAATATCCGAACGTCTTCCCAAAATAGGGATCTTCAAGACGGCAAGTGTTTCCCTTTTGTCCCTTTGCGCGGCCGGTGCTCCAAGAGCGAGTTACCTATGTTGCCTGAGCTTACCTTGAGCAGTCGCACACCTCTGCTGTGGTCAGGTCAAAACTCCCAATGCTGATGGTCCTGGTTCTCTTACACGTGAATCATGCTGGTTGTTAAGGATCCTTACAACCAAGTGGACGACTATGTTCCATGCCACATATCCTCTTTACAAGGCCGGTCAATTGAGTCTGGCGGTCCCCGGCTTTTTCCATCATGGCTTCGTGCTTCTGCTGCTCCATCTCCTCGCCCCAATTCCGGCTGTAGGAGGGTGGATGGGTGTGTTTCAGACTGGAGACCCCGCTATTTTTAGCGGTTCTCCCGTTGGTGTCCCTTAAAAAACCACACAAAGAAAAGAGTACCCTGAAAACAAGACACAACCATGCATGAATTGTGCCAGGCTTTTGAATTAGACATGTGGGCCGTTGAGTGGGCAGTCAAACAGATCCAACTGTTTGCTTCATGGTCGAAATTCCGCCTATCAGTGGGCTGTAGGTAATGGTGGCAACGCTTGTGATTGAACTCCCTGAGCTTCTCCGTTTTCGGCAAGCATCCCTTCAGTATTAAGTCCTTGTTGGGCGGGTCTAGCCAACCAAACAGTGTGGAATCGAAGCGAACATCTACACAAATCAGAGTTCTACTTCACCAACTCGGAATTGTGCGAAACTTCGTGGCGCCCGAGCGCGTTCCAGCCCTTGTTGGCCAGAGCCTTTCCTTCGTTCCTTCAGTTGGGTTAGGTTTCAGAGGGGCATCGGAGTCGGAAAGCCTGGAATCTCGGCTTTGGCAGGGACCCATAGACCAAAACCCATCGGCCCCAAGTCCTTTTCGACCCTTGGAAGACCCACTCTGTCTCCATCGCTCGAATGGACTCCTTCACCCACTTCTGGTACTCTGCGGTCTTCTCGTTGAGCTTCTCTACGCCCTTTCTGGCCTGACGAGGGAACAACGAAACCACGGCCGCGGCCGTCACGTGTGGGCAGGAACCCTGATTCCTGAGAAACCTGAAGAAACCTAAGGGCCATCACGGCCGATGGCACGAGAGGATCGGCCTGGAAACAGGCGGGAGTCCGGACCAAGAAAGAAACGCACCTAAAGAACGGTCTTGTTCTTAGAATTTGGGCCGCTCCCACAGCTCCAGCACGGCAAGTTTACCCCATGACCTCATTTAGGTCTCATCCGGACTGTCAAGCAGATTGGCGTAGCAAGAACATGGTGCGTGCGTTCACAACAAAGTAACCTCAAATGCCACCGTCTATCATCACTGGTCTAAATGAATGACTATTGATATAGTTTTCCTAACGGCAGTTGTTATTTCAATGAACGCGATGCAACAGTGTTGTGTTGGGAATCCGGTTTCCGCATAAAATGCATCCACCAGCATCTTTCTACAAGCGCCGAAGGAGTTTGCTCGGGAGAAACTTCCTGAGTATCCCGAAGACCATCGAAGGCCCAAAAAATGGGCGTCGGGGCAGAAGGAAAAGATCAGCCCTCCGAGTGCCAACGGCCCGGTCTTAAAGATCTACACTCGGCCGATCCATCGGCCGATCCACCGCCGTTGCCTGCTCCTGCACGATCAACGCCCGCTGCCTCGAATCCAGGCAACGGAAAACCCGAGAAGCGTAGCTTAGCGGGCATTCGAAGCCGGTTGGTATGCAAATCTCAGGGTGCCAACAGCATCTTGACACGGAACTCCTCCACAATCACTATGGACAGAATCATTTCAAAAGAGCATTCCGCATGCGCATCACATTTTCCTGTCGCACTGTGTCCTGTGCTCCCGGGCGCAGGAGTGTTGACTTGCTGGGAGGGCAACGTGAACTTCGGCTTGCTCACAGATTCCTGAGCGCCGGGCCTCTCTCGGCCATCCATTGAGGGGTCGCACGGGTGGGTACCCTCAAAATGGTGGAGTGCTGTGAGTTTCCTTTCTCAAGGCATCACTCTACAACTCTTGGTATGGGCTTGCAAAAAGCTGACCGTTTTAGCCCAGCAAAAATGACCAGAACAAAAAAACTGGGAAACACACAAAAACGTGCCAAGAACCGTGAAGAAGATCAACAAGCAGAACCTTGCGGTCAGGCAAATACCCTCATGCTTAGATTCGATGGCTCACGGAGACGGCTTGGGGACAAAGGTTTGATCAACGACTGCCGGACAAGTGAGCATTCCGGCATTCCCCCCTCCCCCCCCGGCGGGCCTTCACAAATCAACACATTGATGACTGTCCTGTGATCATATTTCTTGCTGTAAGTGACACAGCCCAAAACCCTCGGACGCGCCTCAGTGAAGCCCACTGAGTTTAGCTCGGGAGTCAGCCGCAGGGACTGACCTTCTCTCCCATTTGGGAACAAATCTAAGAAGCCCCTAGTTTATGTCAACCGAACGATTACTGCATCTGATCTGAGCCTACTCGAAAGCGTGGCTTGGAAGATCGAGACAAACTTGTTTCGGGAGAAGGTATCCAAGGTGATAGTGTGTGTGTGTGTGTGGTGTGTTTGGCTATTTTGGCTAGCGACGAAATTGTGGCCAAGCCCAGGTCGACTCATGAAAGCGATCCGATGCAACCCCGCAAACACCATGTTCTGCAACTTGATTGATTCAGCAGCCATCGTTGAAAGCCTGACGATGCTAGCAACCAATGGCTCACTTGCCCAGATCGACAATGATGGACGGTTTTGGGCCATCCCTTAATATCAGTCAGAACCTAAAAACAAATCTCAATGTCGATTCGCTTTGGACACAGGACAGGGAAACCTCCGCCCTTGAAGCATTTTTGAAGCATTGTCGAATGGGTCATAGTCAAAAGCGCTTGTGCGTATGGCACGCTCCGCTATAGTTGTAGTCGAAGTCAGCAGCATATGCTACAAATAGCAATAGGACACTGCTGGTTTGCTACTGTAATTGCTTCTTACTCACCATTGGACTTGAAATGACGAATGGCCGCTCCAATTTATCTGCTGGTGAGCATGAAATTCGTCATGTCGCGAGCCCTCAAGTTCTGAAGCGGAAGCTGCTGGTCAAGCTGCCAGCCAGGTCTTGTACTCCTGCTCGCGGGCTGTTACCTGACAGCATGTCAGGCCCAAGTTTTACTTGGCCCTTCCCAAATCTATTCCGGGTAGTGCCCGCCGCTTTGTAAGTCTGAGTGTGAGCGTGAGAGCTTGAGAGCGTGAGAGCGTGAGAGCGTAAGGGTGAGCCTGAGCGTGAGCGCGGAGCACGCGAGCGCGTGAGCATGTGAGCGTGAGAGCGTGAGTATGTGAGGGCGAGTGTGAGGGTGAGGGTGAGCGTGTGAGCACGCGAGCATGTGAGCGTGAGAGCGTGAACCCCAAGCAAAAGGCGCTTGGGGTGCTACGTTTCATCTTCCGCCCCACCGCCCGAAGGTTGGTGGTTTCGCCCCCATCTTCCCTATGCCCTTTCGGAGTCTTTGGGTGCATCTCAAATTTGCTATGTGCCCTTTCGGTGTCCCTTCAACACCCCATCCAAAAGGAGGTCCCCCAGATTGTTGGACCAAAAGGAGGTCCCCAGAAAAAAATGGACACGGGGTTTTCTTACGGACGTGGCAGCGATCTCCGTTCGCGGCGCCTCTTTGTTCAGCGCCGCCTTCTTCTCCGCCACCAGCTCCTGTCGAGCGTCAAGTTGGGAAGTTTCAGACATGGGTGGCTCGGTTGTTTTTTAGGGGAACCATTTTTTGGTTTTAACGAAACGTCCAAAGGAAAACCACTATTTTGGAGGGGTCCACCACTAACACAAACACACCACACGTCACCTGTTTCAGCATGTCAAAGTCGGTACAAAGCCGCTCTTTGGGGCTTTGGCAAACCAAGCAAACCAGCAAAAACCAGGCAAGGAAACAAAACGGAGAAGAGTGAGCAGCTTCTAGGGATTAGATATTCGGCAGAAGGGCAAGCAAGCTTAATAACGGCCCAGCCCTTCCTCTGTCACATGTTGCTCGAAAATGCATCCAGGGGAACTGGTGGGCAATGTGCTGCAAATGTTGAGATGTGAGCTCGTTGTTCGATCATTGCTCAATGCGTCTTCCAACCAACCATGGGTGCCCTTCTGACAAATAGATGGCCCTGGCATGGTATGAAACCCATCTAAACAAGAGGAACCATCTATATCTAGCCAAACTAACCGGAACCCAACATGTCTCCTCTTGGTTCTTCATTGTGGTTGCCTCAGGAATGGAACCATCGGGTTGGCCACGGGTTCG